GCTCGGGTTGGTCGAATAGGTTGGTGTTAGTATTGTATTGTTTGTTAGCTAGTGTTGGTGTTGTTTAGTGTTAAGGGTAGTGACTTTGATTGAGTGTACACGATCGATGTTTGTTCAATAACGTGTTTGGACTTGTCCCGTGTTGGTGGTGTGCGTTGTGAGTCGGGCAGGTGCAGGGCCAGCTGAAGTAGACTCGGGTGCATGGTAGGGCCGAGGGGTAGTGACCCAGAGTCATATATTCAAGGAGTCCAGCAGCCAACTAGGGGCGATAAAGATAGCCCCAATAGATGGGAAAAGGCGGCGGAAAGTCAAGGGGCCATCCGATAGCGCAGTGCATCCGGGTGTCGTACAGAAGTTCGCCAAAAAATTGCAATGAGGACACTTTGAAAGTAGGCCCGAAGAAGCATCATATCAACAATGGCATCAGGGATGAGTTGACTGCTGATATCTCAGTGTGGAGTCCAGTTTGTAGGCAGAAGAGCCCCGGACTTTTTGAAAAAGAACAGCTCCGAATGGCAAAGCCATGAGGTGCAATTTTTTGGTCTCGATTGAAGTGTTTATTCAGGACGTCCACATTGCCCCAATGTTTTGCCAGCGTTCTTCAGGATCTGGGTGAGATTCTAGAATGGTCATAGCAAGATCCCAGAAGGGGGGATCTAGACTTGAGTTGGTGGCGAGGTACGTTTGAGGTCGTTGTTGATGATGGGTAAGTGGTTGTCGTTCGCTGTAGGTAGTACCACACTCAATGCCTTTGTCCTTCAAGGATAGTTTTACTCTGATACTACATGCCAGCTGATTCATTTTATATATATACACGAGATGGCTCTTCAGGAATTTACTGGTAATGGAAGCCTGCCCACACCATGTAGGTCTTGGTAGTTCTTTTACCATATTTGACTGTGCTTATCAGTGCTGTTGAGTGCAAGCGGGGGTGGGGGGGGATAACTGGGAAAGGTTTAGATATCACTCGCCACTTATCTTCTTGTCAGCGACTGGAAATGTAAAGCATAGTGTGCCAACCACTGTGCCACCGCTCCACCAGATGAACACATTAACCAGATACAATAATTAAGATCCAAGCCATACATTCGTATTGGCAATGAGCTGCCAACTGACAGTGAATTTCACATCCAAAAAAATCTAAGTTATGCCATGGACCACTATACCATCAGAAACATGTATGGGTACAGATATATACGTGGCCATAAAACATGTAAACTTCCTTGCAGTTTGCATACCTCTGTGGATATTTGGTGACAGAATGCTCACCAGAACCGGAAGCCGGGGGAATTGGTGTCGGGTTTGAGATATTCTGGTTACGATAGGCATCTGCGTTGTTTCATAAGCAGTGTTGTGTAGAAATTACCGGACCAGGCTTGAGCACAATAACTATGCCACGGAGTAGATCAGTAAAAGGGGGACAGGCCACATCACAGCAGCTGAAACGACCCGGGGCGTTCCTGTATAGGTTTCTGTAGCAGGGCGATTCTTGATTTGGTCTTTTCGCAGATTGTCACTGTTATTAAATGCAGAACGTTCAAGCCAATTTGGAATTGTGAAATGTGAACAATGAGAAAGTTTAATTGCTAAAAAAAAATATTTCACAATCTTATTATTTTTCTTCTTCTTTAAACCCAAGTTGCCACTATTGCCGTCAAATGTTGTATAGCAGGAAAGTGAAACTTGTTTCTTGTTACAAACACCTTTTTTATTGTTACAAACACTTGCCCCTGGTGGGTACTCCTGGGCCACGTGACCGCCTCAAGTTATGTACTGATGTTTTTCTAAAGCACTGTGGAGTTATTTCAGCACGTTCTGTAGAAGTTCATATTTTGTCTTTCGGTATGCAGCTCTTCGGGTCAGGAAGTATGTCCGTCTCTGGTGAAGGTTCACTGATTGGACTGCTGAAGGCATCCAGACCAATCACAGTTGCAGACGGAGTGACGTGCAGGAGTGAGATGAATGGCGGCACCCTGACTGTGGAATGGTGACAAGTGAGAGGAGACATCCAATCAGTAGTGGGTAGACAATGGCTGATGATGATGATGAATGTTACTAATAATTTAATCTGCCAATGTTCGCAACCTCGAGGGGGTCTACACTAAAAAGCAGCTATACACAGCACTTCCCTTTTAAAATTGGTTTGCTATGCCTCATTCCACTTTGTACCGGTCTCTACAATTTACTGGCATTTCGTTATCTTGCCTGTAACAAGCAGCGCATTCCTCTGAAAATGGTAAAGATGTTCACCTTATGATTGTGTATTTCATAAACAACGTTATCAGATCCTCCACTCTTTGTGGCTACCCTTTGGAGTTTGCAAATTCACCAAATATTAAACTACGTAAACACGCGTTGATACCTACACGAGACAATTATGATACTTGTCTTCGGTCTTGGATGATTCTGCCCCCACTTAAGACAGCCACGAAGAATTTAAGCTTGGCAAAAAAACCACTGGTTGTCACCAGTCATTGCGTTAATAAGAACCCGAAGCAAACTTAAGTAGACTAATACAGAAAAAAAGTCCGACGTTAACCGTCTTCGCTTACAGGATATCGTGTTGTGCAACTGCCAAGCTGACATGCAAGTTTCGTACTGCCCATCATCACGAGACTTTGGCAGCAGCAGCAAATGCACCAGATAAAATGGCGTGTTAACATTAACATGAGGCTGCCCCAAACCAGCACATCACTGCTCAGTCCTTTCGCGATTTCCTTTCCATAAAAGTGAAACGTGTTGTGGATAGCATCTACACTTTGACTGCAATTGACTCACTGACCTACCTACAGCACCTTACCATCTGAAACAGCACCGATGCTATGCACATTTGCACCCGCGTCCACATGACTGCCAACGAAGACCTCTCTCCTCTTGATATATTTCCGATCACGCGATCGAAGACCTGCAAAGATGAACTTGTCCATTATGCGTTCAAACCTGTCGAAACTAAACTAAATATCCCAATGCAATATTTTGTTTAACATTCAAATTAACGGGACACTCCAAGGGCACAACTGGAGAAAGATAAAACAAAAACATGCAAAGTGGCAGCGTAAATAAGATTTTTAAAAATGCTCGAAGGAGAAGTAGATGTTTTCAAATGTGTGAACCTTTCATTTATTACAATTCCCCATTCTTTTGGCAGAAGTGACAAATCTTGACAGGTGCGAAGTCGCAAATTAACGGCCTATCTCCAATCTTCATACAGATTAAAAATAGTGCAGCAGCCTGTACTGGCGTGGCTACCACATGACTGGCTCGACAAAATTCAGCCTCATCCATACCGAGCCCTCCACTGCGTGGGGACTGTGGTCGTGGCCATTGTCGAAGACCTCCACGAGTTAGAGACATGTGTACAGTATTGGAATTGTGATTTATTGGATTTCTGCCACATTTTTTTTTACTTTTGCAAGAATTTATATTGAGCAATTTCCATTGGTGATGGATTTGTGTCATATCAGAAAACATTTGTCTAACAAAATTCTAGCACTCAATAAATTGGCTGCCAAAATAAATAATTTGAATCTGTACACAATACACGAATGCATGACTTTCTTGGCGTTGTTACATTAGTATTAGCTTCGTTTTCACTATCAAGGCTTCCCTCAAGCCATTTCGAATTCTCAGTCAAATGATGTAACAATCTATCCTCTTTGGTTCTTTCGGTAAAGTCACGTAGGTAAAAATAAATAAAATAAATCACGACGTTTTGATCGCAACACAAGCAATCCTCATCAGGTGGAGAGAGCTGCCGTGGCAAGAGGTTATATAGGTAAGGGGGGAGGAGCAAGGGGGGGAGAGGGGGGGCGTGAGCGTTAGGGGAAGAGGAAATAAGCCCCGTTGAGACGACGTCAGGAATTGAGAATTCTTTATTCAGTTTCGTTCACAGCTTCCACCACATTCGTTCCTCCAGTTCCTGTTGGCTGACAGCGTGAGAGAGACTGCCGTGGCCCGCCACGTGGCAGGCTCCGGACCACGGCACCAGCTTGGCTTCCTCCTTCGTTCCTCCGCACACTGAACACGTGCTGTACTTCTCCGCCCTTTTAATTCCTGGCACACGCGATGCCCCGCAGCCAATCCTCAGCCACACCTCTGGAACTTTCCCAAAGCTACTGTACGGCTGCAGGGCCACGCCCCTGGCTCGACTCCCCATTGGTTGCGGGCTGAGGCCGGCAGAGCCCATCATCACCCAGGTGTAACCTCACATTACACTTTGATAGTAGCCAGGTTTGCAGAAACAATATCACGCGAGCCCACAACGTAATAACAATGTTCAGCTACGGCAGAGGTTTTGGTTCTGCTGTTTCCATCCACAAGCTTATTCACCATCTCCACAGTGGACATCCACTTCAGTGTTTTTCCCTCCTTTGACTGCCACTCCGTGAGTCTCGACCACCAGACATCCCTTTTAGCGACACGTCCCATCCAAGCCCACTTTTTTTTTCTTCACGAGGTTAATTTTTTTTTTATTAAAGACCAGCCTGGTACAAAGCACACGCGACGGGGAGAGGGGGTACAGATATTCCGGCGGACAACAAGCCCGAGGCCAGGTGCTCACGGGGCAGGGAAAATGAAAGGTGGTTGGGCTAACTGCCCTATTCACGAAGGGGCAACGTTCGGGAATTAGGCATTTTTATGGAAGGGCGATACGAGGAAAGGGGTGGGAGATAATTTACCCAAACAAAACTTAAAAATAACTTACACGGGCCAATTGGCCCTCTTATTATTGTGAATCACCCTGGGGCAGCATGCCAAAAGTCCACCCCCTCTCCCAAATTATGCCTTTATGTCTGTCTTTAACCTGCATGTATTCTGCAATAAAATATATATAAGGTTCCAAAATATGTTAATAGGTTTCCCCCCTTTTTTCTGGCAGAAAAAGGGGAAGAAAGATATTATCATATATAAGGTTATCCTCCCCGCTAGTCTTTATGGGTAAGGTTGGGGAAAGAAATGGAAAAAATATCCACAAACAAGACTCCGTGAACACAACAAAGTTTTGGTCAACATAATCTAAAACTTTATTATTCTCGCAACTATTCACAGGCCATGCTGTAAAATGAAGAATCTTTCTGCAGCAAACTTAAGTAGTGCATTACAATGCTTACCATTAAAATATATTCATATGATCCAATTACAGACAGCAACCAAATGTCTTATTTTACATTAACTCTTCTGGTGAAATTGAAGGATGGCTAACACCCAACCTCCCCGTTTTCATCCAGCCTCAGACATGTTGCTCTCCAGTCCTCTTCCCTGGGGCTAAACAAAAAACAGGTAAAGATACATTAACACCACAAGGTTGAAAAGTTTCATTACCAGGAACGTATTGATCGCAAAACATGAAGACCACTGTGTACAAACATGAATGAGCATGCCTGTGCTTATGAGCACCCTGTGTTGTATATACATAAAATGCAACTGTCATCCATAACTGCATGCAAAGCTAGATGCCTGTGCTCCCATTAACGTGTCAAGATGTGAATACTGCGTAGGCTTTCGCGACCAATATAAATGTTGTGGATTTGCTCTCCAACACACCGGTGTGCTGTACTAGTAACGAATTGGCATATTCTGTTTACGTGACAAACGTTACTAGTTGGCTGTGTCAGGTGGTGGCGAGTTTAACGACACATTTATATTTACGTGATACAACCCAAAAAAACGATATTATGTATGCGAAGACTGTATGGCTGAATCTCCTTTTCCATTTGCTAATTTGCAAGAGTAACTGCAGATAGGTGCCAATAACGCAGTGCCGTCCTTGGGTCAGATTGGAAACTGGGCTTATACGTAACCATCTACACCCCACCGACCCCCTTTCTATCGATGGGTCCTGTTTCTATTAAATTATAGCAATGGTGGGGAAATTTCATATCGATGAAGACTGATGATCTTCATACTGGAGTTAGAGTATCTCACTTTCAAGTAAAATACTGATGCACCGCAATTCCTGTTATTATTATTGTTGTTGATATTCCCAACTTCCCTCAGTTTATTCATCTTTCTGCAAGTACATTCAGGTGGCACACCCCTTGGCAAGCCCACAAAATTACAGCACGTGCGCACGCAAACGCACATCAAGCTCCACAAAGTGCATTGCGCAACTTTCAGATGCACTTGTGGCCATCTGGAACTCTTTTCCTTTCAATATTAGGAAGTGACTGGAGATATGCACTTTTAAATCTAAATTGAAAACTAACTTCTTTACAAGTGCTTTGTGTGTTTAGCTTATCTTTTCCCCCCTGCACCATCAATTAGCATAGTTGGCTCCGTAAGGTGCTGAAGAAATGTAACACACATTCATACTCTTTGTTCTGTCGGTAAAGTCACGTAGGTATAAAATTAAATAAATCAATCACGACGTTTCGGGCGCAACACAAGCGTCCATCATCAGGTGGGAAAGCATACATACACACATGCCACTCGTGCAAGGTCAGGACACACCTTGACGAAGACATGCGTTGGCAGGAGGCGGCGAATGAGTTCGTCGCTGGCTCCTGGGAAGCGCAGCAGTTTGAAGTGCAGGCGCGGGAGCGGCTGGAAGCCGGCCACGAGAGGGTACATGTTGTACCGCAGCTCTTGCTGGCTGCCCGGCAGGATCCTTAACCGGATCTGCACACCAGCGGAGGACTTTTTTTTTTATTGATTTCAAGAACGGCGTACACATCTGAAGAATTATTAAAATGGACATTGGCGTTTTTGCCACCAATGTTGTGGAACCAGCTTCCGGCACCGACATTTAATACATTTAAGACAAAATGAAAGACATTTTTGGGCAGCAAACAGCTCAAACGAAGGTGAAAAAAAACGAGATGAGACTCAAGGAAATGATTGGTCGTCATTTGATATAGTTTTTGTATATTGCCCGTATTGCTTATTGGATATAGTCTGCAATCACTTCCAAAGTAATAATTTCAAATACTCGTTTTGTCTGGCGCCTCAATAACTACTGCGTGAGAGGTACAGTGTATATGTATATTAAATAATTAAACTATAGTGATTGAGGTGCTTGGGATAGACAGTCTGCCACCTACAAAAAATATTATTGTTCATTAGGATTTTCTTCCCCCCCCCCACCAGTATTTTTAAGTGATGTGTTGATCAATTAATGTCGTGTTGCTTTGAAATAAGACCGATTAATGGAGCGATTTTCTGGCATGAAACATGTTTTCCACGTGGATAGTATTGGAGTATATGGAGATGTTATAATCAAATTCCACATTGTGACATAAGGCCAACTTGTCAATTATAATTCCTTTCAATGGTATTGCATATTTCTTGTAATACCTAACAGGAATATTGTACAAAATTTGTGGGTTGGCTTTCTGGTTGAATTCTTGCAAATGCTAGGTCACAAGTATATTCTCAAAGTAATGAGGCCTTCGAAAAACTGCAAATTCATTATTGTAAAAGTATAATCAAGTGAGTGCTTATCTCCTTAAATGATCAACAAGGTACCACCCATCGTTGTTTTTTGACCCGAGTTTAAGTGTGGAAGATTCCAACACTCTTGTGGTGGGGGTCAGTCTGTGCAGAGAACCACTGTTGAAGGCCTAGTATAAAATGTAACCGATTTGTCAATGATTTTCAAAAATTACGTGAACATCCACATTGCAAACTCTCTTTTCGGTGGTGGTAATCCTCTCTTATGGGCACCTGTTTGTTTCCGGAGAACATGAAGGCCTCACTTGCATCCACCGTGAGCTCAACCTCCTGCACAATGTCGGTGCGGTTGTGCAGCGTGTACTGCACGGGCAGCATCTCACGAACACAGCCGCTTGCTGGGAGCTCTGCGCACAACCAAACACGGATCATCAGCTTAGTGTGTGTGTGCGGCAGCATGTGTCGCTTTGCCCTCTGCAGCAATTGTGCTGTATGCTATGCTGTGCCATGCATACCGGTCTTCACGTAGAGCGGGATGGTCTCCACAATGACGTGAGGCAGCGTCACCACTGTGCTCACCAGTGGGGTGTCTGGTCCTGCAGAGCTCCTGAAGGTAGAACAGCATGACATCTCCGATGGTGCAAGTCACTAATGGGCAAAGGTTTCTCTGCGCAATCTAAGTCAGTGTTTTTTATTTACTTTAGCATGCTTGGCAGTGTGGGGTATCCACAGCCGGTTCAGATATCACTTGCCAATGATGTTAGCCATGGGCAGGAATCGAACTAATGTTTCTAGGTTCATAGCAGTATGCTAAGTACTATGCCACTGCTCCATACGATGTATGCATTTTAAGACAAGACTGGTGAAAGAATGAAGGAACAAAACTATGTGCTTATCATGACAACATGCACAACAAGAATGTACAACTGTTGCCTTGTGGCTCAGACTATGCTGGCATTGTTATTCTCGGAGACTAATTATGGTGTGTAAGGCTGGACTGAGATGTGGAAGGGGCAGAGGGTTCACATGCAGGGCATGGGGCAGATGTGTGGAGGGACCTATGTATGGGAAAGAATGGGCCACAGTGTAAGTAGCTCACAAGTTCAGGAGGTCTGGGCATGTATAAGAGAATTGTATGTCCGGATGTACAAGTGTTATCTCCCCTGGGCTCAGCTTTTACCAGGTAAGAGTACATAGAGACTAACCTCTTCCAGATGAGGGTGTATGTACCCAGCGCGATTCCACTTTGTCCATTGGCTATAGGAGGACACTGCAGGCAGTAGCACTCGCTACCACTCTCTCCTGTCTGCAGCTCCACTGTAAATACAATGCAAATACAGGTCACTAATAACGCCATCATCAATGTCATAATCTAATTGGTATTCTCTAATATTGCTGACGGACATATACCGGAAATCATGCACCAGAAATCAGTGCAAAGTCATCTCGGTATAGAAAGAATTTTGGAATAACAGAGCTCTTGTGATTTATATCACAGTTCGTCACAATACAATCTGATAAGTGAATTCTAGATCTATTTTAGAATCCTTAATTGGTAAAATGTTGGGTGTACAATTGAACACTTCTAAACACTCCATCTGTCTCCGTGCAATGCCAAAGTCACATTCTCGGTGTCCGCCTCACATCTGCGAGATGCCTGGCTCTGTTTGGACGTGCCAGACGTGACTGTCTGTAGGCACGCCAACCAACTCGTGCCGATCTGAACCTGCACTACAAACCTGAAACGGCACGAAACTTTGGAGCAAGCAACTGGAAACGTCTCCCAGGTAAATGTTTTATATTGCAGGTATTCAAAGTTCAAGTTTATGTCAGCATTCAGATGTACCAGAGCACATCATAACAATAATCACAAACACCGACATTGTTGAAATTTTACAAATAAAAGAGACCTTTTTTAACTGCATTGTGACACTTCCAAGTACAGTTTAGCATACACGGGGGGTGTGTTCTTTATACAGAGCCAGGCAATTTACATCAATTTATTTTGCATAATTACAAATGGGATCGAGTTTCTTCTATGGGAAATTCACTTTCTTTTCAAAACCTCCATTTAATCGAACGGGACTCAAAGAGAGATGCTGCTGTACTGCCTCCTGGCAAGCCAGGGTATTAGGACACCTTGATGTCCATGGGTGGGAGGGAGTTTCGCAACATTTAGGTGCAGTGATCCACTCGCTTCCAGTGTTGGATTACAACTGTGCACTACCAACAACCGGCTAACACACACACACCACTCGGATTACATTCCCTATCTGATATGAGCGTCCATGAGGTTTGCAGGGCAGCAGAATCGCGTACACTGTGACACATGCAATACATGTCTAATTCTCACAATTTATATCAATAACTGAATTGGTTCTCCCAATTGGAAACACGTATGGATGTAATTAAGCATGTAACTTTAACTTTTTCCCACCTACATGGACAGTGATGCATATGAGATGGGTGCATGTCCAGAATATTTCTAACAAAATTTAATTCAGTAACAAACGAGTATTCATCCACTGCAGGTGATATGACTGACCAATTGCTCAAATTGTCACATTGTATAATATATCATGTAATCATCTTGAAATCTTACTGGAATAGACGCGTTTGTCAATAACAGTGAGCCATCCACTTGTTATTGGGGGTAATGCCATCTCTGATAAAGGAGCCGGACAAATGACCGATGACCCATCCATAAAAGCATTGTAGAATGAAAAATATCTAAAGACGGACACTTGCATACAATCAATATGTCCATAAAATTCCACTATAATCTGTGATCAGCTATTCTTGCCACTCAACCTTGAGCTTGGCCCACATTGGATATGTAGACAATCATTCGTGCGGCATCTAATAATGCGCATGTGGTCCCGTAGGCCGCATGCGTGTGTGCGTGCACGCACTCTGCTGCAACTGCGAGTTCACGTCACGGTCCGTGTGTTCCATCGGCGAGGTTAGCTGGAGCTGACTGGCTGTGATGGTCAGAGCCCAGGGCGACATGCTGAGAACTTCTGTGAGGAGAACGAAGGGGTCGTCCGAATACACCCTCTCCATGGCTTCAAACTGAAAATGTGGACACAAAATACGTGTTTGAAATACAGCACGTGCATACATTTACATTTTTGCGATAATGCATTGGCAGTTGTGCATACGGCACAAATAACAAATAACCCAACACTTTCACCAATGCTGCCCTAAGGGCCATTGCCCAAAAAGGTACCTATTATAAATGTTCTCCTTCTAGGGCAGTGCTATTAACGAATGCATTGAGTTTTGTTATAGGTGCGCAAGTTAACTCAAAGTTATAAATCCAAAATAACAAATCACCGTTCACTTAACTAATCAATATTCTTAAATGTTTTTGTCTTGTATGCTACATCATTATCTGATGCTAATGGGTTTTGCAATCTTAAAATAAAATATTTTTGTATGAATCAATATTGATGACTATTATAGAAATGTGTGGATGGTCAGTGTATTAATATTGTTTAAAATATTAAAAACAATTTCAATGCCATTGCAATTCACCAATTGATATGACCACATTAAAGGTTTAATATGTTGTAAGGCATATTTTCTCCCCTATTAAATTATAATTGTACAATGATTGCTGCAAGAATGTGAAAACAATATATGTAACGCTTCTTGAATTATTTACCAAACAAATCCACAGTTTTCACCAATAAACACAAACGTACCTTTGTAGAAACCAACTTCACAGAAGTGTCGAAAGGTAACACTGTCTCTATGATAATCGTCTCATCCTGCTCACAAAGAAAGAAAACGGAAGGGAAAATATTTAAACAGCATGGTTGTAATCATTGCAAAATGTCTTTTCACCCGAGTGCATTACAAAAGAAATGCAGTATTCGAAATGCATTTTTTTTACTTAAATATTTGTCAATAAACCTTCCTTCTAGTAAATCTAAATATGTTACTTGTTAACTTTTTTTAAACAAATAACCCTGACTTAACATGTAGCTTTCCCCAGCCAATGATTGATTTGTGCGTTGAGCAACATAATGATTTGACTAAACCTGTCCTCAAGACCCTCCACCACTCCACAGCCAAGCCGATTCAGTCGACACGTTTTTGGATCAAATCAAGCGAGTAAAAGTGTGTCATAAAACCCTCCTCCACCCAACAGCCAATTGATAAAGTTATCACCTGAACTAACGTGCCAGTTTATTACTGCTTCAGCACACACGTGCATTGGAGAGCAATCCCACAACATTTAACAATTGGGTATGGCAGTTTACTCAGTTACAGCCATCAAACATTTGGCAGAATTGAGCAAATGTCCTCCAGTCTTGGGACTTAAAATAGGTGCTACGATGTCATCAATACGTGCCCACAAAAGATCAGAAGGTGGCCAGAAGTGATACCTAGAGGTTAATATAAATCACATAAATGATGTTATTTTAGTTTGCAATACATGCTATGGTAATACAAAGGTTTACATAATGAAACAAGTTAAGCAAAGTTAATTGATTGCACTTGTCGATTGTTAGATTATAACACATTTTGTGACATGTTAATAAAGTACACATTTACGTGGTGATACTGGTTAATCATAGTGAATTATATCAAGTGTTTAGTATTGAATTTCGATTTAAAGCTTTCGTGACTGCAGGGATTCATCTTCTTGGTTCTTTCGGTAAAGTCACGTAGAATGGAAATAATAAAATAATAAAAATAAAACATAATAAAATAATTCTCGACAGACCTGTTCTACACCTGAGGACGGCTGCTTGCGTTGTGGCCGAAACGTCGTGAGAATTATGTTATTATGTTTTATTTTTATTATTTTATTATTTCCATTCTACGCGACTTTACCGAAAGAACCAAGATGTTTAGTATTGTTAAATTGCTGTGTTAGTTTCTATCAACATAAATACACTTTTTTATTCAGTTTGTAACATGATTAACGATGTGTTCAAGTCGCACTCAGCCTATAGCGGTCGACTGTTGAATTATTTTTTTATTGCTCTAAATTTTAATAGATTCTCGAATTAGCCTTGGCCAATAGTAATTCGTTTGTATAGAACATTATCACATTTAATTTAATGTCGTTGAGAGTATTGCCATCCCTCTGGTGTTCTTTTATCCTTGTGCTAATCGTTAATCTCGATTGACCAACAACATAGAGCATTTGCCAAAGGTGCAAGTGATCCGGTAACCTGTTGTTAGTGTGGATAGTTCATCACTTATTTCGATCGGCTCACCTTGTGACAGCGACAAGTCACCTCCTTGCCGCTGGTCCCAACAGAAGCGTTCACCGAGTAACCCACAGACATCAAGAAAATACGAGTTCCTACGATGGAACATTTGACGAACACCGTCTTATCCACCTAAATATACACATGCACACATGAGAACACACAAATTCCCCTTTTAGCAAGAATCTATTATATCCATTATTACACATGACGTTTACGCTAACACGTTATACGAGGTACTAATTTGAGGCAGCCAAAATAGGTACGATGACATGTTCACATATCAAACATCATTTAAAATATATTCTGACAATCATCAATTTGATACATGAATCAATTCATTCATCGAAGAATTGAATATTCATGATAAATCCAACGAATAGAATGTTAACCTTTAGGCTCGTGGAATAAACAAGATGGAAGAAACCAGACAGAAAATAGTACAAAAATAAGAGAGAGAGAATATCTTTTATATTTCAGTGTGACCCTGCATCATGACAATTCATAAAAATCACGAGGTGCCCAGGAGGTAAATCATTACAAAACAAGTGAATACGACGAGGAATCAAACCAAGGTTTCTGTGTATGCGAGCTCACCATCGCTGCTACACACACACACGTGGAACAATTCAGCATCGCACACTTTCAGATGCGCTCCTGCGGCTATCTGGAACACCCTTCCGATATTAGGAAGCCACTGAAGCTATGCGCTTTTAAATCTAGACTGAAAACTCATTCCACTCGAACTGCTTTTTGTGTTTAGTTTGTTGTCCTTCCCCAACACCTCCGATAAGCAGAGTAGGCTAAGTACGATGCGAAATAAGCTCAACATACACATATACAAGTTATATGTTGGGATGCGTGCACCTCGGGGACTCTAACCGTTTGCCCAGGCTGCAGGTCTCCAAGGGGTATGTCGTGCAGAAACGACGGGTGGGACTCGTCGCAAATCTTGGAGCCGTCAAGCGTCACGTGCGTTGTCTGTGTCAGGTTTGCATCCTGACCTGAAAATAACAACATCCCGCTGTGTTCAGAGGCCAACGGGAGGCTCTTGGTACAACGTTTATGCTTTATATACATATATAAATCAATCCTCAAAAATCTCGGGTCAAGGTACTTAACATTACAACACTCCAGCTTTCGCCCTGCTATTTTAGACGCCACAAGAGGGAGCTGCTGGACATGAAAATGAGCAGCAAGCAGTGTCGGGCTAAGGAGCCAGTACCAGACTTGAGGCCCACAGAGAGGGTGACGTTTGCCGCGGGGACATCCTCCAGACTCTGCACTGTCACCCGGATGCAGAACATCTCGTTGGTGAGTGCAGGCGGCTCGTGCTGCATCTGAACCGCTATTTTCGGGGCACGTGGATAGAGCCTGCAGGCAATGCAAACACAGTTTGGGTTTAAAAAACGTCCGCTTCTAAATTCTGAAAAACTGTGATCCCAAGTAGAGGCCATCTGCCAGCAAGAAGTTGTAGAACTGCACCTTCATCTGTTCCACAAATTGGGAAGGAGGCGGTAAGGGCATTCACATCGAGGTAATTAAAAGACATTGTTTAACAATAGGAAAGTAACGAAAACAGCATAGTAAATGAATAAATAATGCGTTTTAAAGAGAGGCTCATAGCTGGAGAAGATAAGGTCTTGAGCCTGGACTTGAACAGGGTTAGCATCTATGCAGTACAAATGATCGAAGGAAGAGAACATCACACGACTGGGGTATCAGGAGTGTCCTCTCTCCTTGAACAAACATTACTGGGGATTCATATCCAAACATAGCAGCTTTAATCACTGAGGTTTTTTTTCTGGTGACTTAAAATGGGTAAAACTATGACCTGAATGGAGTGCTTAATTAAACTGCAGGCAGATGGCCTTCTTATTGTCACATAGACGAGTGTCCTACAACAGTAAAACATTTTTGAAGAGACGCCAAATTTCACCCACTAAACATCTACAATGAAGTCTAAGTAATGCGCACCCACATTGCAACAGCAACCCCCCCTCCCTCCACCGGCCCAGTTCATGACCCGTCTCATGAGAACCTATAGCAGTGCAAGATGTGAGCGACGACCGCAGTTGAGTCCTTCGGTGTGGCGACTCACAGTGTGGAGGCCTGCACAGTGATTCCGTCCCAGGCCTGCTCGCCCTCCGCCATGGCGGGCGGGCGCCGGAACGAGCGCAGGACTTGCGTGGCCTCGTGGGCCGAGGCGGCGTCGCCGCCGCCCTTGGCCCAGTGCAGGAGAACTCTGCGCGTGGAATCGCTGCCCAGCACGGCAATCACCGACGTCACCTTTGCAGGGAGACAGCCGCACGGCACTTGTCGTGTAAAATGTCAAAGGCGCAGCCCTGAAACTCCTTGGTCTACGCCACTGCTGGCGGGTGAGCCAAATACCCTCGAGAGGAATCTCTGTCGAGCTACGTTTCCATGCCGGGAAGATAGGGGTGGGATGCTCACACTTCTCATCACACCTCATCACAATGCAACCGTCTCGCATGTCTCTATTTCTTGTCTGAATCTTCTGCGACCTCACTACATGCCTATCTCTTGTTCGCATCTCTCTAGTAGCAACCTACTGTACCTCTCACCTATAGCATATTTAATTTGTCATCTTTCATCTGACTGAATGTATCTCTCATCTCTCATGTATCACTGGGGATTGTATTGTGTTTGTACCACAGTCTCGCTTTTCAATTATGCTATATAAACATAGAAAACTCTCCATTACTATTTTAATTTAGGCCTAGCCACAGAACTTGTTAGGTATTTTGCATATGGCCAGATATTAAAAAATAGCTATTTGGTGCACCCCTAGTTTTATCCACCTTTTATAACCTAATCCTAATGCCCCTGAACTGCAAATCCAGTTTGCGAGGCTTAACACCTAATTATGCACATGAACCTTATGGCGGTACCCTGGCTCTTGCACAATGTCCGTGATGCAGTCAGTTTTAGTCTGTTGATGGTCGGCGATGCGACAATCGACTCATCTCGACGAGCTGTACACGATGCACTACTACGGTGCGTACGAGCGGGCGGGCGCCGGAACGAGCGCAGGACTTGCGTGGCCCCATTTTATATTATTTGGTACCCCGGGGTATCGCTATAAGGAGCACATGTGCATACGACTATATTCCTCTCATAATTTCCTTGATCATAAAACTTATTTAAAAAACACTGTTTTCACCAACTCCCATAATAAAATTACATGGTTCATTTGATTTATATTATTATGTAAAACTCCACTTCTTCCCTTATTTCCCAACAGAGCAGTGAAAAATATAATATAAGCAAGACTTGTTACGCAATGGCTGCACGGTAGTTATTAAAAGCAAAAATTATACGTTGCTCCCCTCCAGACCATGTTATCTGTAAGCTAATACAAATTACGATGATGGTAAGAACTCACTTAATGATTCTTTAGAATTAAGTTAAGCAGAGCAAGCACAGCATGCACTAAGCTCTTACTAAAAGCAGTGAAACTCTGTGTGACATTACATTATAAAATGTTTTTAAAGTATGCTCTAAAGGTCGTCATGGCCCGATTATGGAAAATTCACTCATCATAAATCAAGAGGAAATGTGAGATGGCATATACAATCAAGTGGTTGTATCGTAATGACTAAAGATTAATATTTTGGCTGATTAACATCTTGCACCATAATTATTATTGATTCATCCTGCAGATCGGGTAGACAAAACTATACAACTGGTGGAGGCAGCTGAAACAAGGTGTAAGCAAGAGGAAATTAGTAAATGGGAAATGGAGCATTGGCATTGGAGCACAGTTGGGAGCGAGGAAAAAATGCCACTAGAGGACCGAAGATGTTGGTGTCTGTGTAGTGACGGTACGCGCTGACAAGGGGGGAGCGTGTGAGAGCGCGTCGGGTGTGGCTACATCGCGTGGTATAGTGGTGACGTGCGCTGACAGTGATGGATCGTGTGGCAGCGCGTGGCGAGTGGTTGTGTGCGCCGACACAAGCTGGGAAAAAGGATCGTGTGGCAGCGCGTGGTGATTAGTCAACTAGGGTGGGTGCTCACATCGAGGTCCGCATAGGCTCCGTCTCCCCGGGAGCGGAGGACTATAAAAGGCGATGCGCAGGGGCGCTCAGGGAGTTGGTAACCAGTGAAGATCGAAGACGGAGTTGGAAGAGATAGGGCCCCGAGACCCCTAGTCCCGCTGTCCTTGTAAGGGCCGGGACCCTGTGCGGCTCAGAGGTGAGACCGTGGGACCCGCGGCCTGACGTCCTTGTGAGGGCGAGGCTGTGGGACCCAGTGGTCGGGACCCATACCCCAGCCGGGGTGGGTTCCCTGGAAGCTACGGGGCGGGAGAGCCCGTGTGTGTGTAGCCGGGGGAACCGCGTAGCGTAGGCTGCAGTTGACCACACGTATTAGTGAAGTTCTTACATTACATCTGCATCGGCAGTCCTTTCATCCAGAAGTAAATGAGAAAAGATCATTAATGACCGGGCTGAATAATTACAGCTCGGCGTGGGACCAGGTTCTTACATTGGGCTTACTGATTGTTAAGCTCGTTCATACGAAAGTAACGGCATTAAAAAAATATACGAATAAAAAATTAATGAAATAAAAAAACAGAATCAATCACATGCGCACACCTCAATCTTCTTCCCCACGTCCTCCGCTTGACCCACGAAGGTGAACACGTGCCGCTTGGTCTTTTCAGGAACGAGGCACATTTCTTGGTCGCTCGCTGGCGGTTCCATTGACCAGGAGACAGAGCTCGCGTCAGTCAGTGTGCAGAACTCATTGTAGGCCTGCAACAACAAAACAGCCGCTAACACGCCACTACCTGCCAATGCGCACACGCACACATATAAGCCAGCTCTGTCGGTGGTTGTTTGCAGCAAAATGGCACGTGCTGCATGAGAGCCTCTTTCTCAAACAACCTTCTCACTGCTGTAAAATCAAGTGCAAATAGCCTTGAATGTTACGAGTGCTTTGAAGTTTGGGTAAAGTCAGTCGAATGTGATTTTGCTGCAAGCAATATATCGTACTTCATATTATTACTGATGGAGATAGTTCTTATTCACAAACAAAATATTGTTGTTTTAAATGTAGTCTGTATGGCAGTGTTATATTTTACTCTTCATTAACTAATATAAAAAGGTAGGTAGTGTAATCACTAGAGCTAGTCATGTATGTACGTACACAATTTGCATGACCAGTGTTGCAGTGTTTAGCTCATTGCACTACGAGCCTGGTAACTTTCATTAAATTCCTGGCCTCAGAGAACATCAGTGCTGAATGATACCGCAACCAATCCTGGCAGACGCCCCCTTTCACCAATCCGCAATGACCAGCATGAAGTATTTTTAAACAACCCCAGTTACTGACAGGGAATCGATTAAAATAGGGCTGTGGCTGTAACGTCAACATTAATGGCCGGACATCAAGGTTTGCGATGCTGGCATTTTTTAACCGTCTACCCCATTAGGAGTTTTAGCCGCGGCTCAGCGAAGTAACTCACTGGGTTGTTGAAGGTGAGAGAGAGCGAGGAGTAGCGCACAGGGAAGGGGCAGCTGGCCCTCAGGTACACGTGCAGCTCCACGAGAGAGTCCACAGGAAAGCTGTTCGCAGTCAGCACCGCCTTGCATTCCACTGCAAAACACACACAGAGATCACGCCTTAACAGACTGTAGCAGCAAGTCATGTTTGCGAGCACTTATGAAAGCTGGCACAGCACACGAGGGGTTGGGTGGCTAGCACAACGCCAGGGCACCTTCGTCTCCCCAGTGGCGATGTTTATACACCCCACCAGGTACTGAATTGAGGCCGAGTCGACCTAGGGGAGGCCCATGATTGGTTCAGAAAATTGTCACTGGTGTTGGCCGTGAGCGGTAATCTAACTCGGGTAGCCGGGTTCGTAGTGCAGCACGCTAACCGCTGCCCTACCGCACACACACAAAGCAAATGCTGGCACAAATTTGCAGGAGGGCCAATTTAATTTCGTTTTGCAAAGCATCACAGTTTAGTGAAAATGTTTACTGGATGGGACATGTATCATCAAGTTTTATTAAAGCACAATTTGTTCCAGCAAAGTGAGAACTCATTAAATTGGCCAAGCATTTTGAATGATTTCACAATGCTTCCATTTTAACCAATGTTAAATATGATTCGCAACCGTTAGTGACCAAGTTGGAGAGTAATTTTTAGTCAACAAATATTCCCATAAATATTGTTAAAAAAGTTGTAGGAAATTTTAAAATAGACTGCATATATGTATACATGTATAGGTTACAGCCCTTTTGACAATCCACTGGTGGATGAGGGCCTCCCCACGCCACTGGTCATGGGAAATATTTCACCGCACTTCACCCGTGGCCAGTGCGGGTGGGTGAAGACGGGGAGCATACAAGTGGGAACAAAGAAGCACGGGACAAGCTATTTATTTTGCTGCACTGCCCACCACGTAGCACACCCCACACGGCTGCCTCGTACAACCTGGCGCGCATGGTAGTTGCCCCTGTTGATCTGCATATATATATACACACACAAGACAAATATCTTTAACAGACTGTTGAGCAAAGTGCTGTTAGAAAGCACCTATGAAGGTCGGCACAGTACACAAGGGGGTGGGGAGGCCAGAACAAAATCCGGCCGCCTTTGTCTACCCAGTGACGATGTTTATACACACGCACCAGGTACTCATTTGAAACTGCCTACCTAGGGGAGGAGGCCCAGGACCAGGTTCAGATAATCGTCACAGGTGTTGGTCGTGGTCGGGAATTGAACTCGGGTCGTCGGGTTAACTGCTACGCTACCGCTCCCCACACATACAGGGTGACCCAAAAAAAACGGGCCCCAACTCTAATAGGCCCCGTGTGCACGGGGCCCGTTTTTTTTGGGTCACCCTGTATAAACATAAATGTGGAGCACGATAATGTTGGTCTGCAGCTGGACATACCGAAGGGCACATAGCTCTGGGCATCAACAGTGAAGTAGTTGTTCCCTTTAAGGGACATTCGATCTTCCCATAGCTTCTGAGCAGCTCTCACAGACTCGGCAATGCAACCAGGCTCTGGGTCTGGGGATCCGTTCTGAAAAAATGATAATGCAAAGTCAAAAAAATATGTAATACATCTTAATATTCTTGGTTCTTTTGGTAAAAGTCACGTAGATAGAAAACAAAAATCTAAATTAAAAGCAAAAAACCCACGACGTTTCGATCGCAACACAAGTGGTCTTGTTTTCCACCTGAAGAAGACGACCACTTGAGTTGCGATCGAAACGTCGTGGGTTTTTTGCTTTTAATTTAGATTTTTGTTTTCTATCTACGTCACTTTACCGAAAGAACAAAGAATATGAATTCCTGCAGTCACGAAAGTTTTAAGTCTAAATACATCATAATATTTTTACAGGTAGGCGTTATGTGATTACATGGTCAATTACTAGTTGAACAACACACCAGAACTAATACAATTAGTCAAGATAAACCGCAGGGTTATCGTTCACACCTGACCAGCCACCATCTTACGTTGGATACAAAGCAGGCACGAGAATGTAATGGAAATTCATGAAAATACACGCAGCACCGTCATGAACACATGTTAAATGCAGAAGTGAAAAGCAAGATGCCCATAGTTTTAGGATGAGAATAAAAGTGTACAAATAATATAATCGTGTCACCATTGTATGTGCACGCGTGCTTTCAAATGGATAACGTACCATAAGCACTTTCATTAGATTTCTCTGAATAGAAGCCTTCTTTTCATGGCTCAATGTTGATGCTGAAATAAAATACAAATATACAATTATAAAACCTTACCAAACTAATACCATTGCAACATTTGCCATCTTTATAAGACACCTCGCATATGTTTAATAAAAACACGAACGTTTGTGGCAGCACAGGGTGCCTGCACAAAACTTAGTGGACGTGCGCAGGTCGTGAAGTTTCGCGATCCCTCACCTCGGCCGAGCAGCTCAAGACAGAAGGTGATGTACTCCAGGTTCTGGCCCATGAGGTAGGCGCACTTAAGCGCTGTTGAGAGGATGGAGGTCAGCAGGCTCCACCAGCGCTCGCTCCGGTACTCCCACAGCACGTAGCTGAGCAGGCTGAACCAGGCGACATGTGCGCGAGCACGATTTTACCGACCCCCATCTTTCACAGAATCATCATCATCTTTCGATTTAAAGCTTTCGTGACTGCAGGGATTCATCTTCTTGGTTCTTTCGGTAAAGTCACGTAGAAGGGAAATAATAAAATAATAAAAATAAAACATAATAGAATAATTCACGACGTTTCGGCCACAACGCAAGCAGCCGTCCTCAGGTGAAGAACAGGACGGCTGCTTGCGTTGTGGCCGAAACGTCGTGAGAATTATTTTATTGTTTTATTTTTATTATTTTATTATTTCCCTTCTACGTGACTTTACCGAAAGAACCAAGAAGAAGAATCATCATCGTCGTAAGCGATCTCTGACACCAGAAGGCTAGTTGTCTACTGGTTCGCCCTCCTCCAGTGACAATTGGGGCCTTGCGATCTTATGAAATAATGGATTATGTTTGTGTTGTATTTACAATCATTGCATTTCATTTTTTCCCCGTTTAGTTTTTACAGCGTTGTTCACTGCATTAGCCGAAAGATAACATTAGTATACGATTCGCATACCAATTGCATAAATCGTGCGAAATAATATTCTTTACGGCAATATTCAATGCACATATAGTTGAGCTTAAAAACGTATTTTAATAGATGAAACGGATCCATTGTAAGATGCCTACCAAACTATTTAGTCGATATAAAATCCCCTTTCCAAAAAGGACCACTGACATTAGAAATGCAATAGGAATTATGACGCATACACACGAACGATTATTCGCAGGCATTTATGAATTTAGCAGACAATATGCAATTGTAAAATGCTAATTATAATTATCAGTGTTTGAAAACTACTATAATTCACCAGTTTACCGAACTTCGTATGCATTAAAGAATAATACCTATTTGCATATGTAATTGAGCAAACCATTTGGATTAAAAATAACAAAAGTTATGAGTGTTATTAGTGTTGAAATAATTCAGGTTTATACAAGAAGTAATGTATTCTCTGTTAATAAATACAGTTAATATAAAGAGCAAATGCGTAAAAAAGTTCACAGGCATTCCACCGATTCATTAAAAAAGTAATTTCCAATGTGACAAGGGTTATACATTTCTAATTATTTGCTGCTCTGCCGAATGGGATCAAATGCCAACATTAAATACAAGTGACTGGGGTACAATGCACAAAAGCTAGATGAATAATGGCTGTTATCTGCAAGGCTAATTCCCTTTGGACTACATATTACAACTTACGTGAGGGATTTCTTGTAATCCCTTGCACAGTAGTATTCCTCACCCATCTGTACCACTGCAAAACAGCATAAGAAGAATTTGTGCTGAAGCTCAACACACATTAATGCAACCTGCACTGCTGCAGATCTGTACCCGTGTGCATGTGCACGTGTACAGTCTTTGCCAATCCACAGGTCTGTCGGACGCTGTCTTTCCAACAGACCTGTTCTTCACCTGAGGACGGCTGCTTGCGTTGTGGCCGAAACGTCGTGAGAACAATTTTATTATGTTTTATTTTTATTATTTTATTACTTCCCTTCTATGTGACTTTACCGAAAGAACCAAGAAGATTGGAGGTCTCCATTTAAAGCACTATATTGGCTCAACCAAGGTTAGCTTCCAAGATCTGATGAGGCATTCCATAAAATATGGTCCGAGACCAATGTGACCTTTATTTTACTCTGAATGACCTATTGCAAGGGGTCAAAGTCATTCAAAGTACAAATGTAAGGTTAAGACCGTGCAGATGAACTGAACACGGGACATCACACCATACATTGTTTTTAATGTTGAACACTGGAATATACCATCAAAGGCGATCGACTTACTGAGGTAGCTTTTCATACGAGGGCACTTATATTTCTTGAATTGTGCCACTGCACTGCTCAGCAGAGGGATGATAAGGCCCTGCATGAAGATAGGGCACCTCGATTAACAAAACTGTACATGACAATTATTATTTATTGCATTGCAATATAGTATTTACTTTGGGAGGTACAAGATTTAATATTCAAATCTGGATTTCAAACGAGGGATGTTGTTGCCATCCAATTATCATAAGGAAATAGAATACATTTTAAGATAACATGTTTAATAGGAGTTAAATAATACCGGTCTAAGTCGTGAAATTATCTAAAAGGAATCAAGACATTGTAATTGGAACACCATATCTGAGTCTTCCCTGAGAGACTTATACCCTACTTATTTAGATAACATATTTTGGTTTATCGACTCAAGAAAAATCTCTCAACTATGCCATATATATATAAAAACATAGTCTCTATATATGTATAACATAAAAATCCACAGCCCTTTGTCAATTTACTCCTAGATGGGGATTGTTTGACCCGACATCAAACACGGTAAACGGGGATGAAGACCCCAATACTGGTTTACAGTATCACTCGCGGCGGTTGTTAACCGTGCCTGGAAATCTAACAGTTCAACAGGTTCGCAGCGCAGTACATTAACCTACTGCACTACTCACCAATCCCAACTATATAGCCTGCACTATTGCAAGCATGCAGTGGACAGAGAAAACTCACGCTGTGGTCCACTTTCTTCTCTCTGAGCTGAAGAGCCAGGATGCCTTCACGCTCGCGCGCTGCGTCTGGAGGGTCAATGCCTATGGGACAGATGATCAAAGTGTGTCACGCGGTGTCCCCTCCTCTGGCCCCAATCATAGATTCATGAATATACAAGGAAAAGGTCAGACGTGAGTCACTTCCAGACATGTACTGTGCAGCTATCTCATGTTGGCAGGTAGGACTAATTTGTTAATAGGTGAAGGCAAGGGCAAGTCACATGTCCCCTCCACTCCACTTAAGGCTGTGTAACAATACTCCCAGACCCCCATAAATGTTTAAAAAAAATTAATTTCCTTGAGAAAATAGAACAGTCAAAGTGTTATCATGTGCCTTGGGCAGTGCTTATTGACGCTGGTCATTGGCCTATTCCAGCAGTAGGATTTACACATTCCTACTGCATGGAGTAGTCTATCCATAAGACAGCAACTGATGACTTACCACACAGGGATACTGTTTTTGTTGACCTCGAAAGAAAAATTGGCTACGTGAAATTATGTACTGGTACCTGCATTCAAAACCTTACGATTGTGAATTGAACACACTGCCACAAATTCAGCTACATGGTGGGATTTCAAGCCAAGGTGATGATGGTTCAACAAAATACAAACATTACAAAAATAAAATAAATGTGAGAAACACACATTGATCTTCCCAACAAAGCAAGCATCCTATAATCAAGGTAACTCATACAAGAGGGAATTAGTTCTCCAGAACCAGCATGGTTGGTAAATTTATCGAGGTTTATTGTTGTGGATAAAATAGTCCACCTGTTTCTACGGTCAATATATATAGTTCTCAAAGACAAGCAGAATGAGGAGTGTTTTGATTTTATCAGCACCATACAGTCCCGTGGAGATTGTGTAGTTGTCACATTACCATTTTATTTAAGCAACTGCAAAATGAAATCAATAGCTTGTTATTGAAGTGTGAGCTCTACAATGTTCAAAGGAACACACATAAAAGTAAATAATCAGAATAAAATATCACATACTAAGCTACTTCTGCCAAACAATAAAATGTGTATGCAGCTTGCCTGTGAAGGATGAATGTGTCATCTTTCTTATACAATTAATTGAAATCCATTGAGCAATTTAACACTCAAAACTGTGCCAATTTTTCAATAAAATCTCAGACTAATTGTGAGATGCTCTGTTAATATTTCTAAATTTTTGAAGACATCAAGTGACAAATTATTTACTCTAAATGTGTAGTGACATAAATGGTGTCGCTAATTGTGTGGCGACAGTACCGAGTGAAGAGTGGTACTGTACACGTGGTGCTGCTCTATGGCACCAGAGTGAACATGGCACGGAATGGCTCACTAGAGGGCAGAGTCCAGGTGTCACTGAGGTCGGGTCAGGACATGATATCCTGGGTGAACCCGAGAGGGCACGTGACTGGAGAAGGGGAATCGCAGATGGGGGCGAGGGCCACGTGATGTGGACCCAGGGTCCCTCCCGAAGGATCTGGAAGGGGGCGTGTCCAAGGGCGGAGCCGGCCACGCTGGAGCGGTTATAAGCCAAGTCCTGGGAGGGAGCGGGGCTGTTCTGCTGGGTCAACTCTGGGAATGAAGCCGACATCTACGATCCTCGGTCTCCCGTCTCCGCAAGTGGATCAGGCAGCGTGTCGAGCTGTCCTGGTCTGGTAATAGAGTATACCCCGTGTTAGCCAAGTTAGGAACGGTGGTTACCACCCTATGTCGTTATCCTATTAACGTTAAGAGTAACCTGTTGTGTTAGTTAATAACTCGTTGCCGCCAGTTCTTGTGTGCGCCTAAATCGAACCCACTACAAATGCATAAAGCCCTATAGTATGTTTGTATGTTGAACTTCTTTCGCATCGTGCATAGTCAACCATGCTGCAGTAGTGACAAGAAAAACAACTTTGAAGTTATGGAAAAGTTAAATAAGACGGGTGGATGATTTTAAAACATAAATTGTCTAGGTGTCCCAAACCTTTGGAGTATGTAATCACATGTAACACCGCTAAATCGTTTACATATGTAACACCTAGACACAAATGACAACCACATGTTTGCTTTATGATCATGCTCTTAATGCTCAATAACACTATTAATTAATTAAAGCTTTAAATATATTTGAAGATAATGCATCAGTATGAGTTTTCTGTAATTATTTGAGGAAACCCTGTAACTTTTCAGAATGTATATATGTATGAAATGAATATTTCTCGGATATCTTCAAAGGATCATAAACTTACATTTGAAGTATTATTCAGTGTTTCTGTTATTCGGCAAAGAGTCACACTAACGAGGTAGGGGGAAATAATGACTCAGAAAAGCAGAGCTGGGATTAGTATATTTGGTTGATTTAGAGATGAACATTTAATCAACTACCTATTTTGTGAACGATTACTCAGGCCCCTTCTATAAGCCACACTTAGCACTGACGCAGCTACTCATTACGGATGCCATCAAGCCCCACTAACCACCTCGCAACTGGCTGCAGACATGGGAACAGATGTGAAGCTTTCTCCCACCAAGGTTCCAGTTATCCGATGAGTCGAATAATAAAACGAGTAATCAATTACTTAAATAATTGTATAACCCAGCTGTACATAAAAGTAAATCTCTACTCTATTCAAGTATAAAACCTTACTCTGCTGCCCCTGTCTCCATGGTCGCTGGCCGTAGTAATCCAGTTGTCCACTAGATGTCTCCAATGGGTCAGGGCTGGGGTATGCCAAAGTGGTCTGTGACAGCAAAACAATGCAACATGAAGAACTAAAATGTGTCTTATCTGAGACCAACATTATATTAGCCTTTAATTAAAAAAGGCACACACCGTTAAGCATCAACATTTTACACCAAGTGCTCATTGACTAACTCATGTGCGAAAGTCTAGGCATGCTCGCTTTTTCCCCAAACTAATTCAACCATTATCATCATATACCATCAATTTACAAAAAGGATTACGCAGTACTGCAGTAAGAATGTATGTTGTATACATACCCTGTGCTTAATGCCTGCTATATAAAAAATTATTACTGTGAGTTCAAGGAATACGACTATGGACATTAGAGCACATTGAACATGCTGACCCTTTCAAAGAGACCACAAACAAACAACAATTATGCTAGCCGAATGTCCACCATACACACACACACCAAGATTTACTTAAATGTAAAAATGTAACTTTTTTACATATAGTTTGTAAACAATTACCCTCCGAACAGGTTTTCCTTCACCAATAACATAATCAAATACTACCAATTATATATTTGTTCACTTGAATAAAACACTAATTTTTTTAAGAGTTATAAATATGAAAGAAAAAAATTCAAGCAGCCACTGTCATTATCATGTCCGTAAATTAATCCAGTTACATAACAATCCTACAAGAACAATCATCAACTGATTTTACATATTTGAGTCACAATCCTTGAGCAATAAAAGCACACCTGTAGATAGCTGTTAAGCATGCTGTGCCACAAACTAAAAAAACCGTGCAATCATAAAAAAACACCTGAATCTAATTGCCTTAATGGGTAGCTCAAACAACGGAAAAAGCTAATGTGCATAACGCATGCTCGATAAATGTTAAAACACTTATAAAGAGACATTTGAAAATGTTGATAAACATGCAGGCATGCAGCCCACACAATCTCTGGGCACACTGGCAGATGGGCAATGTTCCTGGGAGCTCGTGTTGGGTAGTACCGCATGGTTGCAGAGCACAGCTGCGAGATTCTTTCTCTCCAGGGCATGATAGGCTGCTTGCTGGTAGTAAAAACCAGGGTGCTGGGTCTGTATGGCTGTGAGGCCCAGCTTGATGGCTTCATCAAAGAGATCTCCGAACACTGAAAACCTGCATGGCGAGACAGTGTTTTTTTTCACACCTAACTAGCTACTTATGATTCCTTACATTCTAATAATGGTAAAGGAACATTCACGTTGAGAACATTGTTGCATAAAAAGCTTGCACATTCGGAGGCGTTGGGAGCAAATGGAAAGAGTTCACGTAGAAACTATTTAAAATATATGAAATGTTGTGGAATGAGTTTGTTACTTATATAAGGCACACAATGATCTACTCGCGTCAAGGAGGAATAGATTTAGAATTTCTAGAGAAATACCCTAACAATGTAACCACACCACCCTATTTATTGGAGTAGGCACTTTACGTGAACATTGAGCTCAAAAGCGTTCAACCTTAATATCAGAAGAGTGGCTCAACTAATGTTCACATCGTGATCTGTCACAGGTACAGCTTATAAAGTGAGACAAAATATAGATACTTTCTCATGTATCGTGTCTTTTTCCCAAATACATTGTGCCACTCATGTTATGTCAAGAGGCGAAGTATCCATTTGGAACCATGCATGTTGAAGAATATTGCACGGAGGAAGATATTGCGGAATTACTGTGATCCCTAACGCCATCATCATCTGAATAGCGGCATGCCTTCCAAAACACCATGGTTTTTGCAAAATAAGGTAAAAAAATATATTAATGCATTGTTTTTTTTGTGCACTCATTGGTAACTGTGCTGAGACCAATTGGTTCTCAACGGTGTCAGCTCTGGTCTTACTCTTGAGCCATTGGGCCACTTCTCGACAAATAGATCCAACACTAATGCTATTCGTATATTTATTGTTCAAACCTGAAGCACGCAACAGAGAGGAGTCAAATTTTCATTCCGGTTAATGTTCTTCATGTACATGAGGTTGTTTTCAAATTTGTCAAATGGCTACTGTAGCACAGGAGCATTACCAGAATCAGCTGTAAGAATACTAAAAAAATCCTGACACATTCTGCACTGTTTTCTGTTTTCCATTGCTAGATAAGTTCCAAACAATTGAAATATATAAGAAAAAAAGTCATTACCCTTTCCGGCAATAACCCAGACGTTAAAATGTTCAAACAATAAATAGACACCTATTTCAAGGCATAAAGCCTGCATTACCACACATACTTACGGCAAAACATGCAAACGTGCTTGGATAATATATGCATTGTCTTTCAAATTGATTGGCCAACACCAATAGGTCCCATAGATATAACTTCTCATTCAGAGCTATTAATGCTTTTGTATTTGCAAAGTCTTTTTACGGTTTGCCTTTTGGCATTCCGTGATCTAACACTGGTGAAATATGTAGTCTGAAAAATGTGTCGGCATTGAATGAGTAAATGCATAAATTAATGGGCAAGCTTTAAAAATGGTTAGAATTATTCAATGACTCTAGACGAATGAAAAATAATAATACTCATATTCACCAATAACTGTCTGAAAAGGCAACGTTTTCAGCTAATGGCCCTTTGCAAAATCACCAACTTATGAGCACAAATTGAACCAGAAATGAATGATTGCAATATATATTTCAGTACCTGATTATTAGGTGTTGATAATTACTACCTGAAACTGACACCAAAGTCCATGTAGGAGTAAACCAATGAGCAATGATCTCTGAGCTTTGGATAACTGTAGAAGTGTCAATAGACAACTGGATGCACACATATTGAGAATGCAACTGCGTACGTACTGCTTTGACATCCAAGCAGAGTGCTCGAAGGCCAACTCGGAAGCACCGACTTTTTTCTTGCACAGATCCACATGTTTGCGAAACTGTGCGATGGCATCCAGGGGTGTGTTGTGTTGGAAGGAGAGACGGCAGATCTGCAAGGAAAGGGTTGTGGTGCAAGGCAGCATTAGGAGGTGTGATAAAATCCGGTGGGATGAAATGTGCACAATCCAATTTGTACATTTCAACAGTTTTCACTCTTGAATTGACAGTGCAAAATTTAACAGTCAACAACCTCAATTAAAGCAATGAATGTCATGTCAATGACAATCCTTTGTGAGCGGTAGTGCTGAGTTCAAAGACGGATTAAATCAATGAAAGTTCAAACAAAAGAAAGTTGATTCTGTTTTACTTTGTATAATTATTACCAAACCACAGCTCTGAAGTCCAGTGCCTGTAGGAATTATTATAATGGTCCTATATTTAGAAATGAATTCAAGGATGTAAGTTTTTTTCAATTATACAGATAGTCAAAAGCTATACACATGCACCCTTAAATTTTTATTTAAAGCTTTCGTGATTGCAGGGATTTATATTCTTGGTTCTTTCGGTAAAGTCACGTAGAAGGGAAATAATACAATAATAAAAATATAAAACAATAAAATTCTCACGACGTTTCGACTGCAACACCTGATGATGATTGATTGTGTTGCAGCCGAAACGTCATGATAATTTTATTGTTTTATATTTGTATTATTTAATTATTTCCCTTCTACGTGACTTTACCGAAAGAACCAAGAATATACATGCACCCTTGTAACGCATGTCAGGAGATCACAGATGCCCCATTAGAAATGCCCCGTACCACTGTATGCAGGGATAACACAGAACCTGTCCCACAGCGCAAAGAATCAGAGCACAGAATGCTTGAAAAATGCTGCACACAGAAGCTGTTTGAACAATGCATATAAACAGGATTGAAAATGCGGCATATAAATCAGGCAGTATCTATTTTTTCAAACGAACACGAGATGAAAAAAGGAGGTTGCATCTGAGATGCCATTCAGTGAGATTTCATTTTAACAACCAGTATATTGTGACAGGCTAGGGGTACAGACGTATACAAAATACTACGTAGAACAGATCAACATTGCATGAACTTTAAAAGACACCGCTTAGGAGACGGTGTGACAAAGTATAATTGATTCATGTCATTGGTGTCTAAGATGCATTGGCGTGTGTGTGTAGAGACAGTATAGGTTTCAGGTAATGTAAAATGTTCCAAGAACATGGTTCACACATGGAATCAGAATGTATGGATCATTTATGTGGTGTTTGGAAAAATAAGAGTACCTTATAGTTAATGAATCCGACAAATGTTTTTATTTCCAGCATATTCGTATCGTGCGCTCTCAGTTCGTGCACATGGCCATAGGCTGCTCGGTAATGTCTGTCAAGAACACAATACAATTTGTCTTTTTTATTTATACTGAAACAGAACGGACTTGGGAGTAACACTCTTTTTGTTAACAATAAATTAGATCAGCAGATTCTAGATTTCAAGCTTTCGTGACTGCAAGGATTCATATTCTTAGGTTTTTTCGGTAAAGTCACGTAGGTAAAAAATTTAAATTAATAAAAGTAAAATAAAAATAAAATAAAAATCACGACGTTTCGGAGGCAACACAAGCTTCCGTCTTCAGGTGGAACCGTCACAGCACGATAGCTGTATCAATCGTGCTATGACTGTGAATGGTGGAACCGTCACAGCACGATAGCTGTATCAAGTAGTTGATACAAGTAGTTGATACAGCTATCGTGCTGTGACGGTTCCAGCTAAAGACGAAAGCTTGTGTTGCCTCCAAAACGTCGTGATTTTTATTTTTTTAATTTATTTTTTACCTACGTGACTTTACCGAAAAAACCTAAGAATATGAGATCAGCAGAGACACGCATAAAGAGAGATGGTATTTTTTTACGAGCTCCACATATCTAATCCCAGGGGTATGGACACAACATAAAATAAACAATATTTTGGTAACCGTATTTTTTCTTGGCACATTACAAAGTCTGTATATGGCAGCCTCCATAGCAGTGTCTCATGAGATTGCGAGAGATGAAGTTAAGGTTAGGATTTTTTTGGCATTGCAATTCATCATAAACAGCCATGGTCTGTCTACTGCTGGATGAAGGCCTTGCCATGCTCTCACCAGTCCTCATTGCCATGCAATAACACGATCCATAACACTATTGTCCACGAACTGATCTCATCACTCCAGTTCTGTGGTCGTCATCCAATACCATTCTTGACTGGCAGCCACCATTCATTTTCGCAATGTGTCCTGCCAAACTCCACTTACGTTTCTCAAGAGTCAATGTGATGTCTCTGATCTGCAATTTTACCATAATCCATGTGTTTCTCCATCTCTTGATTGTAATTTCAAGCATGCATCTCTTAATGATTCCTTGCATACATATCAAGTAATGTTACAGTTTATTTGCCAGTGTCCATGTTTCTTACATATCACAGCAGGCAACACAAAATTATTGAAAAACGTTGTTACACAGACACATCGATATGTTGTGATTCATATCAAATTATATTTTTCCAAAAGCGCTCCATTTACTCTATTTCAGAATGTGTATTTAAACCTGCCATGCCCTAGGTATACATGCTCTGCCGTTTCTTCCAATTGTATCCCTCCAAAAAGATGTTTTGTTCCGATAAGAAAACTTTCCATTAATATTTTTTGCACATATTTCATCCCCAGCCTAACTTTATAACCTCTCTTGTTACGCTCTAAAATTCTTGTATTTTATTGGCATGAAAAAAGATACAGAAAATTAGTCAATCACTCATGTTTTCTTGCCTTTAAATATAAAGTGAACGTCAATAAATCAAACTGGCTTCAAAATGTAGATAACTGATATTAGTAAAAGAAATGGTGAGGCCACCACAACTAATAATTTATTTTAAATTATTTTATTAAACATTATTATCCATCATTCACTTATCCAACGTTATAACCAATAGGGAAGTATGTTTTCATGGCATTTACTATGAAAATAATCCAAGAATGTCTGTGTGTCCCGCACGTGACGTCACTCGACATCGGCCAGCCCCCCTCATTAATAATCATGAACAGGTGACATCCTCCACATGGATCCCCCCCTCATTAATAATAATGATCGGATGACATCACTCGACATCGAACAGCCCCCCTCAATAATAATCATGAAGAGGTTACATCTTTGAAATGGACACCCCCCCCCCCCATTAATAATAATTAGCGGGTGACGTCACTCCCCTCTCCTCGGTATCAACTTACAACCCTCACAACAAAGGCAGAACCCTCACGTCACGTGATCTCCATAACGCTATTGAGACATACAAGTAAAAAGGACGTCATGATGAACAAATGATTATAACCTTTAAATGAAATAAGTCTGTGTCACCGCGACCTTACAAATTGCACACGAATTGATGCAATGAATATCACGTCGCCATTTGCTTTTCGCTTGCAAGTTTCAGATTTACTGAAATACACCCGTCCTTGGACGGGCAAAATGTGAGTTAAGAATACTGGCTCAAGTTACTTGTTCATAATTTCAATTCAGATGTTGCATGTGTATGACTGTTTTTCCAAATTAAATTCAACTCATTTAAATTCAGTTGTTTTGATATAATAACAAAAACTTTGTTCATGCTACCATTTAAAACACATTTGCATTTAAATCACGTACTTGAGAGCCGTTTGCGTGTCCTGCTTCAGTTCGTTGAAGAAGCCGATCTTAAACTGATGTCTCACAAAGAGAAGCTGCAAATAAAACCGGTAACAATTATAGGAAAACGTAATTTAAACAAAAAACACATTTCGACTTTGAACTCCATTTGAGATGTATATTTTTTGCGATACATAAATGTGCATAATATAAAAGTTAGTGTCGGGTACTCCTGCTAGGCAAATCTTATTAGCTCATTATCAAGGAGCTTAAGCTACCTTTGTTGGGAACATATTGTACCTCACAACTCTACAGGGGTAAAAAAAAAAATACTAAATTATCCACATCTCATTCCTTACAAAGCTTAAGTACAAGCCAATGCATGAAGCTGCAATCTGCTTTCAATCACTGAAATGAGAATTTCTGAACTTAAATGTTTCTAATAATGTACATATAAAAATGGAGAAGGCAAACAACCCAATTTTTTATTTGCAGATTCCTCATTTAAGAACAACTTTTTTCACGCACAAAATTTTTGTACTCCTGCTTAAACTATTTTCGTTGAAATTAGTAAGCGTTCATGTTCACATTTAAATTCCTGGACATTTTCCAGTTGTGGCATGCCAGTATCATAAATGCAGTGAGCCTTGCACAGTGGTTATTGTGCACCGTTTGCAATTGGAATGCTGCAAAAGTCTCATTCAGATTGAGGGTTCAGTCAGCAATTTATCCTTCTTGGGTTAATAAAAAAAAAGAGTACCACTTTTGGGGAAGAATTGTCCAATTGCTCGCCCCTGCCAAAGGAATGAAAAATGTCCAACGGTGGCTCTGGGCTGTAAAAATTGTAAGCACTGCTTCACACACGTTCGAGTGGGAAATCATTGACTTTTTTGCAACGTGCATATTTGCCATCAAGCAATTTCAACAACAAAATCCATTTTGATTTAAAGCTTTCGTGACTGCAGGGATTCATATTCTTGGTTCTTTCGGTAAAGTCACGTAGAGGGGAAATAATAAAAATATTAAAAATATAAAACAATAAAATTCTCACGACGTTTCGACTGCAACACACGCAATCATCATCAGGTGTGAAATCCAAGGCAAGAAAATTTGAAAAAAGTGGCGTTTTTTTCTCAACGTCAGCACCATGGACAGCGAAAGAACCAAGAATAACAAAATCCATGTTCACTTCTAAACCCGAATTCCTTATTGAAACCCAAAAATATATACATACACAAGTTTCACATGACAACCCATCACTGGAAGCTGGTTTGTTTATATAAAAAAAACATGAAGATTACATAAATTGCTATGCATATAGCTCATTTAGAGTCCTGTTCAGTACGCACTTGAAAATATAATTTGAAACCACTCATATCAGGGTAAGCATGTCCTTTGGCTCAATGTTCCAAAAAGTACATAGGACTTACTATGCCATGGTACCTCTCTCGAACAGTGTTAGGAATACTGTGCAAGCCAAAATGTTCCAGACTCATTCTCACACACATGTAGGTACAGGGATAGGGTGATGGGTAGGAAGCTTAATTCTCACAGTAGGGTAATGGTGCATATTCCTGGATTTGCTTTCTCATGCCGCTGCATGCAGAAAGGTATCTCAACGAGAGGGCATTCTACAGAGCTCCTATAGAGGTTATATGGCTGACTCTTCCATGTTAGCTGTGTAAGTATCCACACTTTACCCCACTCCATATGATCTGCTGATTGACTATTTCAATTAATTGGGTAAAAAAAAGTTATATTTTCCAACTATTATTTCGAATGAATCAACAGTTCACCTTATATTCATTTCAACCACTGTGAAGCTGGAGTTACTTGTTGGCTGTTTTACTATGTAATAGTAAAACTGAAGATGCACCAGATAATCCACACAAGTCAAGCAGTAAAGGCTCACCTGGTGGTTTGTCTTGTTCAAAAACTCCTTGTGGGACTTCACTCGACGCGCTTCCATGTGGTAATAACTCAGAGACAGCTCATAGAAAGCATTCTCCAAACTATGGGAAGAAATACAAAAGCAACATTTAGTGTTGCAATGGCTCAGACTTTTCTCAACAACAAACAAGCACAGAACACTCAGTATATTAACACCCGCATAGCACATAAAGGAAAGATTCCGCACATTACCGCAACGATGATCGATATAAAACTTTAATAACCCTACAACTAATTCAAGCTACACATTATGTGGTTTAAAAATGTCCAGCTTGGTTACAGCATGTCACAATAGTGATAAATTAATTTCATATGCAGCCTGGCATAAAGTTTCCAAGTACCAAAAGTGAATGGCCAATGCTTAATGACTCCACTTGTAATGGATAATTTACAGTACAAGACAATGAGTTGTGTACAATAAAGAAATATTGGAGCTTCGCAATATTCCCTCATGAGATGCAAGTCTCTCGTATTACAGACCGATACGGTACACACCAGATATTATGTTACTGGTGAGTGTGCGCATCATAATGTTAACTTGTACAAGGAAAACAGCTACACACCGAATTGTCTACTGCCATAATTGACAATTCAGACGCTGTCTTTCCGACAGACCTGTTCTTCACCTGAGGACGGCTGCTTGCGTTGTGGCCGAAATGTCTTGAGAAATATTTTATTATGTTTTATTTATTTTATTTTATTATTTCCCTTCTACGTGACTTTACCGAAAGAACCAAGAAGATGAATCCCTGCAGTCACGAAAGCTTTAAATCGAAATTTATTATCAAATAAATTGGAACATATAAAGGTGGAGCGATGGCAGTGGTTAGCGCAGTGATATGTATCTGGTGATGTGAATTCAATTCCCAGCTGCAGTTAACAACAGTGATAATGACATCTGAACCGATTCTGGACCTCCCAGCCAATTCACAAACCCATGCTAACCACCGAGGTTAAGTATGGTCAGACAACCATCACGATCAACATGGAGAAGTTTTGATCAAGCAGTGAATTACTATTTAGTGGCTTATTAATGTATTCTTTTTATATCTATATAATATAAACTAATAATTAAAGCAGTAGAAATTATTTCGCATAGGAAATTCTGCAATATTATATCACCCTATGCTTTAACATCACTGGCACTGGCTGTGCTTGGGATGCTCTGGCCAACCTCCCTCACCGTATGATATATCCCACCAGGTGGTCTGTGTGTGGCAGCACAAACAGCGATTTGGCCGAGAGCTCACAGGAATTGCAGAGGGCTGCAGCTCTCTCAGCTGCAACCAGGTCTTCCCCTGAGAAAACACAGGCTCTTTGTAGGCATCACCATTACCAGTGACCCTTAAACATCATAAATACTACAAAAACAACAAAACATTTGAGTACTGCAACAAAATATAATAAATCTCTCCACAATGTTTTTTTATGGTTGTACGGCATGTTGATCAGCGCGATGTCCGAATGTTTTGCTATACATACTGGGAGCTTCTTCAAGCTCCTGGTAGTTTATTCAAGCTTCTGAGGGCAAGCTGTTTTATAAAGGTTTTGAGATGGGCGGGGCTAACCTCCCTGTTCCTGATGACGACCGCTTGTGTTGTGATTGAAACGTCGTGATATTTTTAAAAAATTTTCATCACTTTATTTTCAGTTTTATTATTTTATTGTTATTATTTTTTCTGTCTACGTGACTTTACCGAAAGAACCATAGAATAGGAATTCCTGCAGTCATGAAAGTTAAGTCAAAATTTAAGTGAAAATTTCTTCAAGCTTCCAGAAAGTGGAGCACAACAGACAAACGTCAGACAAAATACATTGGAGAGTGATACAACACGACTATAAAAGCCTAAATAGTTCAATAGACTTGCACTTCCCCCCCCCCCCCCATATTTCCAAGAGTGCAAACTTTAAAAACTTCTGGTCATGTGACAGGTGGTAGCTGAAAACATTTTACACAGTGAGCCAGCAGTTTGTTTTATTTAATACACAAAAAGGTATTTGGCTTATAATTTCTGATCGTGGTGTTTTTTTGACTCAATCAATATTTTAACGCAAAATATTTTATTTATAGTTCACATTTATTTAGTTCAGTTGAGAGCAATGAATGCTTGCAATGATTTTGTTTTGTAATTTATTGATGAAACATTTGCTCACCAATTAAAAAAGAATACAATAAAAAGTATCTCAATGAAGAAGTTGTATTCAATTATCCGTAGTAAAAGTTCCAGTATTTTGGTGAAAATGGAAAAACGCACGTGCAAAGTGCAGTGGTCCACTGAACATAATTCCATCAAATAAATGATGAACATACAGAGTACAGTACACAAATAATCAATGTTGCAGTTTCCATGCTCTATGAATACATTGAGCCCAAATTATCTAATTTACATTCGAATACAGGGGAATTGTCAAGATATTATGTAAACTTTGCTGGCATGGGAGCAAAGGAAGTGAGTATGAAAACCAATGAGTAATGGGTGAAGTGACTACGTAGAATTCTAATGAGACAGTATGATAAACTCCACACCTACGGATTATAAAGAACCATAAAATAACAATAAATGTAATTAAGACACCGACAAAACACTTTGCATCCAAGCCATTAACTGTAAAAAATATATTTGAAGGCAAAATCAGCCGATGGAATGGGAAATAACTTTATCAAGTGGTTCCCTGCTGCCTCCTGCATGTGGGAGTTAGCATAGATATTAATAAACATTACGGTGATTTACAATCATGCACTCTTTCCTTTATGAATTATAGAAGTGCAAAGCACTGCTGTTATCATTTTATATCACATCAGGGGTTATCGATTTACACAGAAATAAATCTCACATTCTTTATTACACTCCACATTGAGTATGCCCTAAAGTTTACAATGAAACAAACATACCACCATTGACTCAACATTCTATCAACATGGTTTGTCTTATTTTTGTTCTTACTTGTACCTAGTGAATAACAGAATCCCTGTATGAAAACAATGTTAGTGATACAAAGGTATAGGTGCAGCCCTGTATTGGCTTGCTCATGCCACTGCTGGCAGAAGGGTCTCCATTAGAGGACACTCAATAGAGCCCCTCTAGAAGATATTTTGCCTCTTCTTCCACACTGGCCAGAGGTTATTGGAAGAGGTGGAAGTTCCCACACTTTAAATCACCACGTGGGACTTGCTGATCAGCCAACTGTGGTATAGCCATTTAATTGCTGGGTGGAGAGTTGGTAGTTTAAAAAAGTTTAAACTGCTACCAGTGACCTCTGGATTGCAAGTCCAGTCCACCACAACACGACAACAACAGGATCATTTCTATAACTGTACAAAATGTGCATTTAATAAACGCAAAACAGTTGGCTTTGTAAACATGTATCTTATAATAGTATCCTTCATTTCATCAGGAGATTAAATAAACCCATCGATAATAAACGTTTGCATCTTTTGCAAGTGTGACCTGGGTTATATCAAGCCATATCAACAAAGATTAATAATAATTTAAAACAAAATGGGAATAATGCTTCGGTGATTTAACTTAGAATTTTTTTGATATACAAGAAATAACACATTTGGAGAGTTACTAAATTAACTTACGCAAGTAAAGGCAAATCATGATATAAATTACATGTTGAAATATCTACATTTGATTCGTGGAACACATATAGCAACATTAAATTGAATGTCCAGGGATTTATTGAACACAAAATCTCCAAGTGAATAACAACACTTCAGTACCTGGAGGAAGAGGTGCCTTCTTTTGTATCAAAACCACCGCGACCTTGGTGTTCCTTCCATGCAGACTTGTTCTGTGTTAAACACAGCGCCGTCACATTTCACTTAACGTTAATAACTTTGACCCCCCGTGTAACCTCACTATATTACAAAGCTAAAAATCCACAGATGAATTTGAAACATTAAGCCAAATAAATTACACCCACACAGCAGCAGTCACAGTTAGATTGCAATGGCTGTTACTGGGTGTACAGTAGCAATTTTTCCAATAATTCTCCAAGGCCTGGATGGATATAAATTGAAGAAAGACATGTTCACAAATTATTTCCTATTCATCACGATGTAGCAAGTGCTTTATGGACCATGTACATCATACATTTAACACATCATCAGGATGACATTGCCAGTAATGTAATTTTCTACACTTAAAAAGTCTGGTAGTGTTTAAAAAGATATGATTTTAAAACTGTGCAATAAATGATTCAGTTGTGAGAAAGCACGCAATAAACCAAAATGGCACAATGCACATTATAAGTGCTGAAGAAAGACGTTTTTATTTCAATTTCTTTAATCTGTTACCTGTTCTAATAATTACATATACAATTAATATTATATAAAATAAAATTAAGATACTGCTTTGGAAATGTTGCACACGCACAATATTATTTTTTACCAGTCATCCTAAATATCACAGCCTAATATGAATGAATATATATAAAATTGGCTTGCTCTTTTTGCATGTTTTATTTATTTTGGCCTATAGCAACACTGTTTTTGTTATATCTCATAGCCAGACACTCAGCCACTTATAAATCCATTATGTACATTAAAAAATATCATAAATGCCAAAAGTGGTGTTTTCCTTAGGAGTGCTCATGAAGCACATGCAGTGATGAATACCTATAAGTAGTGAGCTTGTTGATCTCAGCCAAGTCCCTCATTGGCCATATATTTTATCTCCAACACCATATTTTCAATGACTCAAATATTTTCATCTCGAAACAAAAAAGGTTTGTAGAAAATGTCCAAAAGGGAGATATATATGACACAAACTGCCTAGGTATCATATATTTAAAATACACACATTTCAAACCGTTTTGGATTAAATGTGAGTTAAATCCTCCAAATGCATTTCAGTGAAAGGGATTGTTTGACCATACTTCACCAGGCTGGTCAATGCCAGTTGGTAAAGAAGGCTCCCAGTACCGGTTCAGATATCACTCACCACTGGTATTAGCCATGGCTGGGAATCAAATTAGGCTGCCGTATTCATAGCGCTGTGCACTAACCACTGTGCCACCACTCAACCCCCAAAAGTTGTTCTAACAGAAAATAACATACCTGACAATTTCCACACGGGTGGCACACTCCGACTGCTTTTCCTTCCACTGAGCATCATCCCAATCGAGCTCAAAGAAGATGACAGTTACAGCTGGCACAAGGTTCAAATGTTTGTGCATCCAGCCACTTTTGAGAATGCCCTTTGGGATGTACCATTCATAGGAAGTGCGCTGCCAACAACCAGAGACAACAACTTGGTTATTACAATACATTAGGTGTGCATTCGTAAATATATATTTTTCATTCGTAAAAAAAAATATCATTGTACCAGATTTTTTCAATGTAACTTTTTAGCAGCGTTTTTTCATAATTCGCAGAAAAAAAAACGATATATAGCCGTAAATAAAAAAGAACAAATCCATTTGTTACTTCACACATCTATTACGAATCAAAACAGCTATGCACCAACATACACTGTACAAAATGCCACGATGACTTCCTTCCCCCTGTGTCAAGAGCAGCATTAGGTGGATGGAAGCAGAGGAAGTTCTACTTCGACCGGACATGTTATGCAAAAAGGTTTTTGTTAGTAAACATTTTTAAAATGTATTTTATTCAAGGCCCTATCTATGTTTTTTTTATAAAAAAATATTTACGTAGAAATGAAAGATTTAAGAATTACGCAAAAACAAATTTAAATAGGATACATACTTTTATTGAGAATATTGTGGTCGAGTGTTATTGGCGAGGGGACTACCACACATACTACTTTGTCAATAGAAATGCTGTTGTGAGAAGCACAGAACTGCCTAGGATGATGCAATACAAACAAGAAAAAGCTCTGACATTGCACATATATAAATTAAAACACATAGTCGCTGTGTTCTGGGCTGTCAGACACAAGTTTGAAGATTCATTATTGAGTAAAAAAACACTTTAAATGTACCATCAAGCAAGTGAATATATAACTCGTGCCGTCTTTGTGATATCACGCCAGATATTTTATTACTCAAAAGTAGTGATATAATGGAGCACCTCACTGCGATGTTAAAGCATGTCTCAAATTAAAATAAAAGCTTCAAACTCATGTCGGAAATCCCAAGACGCGCACAGTCTGGATGTATATACAAAATTCAAGAGAAATATTTTGCGCGAGATCTTTTTTGACCAGCGCTCGATGGCCGATAAGCCACCACCACCAACCTTGCTGCGGCACTTGGGGTACTCATGATCTCCGGCTAGCACCTTGAAGGAGATTGGTACACGTTCGCCACGCCGGTTCGCACTGAAGGCGTCCCAGATGGCGCGGTGGATGGCGTTGTAGACCACGTCCAGCCCCGTGAGCGCCACAAATGTCATGGGGCGGCAGCATAACTCGGGCGGCAGTTCCCACTCACTGCCTGGGACCGGCATGGCTGCAACTGACACAGTAGAAAGACATGTGCCCACGTGAAAAGGAGAAGCTGATCATCTATTTTTGATGCAAGGAGAACCTCACCTGATAGGAGTGCAGGCCGAATCAGTGTGGACTTGCAGTGTAGATGGGTGGTGTGGCAGAGTGGGTGAGTGTGGGCTGGCAGTGTAGATGAGTGGTGTGGCTGGGTGGGTGAGAGGGCTGGGAGTGTAGATGGGTGGTGTGGCTGGATGGGTGAGTGAGGGCTGACAGTGTAGATGAGTGGTGTGGCTGGGTGGGTGTGGGCTGGCAGTGTAGATGGCAGGTGTGGCTGGGTGAGTGTGGGCTGGCAGTGTAGATGGGTGGTGTGGCTGGCTGGGTGAGTGTGGGCTGGCAGTGTAGATGGGTAGTGTGGCTGGCTGGGTGAGTGTGGGCTGACAGTGTAGATGAGTGGTGTGGCCGAATGGGTGAGTGTGGGCTGACAGTGTAGATGGGAGCTGTGGCTAGCTGGGTGAGTGTGGGCTGACAGTATAGATGGGTGGTGTGGCTGGGTGGGTGAGTGTGGGCTGGAAGTGTAGATGGGTGGTGTGGCTGGATGGGTAAGTGTGGGCTGGCAGTGTAGATGGGTGGTGTGGCTGGGTGGGTGAGTGTGGGCTGGAAGTGTAGATGGGAGGTGTGGCTGGCTGGGTGAGTGTGGGCTGGCAGTGTAGATGGGTGGTGTGGCTGGCTGGGTGAGTGTGGGCTGGCAGTGTAGATGGGTGGTGTGGCTGGCTGGGTGGGTGAGAGTGGGCTGACAGTGTAGATGAGTGGTGTGGCCGAAAGGGTGAGTGTGGGCTGGCAGTGTTGATGGGTGGTGTGGCTGGCTGGGTGAGTGTGGGCTGACAGTGTAGATGAGTGGTGTGGCTGGGTGGGTGAGTGTGGGCTGACAGTGTAGATGGGTGGTGGTGGCTGGCTGGGTGAGTGTGGGCTGGAAGTGTAGATGGGTGGTGTGGATGGATGGGTGAGTGTGGGCTGACAGTGTAGATGGGTGGTGTGGCTGGCTGGGTGAGTGTGGGCTGGCAGGGTAGATGGGAGCTGTGGCTGGATGGGTGAGTGTGGGCTGACAGTGTAGATGGGTGGTGTGGTTGACTGGGTGAGTGTGGGCTGGCAAGGTAGATGGGAGCTGTGGCTGGATGGGTGAGTGTGGGCTGACAGTGTAGATGGGTGGTGGTGGCTGGCTGGGTGAGTGTGGGCTGACAGTGTAGATGGGTGGTGTGGATGGATGGGTGAGTGTGGGCTGACAGTGTAGATGGGTGGTGTGGCTGGCTGGGTGAGTGAGGGCTGGCAGTGTAGATGGGTGGTGTGGATGGATGGGTGAGTGTGGGCTGACAGTGTAGATGGGTGGTGTGGATGACTGGGTAAGTGTGGGCTGGCAGTGTAGATGGGTGGTGTGGATGGATGGGTGAGTGTGGGCTGGTAGTGTAGATGGGTGGTGTGGATGGATGGGTGAGTGTGGGCTGACAGTGTAGATGGGTGGTGTGGATGGGTGGTGTGGATGGATGGGTGAATGTGGGCTGACAGTGTAGATGGGTGGTGTGGATGGATGGGTGAGTGTGGGCTGACAGTGTAGATGGGTGGTGTGGCTGGCTGGGTGAGTGAGGGCTGGCAGTGTAGATGGGTGGTGTGGATGGATGGGTGAGTGTGGGCTGACAGTGTAGATGGGTGGTGTGGCTGGCTGGGTGAGTGAGGGCTGGCAGTGTAGATGGGTGGTGTGGATGGATGGGTGAGTGTGGGCTGACAGTGTAGATGGGTGGTGTGGCTGGCTGGGTGAGTGTGGGCTGGCAGTGTAGATGGGTGGTGTGGCTGCCTGGGTGAGTGTGGGCTGGTAGTGTAGATGAGTGGTGTGGCTGGCTGGGTGAGTGTGGGCTGGCAGTGTAGATGGGTCGTGTGGCTGGCTGGGTGAGTGTGGGCTGGCAGTGTAGATGAGAGCTGTGGCTGGCTGGGTGAGTGTGGGCTGACAGTGTAGATGAGTGGTGTGCTGGCTTGGTCAGTGTGGACTGGCATTGAAACATACGTGGAATCTCCCTTCAAACTCAATTTACACTTCCACATTCATATGACAGGATCTGCTTGTCGATTTGGATGGAAATATTCCATATTGCATGTCAGGGTCTCTAGTTCATCGAAAACGCATTCGATGTTGATGTCATTGAAACAGGAAAAGCTACATAAACAACAGCCCTTCCTAGGCCAGTATAATTAACGTTTCAATCAAAATGGTGACAACGGCAGTAATAGAGCCTGTGCTAGTTGAACACGTAGGAGGCTTTCGCGACCAATATAATCCATAATACAGTTTGTTTTGGGTTAGATCGCGTAAACATATTAATGCGTCGTTAAACCCGCCACCACCCGACACAGCCAATTAGTAAGGTGTTGTCATGTAAACAGAACGAGCCAATTCGTCACTAGTACAGCAACACCGGTGTGTCAGGAGACCAAACCCACAACATTTACGATCAAGAGTACGGATCTTCCGCCAGCAAATACAACCGGCATCACCAGGCGGACAACGAAATGTGTGGGGAAATCCGCCCGTCACCTTGTGTCGGTATCATGCTTCAGAGCTAACAATGGTGACGATACAACGGCAACGAGCGTAGTTTGTTTCTAAAGCCAGCAGTCAGGCACGACTGCCGCGAACAATCGACATCATCCGCGAGTTGCAGAGTGCGAGAGACAAGAGCGAGCATCGAACGCCGCATCACAACACAGCCTGGGGCCTTCCACAACTCCCCCAGTGAACCTGGGCCCCCACACGCTGCCGCAGCCTACAGGGGTTCGCTCTCCTCCTCGTTGTCGTTGCCGGCAACGTCTGCTGCCAGCGATCGTGGTTTGTCCGCCCCTGACTTAACGCGACTCAAAAGCGAAGGCGAAACTGAAGCTCACCCGAGGCACTTGCAGGGTCCCCTCTCTCCTCCTTCTCCTCGTCTCGTGTCACTCCCTCCTTCTTCTTCCGTGTCCGGTTACCGTAAAGCGAACAGGGGGTGGGGGGGGGCTCTCTCCCCCGCGCCTTTACGACAGTGTCGTGATCACGCCTCGCACACGTGCGCGCGCGTGACTTGCGCTAATAATAATGTGCAATAGCATAATCATGCAGGGTGGTCCAGATGTGCTGTGACCCATTCCCCTAATCAATTGACCTCTAATACCTACTTGTCAACCCACACAGGTCTACCTGTCAACCCATGCAGGTCTACCTGTCAACCCACACAGGTCTACCTGTCAACCCACACAGGTCTACCTGTCAACCCACAAAGATCTACCTGTCAACCCATACAGGTCTACCTGTCAACCCACACAGATCTACCTGTCATCCCATACAGGTCTACCTGTCAACCCACACAGATCTACCTGTCAACCCACACAGGTCTACCTGTCAACCCACACAGAACTACCTGTCAACCCATACAGGTCTACCTGTCAACCCACACATGTCTTCCTGTCAACCCATACAGATCTACCTGTCAACCCACACAGGTCTACCTGTCAACCCACACAGATCTACCTGTCAACCCATACAGGTCTACCTGTCAACCCACACAGATCTACCTGTCATCCCATACAGGTCTGCCTGTCAACCCACACAGGTCTACCTGTCAACCCACACAGATCTACCTGTCAACCCACACAGATCTACCTGTCATCCCATACAGGTCTAACCTGTCAACCCACACAGATCTACCTGTCATCCCATACAGGTCTACCTGTCAACCCACACAGATCTACCTGTCATCCCATACAGGTCTACCTGTCAACCCACACAGGTTTACCTGTCAACCCACACAGATCTACCTGTCAACCCACACAGGTCTACCTGTCAACCCACACAGATCTACCTGTCAACCCATACAGCAAATTACATCTAAACTGAACTTTTAATTTTACCAGGCAAGGCCGAGTGTATAGCTATTTTTCAGAAGCGACATGGACACACATCTGGCTGTCGCCTGATGAAGCTTATTGTAATTACTGGCGAAACATCGTCCTCAGATTGTAAATGCTGTGGCTTTACTAGTAACGAATTGGCACGTTCTGTTTACGTGACAAACCTTACTAATTGGCTGTGTCGGGTGGTGGCGGGTTTAACGACACGTTTAGAAATTTACGCGATCTAACCCAAGAAAAACCTGTATTATGGACTTCTTGTCCTTGTTTTTTTCTTTAACCAATCCCTGTCCTTCCCCTCTTAACGAATACTCTCTACGACGTTTAGATCACAACACAAGCGTTCTTCCTCCTGATGATGATCGCTTGTGTTGTGATCGAAACGTTGCAGTTTTTTGTTTATTTTATTTGTATTAATTTTAACCTATCTACGTGACTTTACCGAAAGACCGCAAAAATCTGAATTCCTGCAGTCACGAAAGCTTTTAGTCAAGAGAATACTCTCTGTTTTCTGATTTCTCGTTAAAACCTTATTCCTCAAATCCCCTTAAAAGTCTGCCTTCTGACCAATCAGCGTGGAGGCCTCTTTTTACCAATCGGAGACCTTTTGTTTATTTTCAAATCGGCGTTAGGCTGCATATTGGCTTGGGGTCATTTATCGGTCACTATACTCGTTTAAACGAGGCAAACATGCAGTGTTAGGGGCCGTCCATAAATGACGTCGCGCGATTTTGGACGATTTTTGACCCCCCCGCCCCCCATCGTCACACGGCGTCACAAAAAGTCAGACCACCCCTCAAATATGACGTCACAAAGCTCTGCACCCCACCCCAAATAAAACATACTTCAAATCGCTTTAAACTATTGTCATTGTAGTGTGTATTTAATGTGCCGCTGTACTCTGATGTTGTACTAGAAAACATTTATTTAAAAGTCTAGTTAATTAAGTAGAACGTGTTGTCTATATGTATTTAAAGTTGCGCATTTTGATGTGACGTCACATTTCTCAAACCCCCCGCCTCGTCAAACATCGTCACAAATGTCTGACCCCCCCCCCCCCCCAATAGGTGCGTGACGTCATTTATGGACGGCCCCTTATCTGCACAGATACGCCATCGATCTACCGGCTTAGCCGTCTTCTTGCTGGCCTCAGCCTCTCGGGTGAGTGTCCCTACATGGCGATCTGTATGTGGTCCACTATGTTACGCACTCTGCGTTGAACCTCTTTCACACCGTACGTAGCCAACCATGCTAATCGGAGACACGGGGGAAGGACAACAAACTCAAGACAAAAAACAAGTTCTCAAGATATGAGTTTGCAATCCAGTCCCTCCAGAAAAACGCGATTATGCGATCGCAAGATTCCACGCAAAATCAGCCAAAGTCCGCATATTTATGCGGGGGGCGCGTTTTTTCAAATACGCCGCACTTTCGCCGCATAAATTGCAGATTTCCGCGCGCAAAATATGCGGGCTTGCATGATTTCATAATCCCCGCATTTTCGTTGCAAAAAGTCACATATATCTTAGCAGAAAGTTGAAAAATGTTGCGTTTACTTCACACAAGCGCAGCCATTTCCCCTGTTGCCATGGGAACGTCATGAAGTGTTAGAGGCTACGTAGTTAGTTTTATTCAGGAGTTTATGCAACTTTACAGTTGTAAGATTGCACTTTTTTGTTAGTAGTATGTACATTTACATTACTGTAAGACTGTACTGTTACTGTATTGCTTACGTTACTGTGCACTGAAAACACTTATTTTAAAAGAAGATGTCTGTTTTGTATAGCTACCTCTGTAAAACAGGAAGCACACATTTTATTTTTTAATATTTTATTTATTCATTTTTACAGAAGTTGTAGCATATTCATTTTGTAAAGCTACAGAACTTGTTCGACTCAATGTTTTGTAAGTTTGAGCCATCTGTTTGTTAAGGTCTGAAATAAAACAAGATGAGAACTTAAATATTCCCAGCACTTTCTGTGATGTAGTATGCTTGCTTATCATAGGAAGTAATAAGAAATGACTCTTTACATTAAAGTAGTAGCCTAGTGAATAGGGTGTTGGGGGAATCACTTTTTTTTCTCTTTTTCATCAAACCGCAATTTTTGCAAGTTCCCGCAATTTAATCGCATAAAATTGCATAAATATCCCGCATATTCCATCGCATTTTTTAAGAAAACGTGCCGCATAATCAACGATTTTTGCCCGCAACAATCACCAAAAAACTCCGCGTTTTTCTGGAGGGACTGGCAATCTGGATTTAAACGTGCATAGATCCCTGTGGCTTCCTAATATCGTAAGGAAGAGCGTTCCAGACGGCCGCAGAAGCGCATCCGAAAGCGCCCGATGCAGTGAACCGTCTTCGTTTGATGGCAAGCCAAAAATCCGCTGCTGTGAGGATGACCGGAGTTCACGTGATGATGATGTATTGCTCCAGCCCCGGCTACGCCACTATACGAGGCTGTTGGGAATGCTTCCATCGTTGGTGCCAAATCCTAGCAGTTAATTGTTGTTGTTTGTTTATATATGTGGCTCAGGGCAGCCGCTGGAGTCGAGCCGTGGATTGTTTACAGCTTGCGGCGAATTTTGCTCCCCCTGAGGTCAGGTCACCGCCCCAATAGCGTTTGCATCGAAAGTGAGTGCCTGCATGAGCGGCTAACATGCGCAACATGTTTAGAGGCTACAAACCTCCCGGAGCTATGTGGTGGGGCAGCCAAGGGCAGTGGAGCAAAATCTATTATCCTGCACTGCTCTGTGGCTCACTTTCACCGACCCGCATTGACCAGCGTGATGAATCATCACCTGTACGGTGACATGACCCTCTCGAACCGCATGGCGTGTGGAGGAGGGCTCCCATCAATAGCAAGTACAATTGCCCACGTATGCCTTGGTGCACGTGGAATTATATCGTGCCTGCCGCAAACAGTATTTCCATTTCGAACATGTTGTCCAGTTTAATTACGCAAATGCAAACGTTTATTTAGGAAGAATGCACGTGTTTTTTCTTCCGAATTCGTAATGCAAATTTAATTAATCTTTGCCTTATTGAAGGTAGTTAGATGGCGTATTGTAGGTGGTCGGATGGCATTTTAATTGTTGAACCTTTGAAATTGTGTGGAATAGTATTTCCAGCAGTTGATTAAAAATCGATCTTCAGGCACATCGCTGTTCCTTTCATTATCAAGTTCATCTATTCTAAAGCACTCGAACCTGCTGTCCCTTTTTTTCATTATTTTCATTCTGATCCGCCTTCAATATGTTAGGTATAAATATTGTGCTGGTTTGCAGTTGTATCCCTCCGACAGATATCTATAAATGTTTCCCGAATGTGTGATACAGTACATGACGTTCGCATTGCTCATATTTATCCAGAGCCCAACTTGCGGCCTTTTTTTAAATTAAACCCTTCAAACAATTTCCTGCAGTAAATTCCAATTGACGTCATTACCATCAACATATCTGAGACGGTTAATAAATCTCGTGGTTCATATTTTCTCCATTAACATTCGTGTTTTTGTTTCATATCATATCGTACTCCAGCACGTAGGTCAGTGCGAGCTGTCGCATATCATGATTTGCAACAAAGCCAAACAATAATAGCTGAAATGTATTTTATAGTTATATATTTGTATTTTACTGATGCACGCTTTTACAGATTTTTTTTACTTTTCATTTTTGCAATCAGATTTTGGAGGATCTCCCTTTGCTTGCCTTGAAACAATGCTTCTGAAAGTATGTTCTCCCAGAGGGCCGTGCGGGTTGATGGATAGTGTAATAATGAAATTTGTATGTGGAGGCCTATTGTCTGATTATTTTTGTTATTTATGTTCTCCACAACGAAACAAATTATTATTCAAGACGAGATATCCAGCTGGAAATATTTGAGGCAACAACAACGCCTTGTTTGCGAGGCTGGTTTGGTTTAAGTGTAGAGTTCACTAAATTTAAAGATTAACAAAATCTAGTTCGCCAATTAGCCAAAAGGTTTGTATCCCTTGGATTTGGTAATCCTTATTCCCACGTGTGCTACATGACCCCCCAGGTGAATGATTATGCGGATTGAGAAGCGGCCCTTACGTAACTCCCGTGGGGGCAATTGGGGCATGTTTTTTGAAATGCGATTTTTTTTCCCTTCCGGTCATGGTGTACCTGGATTAAGTATTAACACCAGTAATACTAGTAGTCTTATGGTCGGAGAACACTCAAGAAATCCTCATGGAAAGTTTATTTTTAATAATTAAAATTTTCAATTATCGATGTCCTTTATTTAGCGAGCTTAGTGCATTTGCAAGGGAAGCGAAATACCGTATACGTTTGGAAATTAGTAAGTATAAGGCTCTCACTTTTCGCAATAACATTTAACTGATGTTCACATTAAATTTCCTCCAAGGTACTGTATAACAGAACCGAATATTGGGTTGAATTGACCGGCTTTGCAAAGTAAAGCCACTGTAGTACCGAATTTGTAGCTTCAAGTGTGTACACGAAATCAAGATGCTTCAACGCAAGTGAGTACATTTGATGTGCTGCTACTCAACGAACAGCACGTTTGTCTCAACGCAAAAATGTTTGATATGCCAATTACTAATTTTCTTTGCATTGTTCGCCTTTGGCGTTTTCTGTTCTGACACTGGTGAGACAAGACGAATAAGGCTGTCTCTGGTCTAGACCAATCAGTTGCAAATACAATGCATATATTACAATATGTAACACAATTTTTGTTCCTGGGTAGTGTTATTTCGTAATTGCTTCTGCCTAAAAAGTATAGAATATGAATGTTTGCTTTTGTGACCAGAACAGTGAAATTTTGAAATGTACCCCTTTTCAATGAGAAAACTAGCGAATTTGTGTTTTCGTTTAGTCAGAAAAAACACATATGAATAAAAATTTACATGTATTTATACTATAGTAATACTAAAGTAATAATTGCCCTTTTCCTGAAGATCGTCAGTTTTGTTATTTTCTTTGAACCTATCTCCGTGACTTTACCGAAAGACCCAAAGAATATTAATTCCTGCAGTCACGAAAGCTTTAAGTCAAGATTTAACCATAAACTCACTGAGTTGTGAATCCGGTTTTAATCATAGGTTGCTACATTCGAACACAGGGGGAACACTCAGTGGGTGCCTATTCAGTGGTGAGCTCAAGAAGCGATGCGCACATCTAAAACGCAAAACATCTTCCAAGGGTAATGCCTAAAATGCTTTACTGTGAAATGCTCTAACATTAGGTTTTTGGTTGTGATATTACCATTACCAGTTTAACACGTAGGCTTTCGTGACTAATACTATCCATTATGATAGAGCACTATTGCCCACGTGAAATTTTGGCATGTTTAAGGTCTCCTTTATAAAAATGTAATGCAAGTGTGCATTATTCAAATCACATCCTCTGGCATTTCTCATATAAAAGATTGCCAATATTGTAGGTTCCCTTAACTAACGTAACACAAAGAACAGCAAGATTCCATGCACAAAAAATTTATTCATACGGTTTATAAAATGCCGGTTCAAAATACCATGCAATTTAAAACACAAAACAAGAGTTATGTACATGCAGTGCTGGATGGTGTTCAAATTTTCCAAGACTTGGGGAAATGATAAATGACCATTAAGTCATCTTCCTTGATGAATAACGTTTATGAAATTGATTCTTAGCAACCATCAACAAAATTAGTATTCTATAAATACATCTGGAGAAGACACATTACACCTCAACGTATATAACATGCCTATTCCACAGAAAATAATTGAAACCATTGATGGAAGTTTAAATTCAGTTTCACACTGAATTTTATATCGACATGCAATATTTTTCACAAATTTGGAGAAGCTGTCCATAATACTGTTTCAGCCATGCCTTCATCTACATGTGTGCATTTGCATTTTCCTCAACATGTTGACATTCCAGATACATCTGTACATCATCAGCACTCAGCGAATATAAACATTATGAAGCATAAAGCAACAAAGTGTTAACAAAGGCTTTTTGTATATATAGCATTCATTCAGCTATATCCCATAGCACTTTGTGTATCTGAAAATGACATGCAGTTAAACTTTTTTTTTTCACTTTTAGGGCAGGTAAAAATACCTGCATTTTCCATCAACATATATAAAATGCAACTTTAAACATAAAATGCTTGGGTTGTGTAGGACATGGGATTTCATTTGCTAAGCATAAAGTATATCATTCCACAAAATAATGGAAAGGTGTTTGAAATCATAATAGCAAAATTAGATATGACCTCTATTTTTTACACAAAACCCTTAAAAAAGTTTCTACACAATAAAATTATAAACAAAAAGAAAACCAACTATAATACAGACTTGGCAACAACCAATTACAATAATACACCTGAGGCGAGCATACATTTACACAACAGATTTTTTTAATCCATTTTGGCATTTTAAAACAAAAACTTAAGACCATTTGAAACCTACATGGCATAAAGCATTACAAAATATATGGGGGAAAAAAACACATTAAAAGGGTCTGTAAATAATTCAGTTGCATTTTTCTATACCATCAACACTATGCGTATAGGATGAGGAACGTTGGTACAGCATTTTCTATTCATGGGAAATTCCAAGTTTGAAAACTTTTATTTTGGTAAATCTGTATGCTCTTTAGTGAAGAAGTAAAAATCACATTTACCATTGTCTGTTATATCTTAAGTGTAAAAAAATGGATATGTTACAGTTTAGAAATGTTTGCTTTTAAAATTTAATTAGCAACTGTAGTACTGCCAATACATTTAAAGTGTTTCATATATATATACTGTATATATTAACTTAAACATCTCAAAGAACAATAAGCATAATTTAGCATTTGAAAGTTTGACAATATTTTTTTTATTTTATGTAAAGTGCGATGCCACCATAAACATATGAAAACATTAAATTAGATATTTTATATCAGCATCATTTAAACATTCTAATATTTGTTTACTTTTTTACACCTGATACACTCCGAAGGCTTAATGGGCACTATGTATGAAGAAAATGTTTATACATTACAGTAGTTATACTATTTTGAATTAGATGTTAAGATGTTTTTCTATTCAAATAGCATTGCACAGAAAAATGCAACCAATGGTAAGTGCATTTCACCCAAATGCCTTACGTGGTGGGTGTTTGAATAAAGAAAAAAAAATTCTGTACGTGAATGTTTTGTGACTAGAATTTTTCCGTCTTCAAATGGGCCTACAGTACATTGTAAACATAAATTTAAAGTAATGAGTCTGCACTGGCTGTTTACCCAAAATGCATTGCACAAAAACACATGTCACAGACCGAACACTCTGCCTACTACACTGGAGTGTTTGGAGCAGTTTTGGGACACTTTTGGGACACGTTTGGTCCAGACTCGAGATGATCTATCCCCATACGCTTTGTGTCAATGCACCAGGGTGGGTACTGTTCACAACATGTTATGCCAGAGATCCTTAAAAACAGAAATAAATGTGGTCTAGCACCATTCCAAGGTGGCTGGGGACTCCCATACAGGTATATTCCTAGCCAAAAGAATGCCGAGACCTACAGTCCACTTCACTTACGAGTAAACCACAGGGCTCTTTGACGGGGACATGTCGATGGTTGCATGCGAGTGCGAGATCACACGGATTTTTTTTCCTGAACCAAAATGCAAAGCAGCAGAACGCTCATCGTTTGCATTACTCTGCATTCCATTTACAATGCACTTTGTTTCATTTATAAAAACCTGCACGATCGCACACACTGGCATATTTATTCTGAAATAAAAGACCATGGGTAAAAGTGCCTTGTGCAGACACCATATTAGTGGTACAATGCTCACCTCCTCTTCAAGATGATGCTCAGAGCTACAGCTTGCATTACTACATCTCCACAGGCTGCGGCAGCAAGTGCCTCCCACAGCTGCACTTGAAGCAAAAATTACAGCATATACCAAACACTCACTAGCATAACAAGTTAATACAAATTTGATTAATTGAATTGACTTTCATTTGAGTTATTTTTGCTATACGTCCATACATTCCGTTTATCCCATGCCAATTCAAATCCCATTCATCTCATGCTAGTTAAAAAGCCCTTTACACATTCCCCCATCCTAGCCAACATTTAGAGAAATATAGTTTATTTCTGGTTAACGCAAATATGGCTTGTTTGTTTGAAGTAATATACTTGCTACAAAGATCTTAAAAAGCAATTATCGACTGATGCTATTTTAGAAAAAGCCAGGATGTCGGCACTAAAGTGGGATTTACATGGAAAATGGGGCAGCAAAGGCTCCAATGGCAGGATTTGGATTCAGATATGGCAGGACGAAGCCAAAAGAGGTACCATGGAGTAAATCAAGGGAAGTCATTCGGTTAACATTAAAAAAGGGGAATAAATAATGTGGGCATTTAAGCTAACTCATAAACAGCCTATCCTGGATAGGATGATATCTTCCAGTAATACCTATATTGTATAGGTCCATGCACATCCACTGTTTGCCAGCTGGTTAGTTCATTACTATTACAATGTTTTGGTGACAAAAGCTAACAAAATCTGCGCTTTTATTGAGCACAAAGAGTAACCATCATCAGTGACAACTTCCTAATTATACAAACCACCTGTGTGAAGTATATTTTGGAAAGATAATCTTGACTCAATGGACTAATTTCATAAGCAAGATTATGTAATATAAAACCTATTCTTTGGGTCTTTCGGTAAAGCCACGTATATAGAAAAAATAAAACAAAAATATCACGACACAGTCGTCCTCAGGTGAGCACGACTGTTTGTGTTGCGATTGAAACGTCGTGATATTTTTATTATTTTTCTATCTACGTGGCTTTACCGAAAGACCCAAAGAATATGAATTCCTGCAGTCACGAAAGCTTTAAGTCAAGATATAAAACCTGATAACATTACCTTACTTTCCCAGGATGTCCTTTTGTTAGTGTAGTATCTCAACATATGAAACTCATGCTCTGTCTGAACATGGTAGAAACAATGCAGAACACTAGCACTGAGCATCATTCGTAAAAGGCAGTTTGTATAAATAGAAGACTTGTTTCCCCCGGAAAATCCCATAGCATAGGTGCCACATACGTAATGCCCCATTGTTTTGACATTTCCTGGTGTTGCCCTTTGTTGAGCTGGGGCCGCCTGCCCCAGATCAGCTCCTGCACTTTCAGACAGAGCAGCAACGGAAGGGCATTAAATGGAGAGAGTGCAGAAAGGGGATGACGGCAGGAGTGGGATAAGGGAAAGGGGCAGAGGTAAGGAAAAAAGGGGCAGAGGTGGGAATAGCAAAGCTGTGCCATCAAAGAGGCCTAACTGCACAATCCTGACATACAGAGGGTGAATGAGCTGAGTGAGCTTAGCGGTCTGACATTAGCCCCCTGCGACATCACTGGCCATTGCGGCCGCCTGTGCTGTTGCCGTCTGTGATGCTGCTGTTGTTGACAATGCTGGGGCTGCCGTCGGGAGACACGCCATCCTTGCGTGGCGGCATCCGCTCGTTGATTCGGTCCAAGCCCTTGGCCTCTGCAAAGCTGGTGATCTTCTGCTGAGGCGTAAAGCCTTTAATGGCTATCAAACACAAAGCACAGCCAACAAGCAACAGAGCATTACTACAGCATTTAACAAGTTGTCTATTGCAAAATACTTTCAATAGTCTGAGCAATGTTTTACATATCCTGGTTTAATAAAATTCGTTATTTCGAAACTTAAGACTACTGAGTATGCACCAATAATTATGTTTGCATCAAAATAGCATATTTCAAGGATTTCATTATGTACGTAAAATTGTAAAAATATACAGGATTACAGTTTACAATGTATATATTATACAACTTATCATTACTTTTCAAAGGCAAAATATGTAATTAACATTTTATAATGAAATACGGCACACTGTCTACTAAATATCCAGGGTATGGCTCTTAAGAGTCCAGTAGTAACTCAGACCTTACCATATTTTCAGTGGATAATTTTGGACATAAAACAAGATTCTAATAATTTTCTTAAAATTATGATTTGGGTAATATACAGGAATACAAAACAAATTCTTGTATGCCCTCTGCTAGACTAATAATCTTGCGAGATAACATTTTACGATTACAATACTTATTTGTTTTATTGGCATCAATTCAGCAAGGTCAGTGGGAGTGGCTGGTATGGTCTGGATGAAAAGTTTACAGCAGGACCTTCCATTGGATAGATTTTTTTTCTTTCTAAAAAACTGCTTAGGTTATACTTGACCCCTCAATGTTACAGTACCCTGGATATTTAATGTAAACATTCTCAATAGCCACAAACGTTTGGCAACACCCATGCTACATTGAACCTTGTAAATAACGGTGACTTTCTCATGAAGAAATGCACTATTGCCACATTAAGGTGTTTGCGCATTGGAACAAAATACCCACAATCTAGCAACATTACAGGACTATTGCTGTCAGTTCCATAGATGTGTATAAAATAGGAAACGGCAATACATTACTGAAAATATATTTTTATGTTAGAATATGCATGTAGATTTGTTCTTGTGATAAGAGTTTATGCACAAATGAGATATCTTTTGAAAATATATTATTATGATGCCGTTTAAACCAGTGGTGAGTGAATGCCCAAATTAAAGCTCTTTATGCATGTATGGTATGGGCATGCACAACACTGTGCACCAAATTCTGCTGCCGGGTTCAACTAAGCCGAGATTTTATATTATGCTGAATGTCGATGCAATTTACATATATAGCCGCAATCACCAAAAAATAGGTGCCCTTAAGACACCAAACCAAAATGTCAATAGGCATTTTTTGAAATGTTACATGTGGATAAAACAGTCATCACAATACATATTTGAGTAAACACTTGTAAATTACAGCAGAACACCAAAAAGTCCAAGAATGCAGCCAGCCTATATATGTTCATTAAAAGTACCCAACTTCGAATGCAAGTGAATGCTATTATTTGTAGATGTCTTGCAAGAAATGTAATTTCAATATATTTGAAATAAAATACTATACTTAAATATATGAATGTATTGTTTTCAAGAACATAGTTTTGCAACATTTGCTTATACTTAAAAATAAATTTGTAATGTAAATAGATGGCGTACTAAACTTGGATGAATGCATTTTTGAAACTATATATGGCATTAATGTTGGCTTTATGCAATTATATTTCCAAATACACTGCATACAGCATATAGCCATACATTTTGCTGTTCTGCTTTCCTGAAATAATTTAAATATCAAAAAGCAGTCTACAAGCAAGGCATTCTGCAGGCAACAAGCATGCATTATATAACTATATTAAGTTCTAATACACATGCTATACGTGCAAACACTACTGCATGACATGCAACACAATTAAAAAAAAGTGATCAATTTTTTAAACAAAAAAGCAACGTGTTTTGCAATATTTTTCAGATACTCAAAAACGTCTATATTAACACATGCAATATGTGCACAGCCATGCACAAGGTGGCCATGCAACAAGGTTGAATGACTGAATGTATAGGTAAACATGTTATGCATTTCGAAGTGTTCATTTAAAACCAGTATCTCATGAAAAAATAAACAAGTAAGACCACCAACAATAACACAGAACGGGAAACGGGTTAAAACAATCGAGTCACAGCAAATAATTTATATCAAAAACACCCTCTCCATTATTTTATTAAATGTCGCTCTTCCCCCAAGCCTACACCCCCCGCCCCCTCCCCCCCAAATGTGAAACCTCCCCCATACCTTTGTGAGCCTCAACAGCCTCAAAGGCAGCTAAAGAGAAGTCAGCGATCACATGCAATGTAAATGAGAGACAATTAATTTAGCAACAAATTACACCATACACGTATGATGCGTAGAAAATGCAGACCAAGACCAAGAAATAATACTTTCAGAGGTAAAACCTACAGCATAATTCTGAGAATATTTTAAAATACTCTCTGCATATGTCAAATACAAAACGACAATACACAATAATTTATACAGAAATAAAATAGCATTTACAACATGCTGAAATAAATCATGAGGAAAAGGGGGGGGGGATTTAATTATTGTTTTCATTTTATTTTTAGAACTATTTTCAGGAGGGTCCTGGTAAGTTTCTGCAGTATGAGGGGGCAAAGTTGCTGTGTAATCCAAATTCAGTAATTTTTAGGTATTTTTCTAACATTGGGATGTTTGGCCAAAACCAGTTACATTGTATGTTTTTTATTAGCTGAGGGAGGAAACTGGAAAACCTGAGAACACACAAACTCCACACAGAAAGGTGTCCAGAGTTGGGAATGGAGCCCAGAGCCTTCTTGCTGTGAAGGAACTGCAACACCACCCCTGCTACCCAAACTTTGTAAATGTGCATTCTTCATAAGTTTAGATTTTGTGGCAATTTAGGGCTTTCAATGGATTTACAAATGAGAACACAAGACTTTGTCCCACAGCGATGTATCTTATGCTCCAAATTTTTACTTAAATCTACCACACTTTTAGAAACAGGCAATTTGCTCGAAATAAAAAATACAGTAGAAACCTGTAAAAAACAGAAAATATATCATATTCTAATCATGTAAAGTATTATTTTCCTTAGAAAATAACACAACTGTCATGTGATCTTATCATGTTAGTTATTATAGGCCTCTACTGTATTTTAAATTGGAATGAAATTACACATTAAACTGCACAAAAACATAATATATGTTTGCATATATTTAAAAAAACAATCCACATAGACATACACAGGTCAGAGTATCAGCTGGGAAAGAAAGGTAGAATCAGATACAGCATAGAGTATGCAGCTGAAATACAAAACTTAAATATTGGACAAGCTACTTGTGAAAAAAGATTAAACATGAGCATTTATGAAAAAAGACAAAAGTTCAACTTGATTACACCAGGTATGACAGCATAAAAAGTGTGTTTCTCCATTCTAAACTTAAGTGAAATAAATATAGTTCACTAGTCAGTTCTATTTAGTATCAACACCCTAGTTCACTTATTTGGCAGCCAGTATGTGAAGCATTAAAATACATTTTTTTTTAATAAGGTGACAGTAACATACCTGTAAACAGTTAAATTCAATGAGTAGCATGAAATACCAAACTATTCCACGTACAGAAATTCTCTCATTTTTGTTTGAGTGGATGAATCAAACTACAGCAACACTTTATTGGCAAACAGATTTAACGAGTGTAATCATAAACACTCTTTATAGGGCCATGTCCTGGTGTTGCTGTTATCAGTGCATAGGCAGCAAAAAGGCTTGGGTACACATGCGATGCTCATTGTGGCAAAGGGCGTCAAAGGCACATGGGGGGGGGGGGGGGGCACAACATCTGCTCTCACAGACTGAGTTTCACGTCAGGTATATTTTACCTCAAAACAATTGCTTGGTAGTTGTAAAAACTAAATAAAACTCGATGTAGTATTTTCAAATGATTTATTTGAATTTAAAGACACCTGAAGGCTGCTTTTTGCACTCACAATATACAATGGAAACTACTTCGTTTGAACTTCGTTTGTATCACCAATTGCAACAAAAAATATTGTAGGGCACCCTCTGTATAGAATTCTCATCGATTGCAGTTCTCTTTGAAGTGAATTCTGCTCATTTCATAATACAGTTTTAGACAAACGTGATATAAAGCAGGTTCCAATGAATAAATTTAACAGGAATGCATTAGACATGTTCTGTAGCAAAAAGCAGCCTGGAATATGCAAAAGCAAGATGTGTTAGACAAAGTCAAAACCATAGGCACTTGCCAATTATTATTTTGTTAAGGCAAGAGGAAGCGGACTTCTCAGAGTAGCTTGAATGGCTCAGAATCAAATGCGGCAGTCATGTCCAATGGTCGAAAAGGATGTTCTCATTCTGACTCCAGAAATGGACGGTGGCAATCATGAAACTTGTCGTGTGAGAGCAATTGACACAAGATACAAGCATCAGTTTACGTACCGCTCTGCAAGGTCTGGCGTCCTCCAGCCAGTACTCCAGAGGGCAGCATGCCAGTCGGGGTCAATCCTTTCAGGGTCAACACGCTCTCGCTCTCCTCTCTGCAGGCACAAGAGTCAACATGAGTCCTAAGCCAACATATTCAAAACTTGGGACTAAGTGATAATTTAATATCATTTTAATGTGTCCATCGTAGGGGAAGAAAAGAATACCCAAGGACAGGTACGATTTTATAAAAAAAAGTATTTGCAGCTCATAAATACCACAAGTTGATATGTATCGTTACATGTACGTATCATCATACACAAGGGACACCTATGGTGTTTATAATTAACAGAGGCCGGTCTATACACTGTTAGTTATTGTGCTGTGAAATGTTCAGCCTATCTGGAACAAAGGCTTAACAGACACTGCAAGGAATATCATTGAATAAATGTGCTTAAGTGGAGTGAAGGGATACATCAAGACAATTCTCAGTAAGTGCTGGGAACGTTTACAATCAATCAATATGGAACAACGGAGTGAAAATTTGTACTTATGAGGTGTTTTTCCAAGGGCTATTTGAAAAGTGTAAAAATTGTGCCCTAAATTTTCATTCAAATAATTGTGCCAAATCTTATACACGTATAATAGTCAACTAAAGTACCATGTTTTCTATGGTAAATCGTATAACCATGCAAAATGCTCTTTATGGGACTTGAGGGAAACCACCCTGTGCAAAATGTACATAGGCACGAACTTCCACCACAAAACTGGACACTTGGCTCGCATCAAAAGCAATAGCATAAGAACTTACCGGAGAACGGAAAACATTTTTGCCATTTTTCCAATTGCGCGGATTTTGTTCCTGATGACCTCTTTGCGTGCCGCGGTTGCAGTTGCTTAACGACAGAAACACAATAAGAAAGCATTTCAGAAGTTGTGCATCAAACTCGCTTTTCAAGTGAAGGGATGAGTTTGGATTAGTGGACGGTATGAGCTTCAGTCACCAGCACGACATTTCAGCCTCCTGTCAGTGAGGGCAGCGGAGCTATTGGGTAATCCAGAGGTCGCCAAACACACAGCCAGCACACACATTAGTAATACATTTTCAAGCACAAATGTCATGCTATATTGGTTAGATGGAAACATAAACATGAAGCCTAAAATGGAGAAAAGCTGTAAAAAAATTAAGCGTATGTTTCAAAGCCAAAACAAGTCAATGGGTTATGGCTTGTCTTGAAAATCCACGTGTAAGGAGGAAGGGGGTGCTGCATTTTGAAACCATGCACTGTTTTCCTGAGTCGACAGAGATATTCTGGAAATAAAATAGGAAACGTTAGAAGTGAATCAAGTTTGAGACAGCCCAGAGCTGTGCAAAGAATGATGGTGTGCGATGGTTAGCCCTGTAACGTACAGCAGCGGCAAGAGATTCAGCGCTAGCTGGGGGGAAAAAAAGAGGCATCAAAAGCGTCACTCAGCCAGACAAAGCTGTGAATGCAGCCAAAAAGTCTGGGTTCCTCTCGTACAGCTAATTTATATTGTTAAAAACCCCCCACGAAAATTACCATTTGTATCTCCAGGTTCACTTTACATTACGTAACTATAACGGTGTAAAACTTGATTGCTCCAATTTTTTTTTAAAGATGCAGAGGTTTATATTTTCTATATTTGAAAGGTTACCTTTTCACTAAAATATATTATTTCTTTTACATTTTTTTACAGAAGAAACTGCTTAATACCATGCTGTTGAAATTCTAAAAATAAAAAAAACCCATCATGGTCGTTGAAAGATAGTACAGGAATATCGGGACATACGATTCCTTTAAAATATAACATTGAAATTAAGCAGGTTCCTTTGTGAGAAGGAGGGCCAGATTAGATCTGCCCAAGTCTGGCACATGCAGGTTGCCGTTGGTAGTCATTTGATGTCTTCTTGGCTGCTGTGTCAAAGGGCACCCATCTTACCATGATGATATGGCAGTAAATGTCTGGCCGGTCTGACCAGCCTGCAGTTACACACACCATTCCAGTCTGAGGAGATGAGCTTCCTGCCAGCACCTTAAACCAGCACGCAAGATCAAACACACACACGCGTGGTGTGTGGTTTGTCGGAGCCACAGCAATCAGGCAGCGCTGAGCCTGCGCACTTGTCCAACACATAAGGGGCCCTTGGTTGCCAAATCGTTGGCCTTCCTAAAAAGTTCTGTCCACTGTAACCAATGAGTGGCTGGAACACTGAGGAAGTACATAACGTTTGGTATTATTGTAATAAGAATTCTGTCCATGGCTTCATAAACATTTTATTTCGCAGTCTTCATAAAATGGATGTTTTCTCATTTGCAAAAACAACTAAAATGGCAACACTATGCCACAAGTGGGACATTAGCTCATGAAAAAAAACAAATTAGGCTAATTTTGGCACTTCCACTGTTTTTAAATTATCTCTTTCCTTTCCTACGTTATCTTTGGGGGAGGGATAGAGGTGAAAGTGTGGAGTTAATGACAGATCTTTCCTTGCTTCCATGCAAGTAATAAAGGTTCTAAACTGAATTCAATCCTACATAATGTGTGCCTGATAACGATATAAGTTTCCTTACAAATGTTTTTTTTACTTTATTTTACTGCTGCACAAAATTGGGAGTTTAGATTAAAAACAAATGTTTTAAGGAAATAAAAGTGACGAATATTTCATAACTGTTAACTCTTTGGCCAACAACATGATGATTACAGCATTACATTATATTTGCCCCTCCAGTGTATTAATTACTAATGTTTAAATCATCAGAAGCTGCAACACGCAAGGATGTTAGCTAATTTGCCATACACAGCCATTTAAGAGAAGGGTAAAAAGCGGTTAGTGAAGAAAACTAGAGCAAAGGGATGTTTTGATATAAAATCAGTGTTTCCAATTTACGTCCTCTTTGGAATATTAACGTTTAACACAAATGATGCAAGGCTATGTTAAAATTCAATGCCATCTTAAAATGTGCAATATTTACAAAAGCTGTTTTTAATGACATTATGTATTAATTCAACCAGAAAAAAAACAATTATGGCCCAGTCACCTGATTAAGTTAAACTTGTTTAATGTTCATTGTTTATTACACGCATACCTTAGTTACACAAAACATGATATGGGGTCCCTGTTGCCCATGTACACATTAAACAAACAGAAAATGGTGATTCTGGAAACTGCCAAATACAGTGACCCACTTTTATGCAAAGGCGCTTCGTTTACGTTCCATTTAGGGTTATACAAAGTGCACATCACCTGAGTGAAAACCCTGTGCACATTACTTTAACTCACGTGGAATAACGCATCAACGTCCATTTTCGTGTGTGAAACCACGTGATTCATTGTACACATCCTTCCATCCAAGCTTAGCGCAAGTGGATAACAGACTGCCCTCCACTGAACACGACTCCAGATCACTGCAGGGTATTACAGCTCAATGGGGACAACTGCATAGTAGCAGCATTGGTAACTGAAAAACATTTTGACGCCATGGTGGCGAGGTGTTATCTTCCTCGCCTGGTATGCAGGGCATGGGTTCGATCCCGACCCTGACATATGTATATTTGGAGTTTGCATGTTCTCCCCATGGTTACGTGGATTTTACTCCGGAACTACGGGTTTTCCCTCTACATTATTTGGCTACTGTAATATTCCCACGTGTGACAAAGCCACTTCGATTAGCTATCATATGGGTGGCCAGGGCGCCTCTGAAAAATAGCTCATAGCTCTCAATGGGCTTTACCTGGAAATATAAAACAGTTTAAATCGAATATATGAAGGGTCTAAATGAACACTACAGGACAACCCTAAAACCTCAATTTAAAACATTAACCTTGCCAAAGCAGAAGTACATGCAAACTTCACCTCAACAAAACTCAAGGTTAATAATCAACTATTTAAACTACTGCCCAGAGATTAAGTGTACATAAATTAGGGACGCTTCGTGCATTTATATGTATACAAGAACGTGTGATGGATGAATTTAAAATGAAGCAACGAAAAATATCTGTAATTTGTATATTAAAAATATTTCTGGAATTTGTAAGATTTATAACTATGAAAATGAGATTAAATAAAAATCTTGCTATTACATAGATATTGGCAGCAACATTGTGTGTATGTTAAGATTAATTATGTGGTGCAGGCATGTTCAAACATTTATTAAAAAATGTATGATCTTGAATAGTAAGTAAATTCCCAATGCCCAGTGTAAATGTTTGATTGGCAAGAAAAAACTCACGAAAGGATACATGGCAACTACTTCTCCTGAACATGTAAATGATAGTCTCACATATTACTTACTTGTTTAAGTGACAATCTTGCATTTAAGGAATGCATTTCAGTTACATTTTGGAATAGTTTAAGAACCCATGTTAAAACCAAAAACAGTTAAGGCTTATAACCACCAAGCTTTTAAAAGACTGTTGCTTTAATGAAACATGGACAGAGATAAGGAAGGCCTGGACTGCGTGTGCATTCAATAAAAAAGGCTACAGGCCTACTTAAAGCGAAAGTGAAGCTCCAGAGTTAAAATCAAGCCCATGAGGCACTCTTGACATGTACCTTTTGTACAGATGAGATCAAGGACTTCTTCTCACCAAGCACACAGAAAGACATGAAGAAAATTCAAGAACCCAACCAAACAGCACAGGAAAGAATAAGTGCAGTTCACGAAAAGCAAAAACGGATGTTGAATAATCAGGAAAAGCCAAGCACCAAGAAAGCAATAAAATGGAGATGCAATCAGTTATTGAAGGGACACAAGAAGATTAAGTTCACCAAAATTTGAAAACAAATAAAAAGCAAATCTATTTGCATAGGCTTTTATGTTGAAACACTGCAATCATTCTTCAAGTAAACGCAACTGGGGTAATCCAGATATTCAAAATACATCATTGCACTTATATTTAGCTCATACAATTGCATTGGAATGAAAGGCACCAAACAATACAGGAATCCAAGAAAGAGATTAATGTTGGGGGGGGGGTCCTCTGCTTGTCACAATCCAAAAATTCTGCCCAAAATCCACAGATGACATCTGTGAAACCATAAGAAATAAGCACAAGAACCTATGAAGAGAAAGCAAGGTCGTTCCTACTGAGAAACTGGTGTTGGTTAGTGGTTAATATGACAATGCATGGTGATATTACGATATGACAATAAAACATCCATTACCACATTCAGAAAGAAAGACACTGCTGCAGTTCCATGCACAACCAGTCTTCATGCTTATGTTACTGCACATTGTAAAGTAATGCGTTGCTCAAACACTTAACTGGTTAGCAGGATGGAAACACATTAATTTGGTCCAAGAAAACACTTTACAAAACTGATACTTATAAAAAGCAATGGGAAGAAATGTAACTTGTGCTGCAGGCGTGAGGTTGTAATAAGTATTTGCAGCAACACAAAGATACTTTACTTTCAAGGCTCAAAACTCATTTGTAAGTTGAGGCTTCAGGCCACTGTGCAAGTCACAGCAGGGTCTGTCTCAGTGACTCTCACTTGGTTATAAATAAAGTTTACATCACACCTGACATAAGCATGCGGTTAATTCTCGGAACATCACTAGCTAAGCCAACGAAAGCTCCTGATGTTCACAAATATCAAAACCTAAGTGTCTTAATAATCAAGTCTCCTTGTCTGCTCCAAGTAAATTTCAAGCCTCTGACTTTTAAGAAGGGTTTGGTGTTAATATAGTCATACATCATACCTTATTAAAAACATGTCCCAGTATATTTTTCAGTAAAGAAAATTTGGTTAGTATGAAAAAACAATAAATTAATAAAAGCAACGTCAAAACATGTCAAGTAAAACAATGCATCCACACTCTCACACACACTTATACTTGGAGAATGTCAGTTGATATATTCATGCAAAATATGAAATAACTTTAAAAGAAGCAATTGCATGGCCGAAGAGACATTCCACAATTTATTGCAGCATTGGTTCAGCATTCGGTGTCTCATCAAGAGTCCGTCTTGCTTCCACAGTCTTGTTTCATGTTATAACTACTCAAGCATATTGCAATCAGATTCATTTATGCAGATGACACAAAAAGGTGAAGAAAAAAAGGGAGTTGTCTTACCATCAAACGCTTCTTCACCTTCCGTCGTGAGTTCGTCATCAGAACAGATGTTAAGAACATTCACCAGCATCTCTGTGACTGAGTCAACAAATTGAGAGCTTGATTAGAAACACAGGCAGCCTCGATTCTACCATACAAGTCACTGTGTCTGCCAATTGTTAATTTTGTATTTCATGCAGTGCATATGGATCTACTCTGGATGGCCATGCAAGCACGAGCTCAGCTCTTCAGATTTTGACTTCACAATTATTATGATCATTTTTAGGATTAAGCAAGGAACCAAACATAATCTTTTAATTAACCCTCTTACCTATAAAAGTAATTGTTTGTCTGTCTGTGTGTGGACGCCAACTTGCGACGGATTTAACTCACAAACTGTGGGGTTTATTTTAAAAATAAGTACCTAGATATCATGCCATAAACCCCGGGGTGAGCCAGCGCTATTTGTATTTCACATCCATCAACTTTAAAGTAGTACATTTACAATTTAATTCTATTCATTATTATGTTACTGCGCTGAGCGCGCGCCAAAGCACACATCTGCGCATGCGCGAGAGAGCTGAACAGTGGTTGCCCTAGCAACACACACGCGATCGGTGGGGGGAATTTTTCTTTCGCGTTCAAAATGCAAAAAAAACACAAGACTGAGGTAAAATTTTCACACTCTGATGTCCTCTTCTCCACCCCACAACCCCAATGTGTGCAGTTACTACTATAGAGTTGGTCGATGCAACTACTATAGTCCGTAGATACGACTGTAGAGCGGGCGGGGGGATGGTGGGGGGGGATAGCGGCCCAGCCCCAGCCTGCCAAGGTGCCACCTCGGCCGGCTGGGCAATCGAGGCGAGGCCGGGGGCTCTGCACGGGACTAGGCCTCACAACGGTACTTTGTAAGCTTACTAGATACTATTATAGAGTCGATATATACTATTATAGAGTCGGTAGATACAACTATAGAGTCAGTAGATACTACTTTCGTCAGAAGATAATACTACAGTCAGTAGATTCCCCTACAGTCAGTATATACTGCTGCAGTGTCAGTAGTAACGACGATAGAGTCAGTAGATACTGCTATAGTCAGCAGATACTGCTATAGAGTCAGCAGATACTACTGTAGAGTCAGTAGTTACTACAATAGAGTCGGTAGAATCTACTGTAGGGTCAGTAGAAACTACTACGGTCAATAGATGACTATAGATTCCGTAGATACTACTAGTCACTAGATACTACTATAGAGTCAATAGATACTGCTTTCGAGTCAGTAGATACTACTGTAGAGTCAGATACTATGATAGTCACTACATACTACTCTATTGTATGTAGGGTGTGTAGGTATATATGTCTACTTGGGGGTAAAAACATTTTTTCAAGGGGGGGTCGTCAATTTTCGGAAACCTTTGAGATCAACTATTTACCCCCCACTTTCTATAACTTTTTGGACTTCTTCAAGCCTCTTATAATTTTGTTGACGGAAAAATGGACAAATGGTACGCTGGGCTTTCACAATAGCTTAGTATTTGTGTCGATGTTATGTTTTTAAGGATAAGTTTTTAAATATATTTTCCCCTGGGCAATGCCAGGTACTTCCCGCTAGTAATACACAAGTAGGTATTACTGCATTACATGTACCTAATACGTAAACAGAAATACAAATAGACAAGCACTACAATAACATACCTATATTGAAAGGTTCTGAGTTCAAATGGTCTTGATTTCATTCAGGTTGACCATTACAGAAAAATATTAATCTATATATATAAAATCGTTCATGTCTGTCTGTGTGTGTGTGGACTTTGGCCCATACGCACTTTCATTGGACGGCGGTTGCCCCTGGCAACGGCTAGCCACGCCTTCGCCGCTTTCATTGGACCTGGCAACGGCTAGCCACGCCTTCGCCAAGGGCTGCAGTTTCATTGGACGGCGGTTGCCCCTGCCAACGGCTAGCCACGCCTTCGCCGCTTTCATAAGCTCCGTATTTAATTAAATAATAGACATTACACAGTATTGTTGGAGCGCTAGGGGGGGGGGAAGGAACGCCACCCGTACCCTGCCTCTTCCAAGCCGACAATATTAGGCGAGGCCGCAGGCTTTGCACGCTACTAGGCCTCGACACCCTACCACGCCACTCTGAGGTAAATTCATCAAAGTTTTTCCTACTCTTCACTACACCCCCACCACAATGTGTGCTATTAATATTACTTTTAAACCCAACGCGCCAACAATCGATTACTTTAATGTTCACTGTACAAATACTCATTCAGCTGGGTGAGCGTACTGCCAGTCTATCATGTACACTGTAGCCTGCTTATTAAGCTCGGTGAGCGTACTGCCACTCTATCATGTACACTCTAGCCTGCTTATGAAGCTGAGTGCGTGTACTGGCAGTCTATAATGTGGACTCTTGCCTGGTTATTATAATCGATTCTTTATATGTTCTTTGTACAAACAGTCATTAAGCTGCTTGAGCGACCCCAGTTCGATTCCAACTCACGCCCACCACCGCTGACGATTATTTGAAACGGACCTGGCCCTCCCCTAGGTCCACTCAGCCTCAAAAGCGTAACTGCTGTCGTGTGTGAACATCGTCACTGGGGAGACAAAGGCGGCGGGGCATCGTGGATCCAAGTCCCGGGCGAAGCCGGGTCATGTGTATGTGTGTTTGTGTTTATGTGTATGTCTGTGTGTCTCTATGTATGTGTGTATGTATGTGTATGTATGTGTGTGTGGGGAGCGGTAGTGTAGCGGTTAGCGCGCTGCGCTATGAACCTGGCGATCCGGGTTCGATTCCCGCTCACGGCTAACACCAGTGACGATTATCTGAACCGGTCCTGGGCCTCCCCTAGGTCGACTCAGCCTTAAATGAGTACCTGGTGCGGTGTGTAAACATCGCCACTAGGGAGACAAAGGCGGTCGGGCGTGGTGCTGGCCACCCACCCCCTCGGGTACCGTTCCGGCCTTCATAGGTGCTCGCTAACAGCACTTGCCCCTACAGTCTGTTCAGGCTATACGGGGGATCTTTGTCTTTTTGTATGTATGTGTTTGTGTGTATGTGTGTGTGTATGTATGTGGGTTTTTTTTTATGTCTTTATGTGTATGTCTGCGTGTCTCTATGTATGTGTGTATGTACGTGTGTGCATGTGTTTGTGTGTATGTATGTGTGTGTCTATGTATGTGTGTGTCTATGTATGTGTGTGTATATGTGTGTGCACGCTGAGGAGGGGCTTGCGGAGCCCCAATGCGGTTTCAGGAAAGGGCGGTCCTGCACAGATGCCATATTTTCTGTCCGTCTGCTACAGCAGAGGTGTAGGGAATTCCAAAAAGACCTACATCTCTGCTTTATTGACCTGGTCAAGGCCTATGATACCATCAGTAGGACTGGACTCTGGGTTGTTCTTCGTGCTTTCGGAGTCCCTGACCCTCTGCTCACGATCATTAAGGACCTTCATGATGGTGAGCGGGCCCGGGTAAAACTACGTGGCCGGGAGTCGGAGCCTTTCCCTGTACACCTTGGGGTGCGACAGGGATGTCCTCTGGCTCCCACATTATTTAACATCTATTTTGACCGCGTAGTTCGTGAAGCCTTCAATAGCTGTACCGGGGGAATTTCCGTTTGGTACAGATATAATGGGAGGCTGATCGACGCCCGGGTGCGATCAAGGGATGGCTCCCTATTGGTCAACCACGTTATGTATGCCGATGATTTGGTAATAGCTGCTCATTCAGAAGAGGAGTTGGAGGCGCTGCTGCTGAGACTGGAGCGTGCCACTAAGAGGTGGGGCCTTACCATCAGCCCCACCAAAACCAAGCACCTGCCTGGGTATTTTGTACCATCGGACACTCCACCCCCACAACTCCCAATTGGTGATGGGGCAGTTGTGGAGAGAGTGGAGAGTTTCCCATACCTGGGCAGTGTGCTTATGACCGGCTCCAGTCTATCAGCAGAGGTCTCACTCCGAATCAGTCGAGCGGCAATATCTTTTCATCGGTTGCGTAACGCTGTGTGGAAGCTACCTGGTCTGTCGCTCCGCACGAAGCTTCAGGTCTTCTCGGCCACGGTCATTCCCTCCCTTCTCTACGCTTGCGAGACGTGGACCCCCCTGGTGGAGCATCTTCGCCGGTTGGAAACATTTAGGCTGGCCTGCCTACGATCCATCCTGGGTTTAACCAGGCTGGATTGTGTGAGGAGCTCACAAATCCTTGAAAGATCTGGGCAAAGTCCCATCAGTGAGCTCCTCCGGCAGGCAAGGCTGCGTTGGCTGGGTCATGTAGCCCGCATGCCCAGCCACCGCATGCCTAAACAGCTTTTGTTCGGCCGGATCGAGGGGGCTAGACGGGCGCGGCACGGGCTGGAGAAGAGATGGAGTGATGTGGTACAGGAGGACGTGGAGCTGAGTGGACTTGCCGATGACTGGTACCAGCGGTGTCAAGATCGGCCTCAGTGGAGGAGGCTCGTGAAGGACGCTACTGGGCAGTTGGAGGCAGTCGCCCTCCAACAACAACGGAGGGCGGAGGAGCGACGCTCACAACAACGAGCGGAGCGCCGGGTGGCTAAAGCACAGCAAGTTGGCACAGTAGGGGGCACAGGTGGTGCATCAGCCAGTCATCTCGGTCAGTCGACCAGTGGCACCTGGGTCTGCCCCGTGACCTCCTGCCAGCGGGCTTTCGACACTTCACGTGGCCTCAAGGTGCACTTGGCCTGGCACAAGCATCGTGGTGACGTCACCGCCACTTAGTGGCGAATGGCGGTTGTTGTTGTTGTTGTATGTATGTGTGTTATGTGTCTGTCTGTGTCTGCATGTATGTGTGTGTGTATTGTGTATGTGTTTGTGTGCATGTATGTGTGTGTTTGTGTGTATGTCTGTGTGTATGTGTTTGTGTGTATGTGTGTGTATGTATGTGTGTGTATGTGTTTGTATGTGTTTGTGTGTTTACGCTCGCATTACACAAATGTGTTGCTGGTCTAAGGCGTTCCTCGCACAGCATTGCCGCTTTATTATTTCAGTCGTTTACTGCCTTACGCACCCTGAAAGTCGTGTGTGTCTGCAGCAAGCGCGTGTATGTGTACCTATGGACGCGCGCGCGTGTGTTGTGTAGGGGGAACGGTAGTGTAGTGCTTAGCGTGCTGTCTGTGTCTGTGTGTGTGTGTCTGTCTGTGTCTGTCTGTGTGTGTCTGCGTGTGTCTGTGTGTGTGTCTGTGTGTGTGCGTGTGTGGTGTGTGGGGAGCGGTAGTGTAGTGCTTAGCGTGCTGTCTGTGTGTGTGTGTGTCTGTCTGTGTCTGTCTGTGTGTGTCTGCGTGTGTCTGTGTGTGTGTCTGTGCGTGTGTGGTGTGTGAGGAGCGGTGGGTGTAGTGCTTAACGCTACGCTGCGCTACCAACCCGGCGAACCCAGTTCCATTCCCGCTCACGGCCACCACCGGTGACGATTATTTGAACCTCCCCTAGGTCCACTCAGCCTCAAACGAGTAACTGGTGTGGCGTATTAACATCGGCACTTGGGAGACAAAGGCGGCTGGGCGTGGTAGATCCAAGTCCCGTCCCGGCGAAGCGGGTCATGTGTATGTGTTCTGTGTATGATCTGTGTGTTCTGTATGCATGTGTGTTTGTATGTTGTGTATGTGTTTGTGTGTATGTCTGTGTGTGTAGTATGTCGCTTTTGCCGCCGTGGTGGATCCAAGTCTCGGGCGAAGCCGGGTCATGTGTATGTGTTTATGTGTATGTCTGTGTGTCTGTATGCATGTGTGTATGTAGGTGTGTGTATGTGTTTGTGTGTATGTCTGTGTGTGTATGTATGTCGGTTTTGCCGCCGTGGTGGATCCAAGTCCCGGGCGAAGCCGGAGTCATGTGTATGTGTGTATGTGTTTATGTGTATGTCTGTGTGTCTGTATGCATGTGTGTATGTATGTGTGTGCATGTGTTTGTGTGTATGTATGTGTGTGTGTATGTATGTGGGTTTTTTTTGTATGTGTTTATGTGTATGTCTGCGTGCCTGTATGTATGTGTGTATGTACGTCTGTGGATGTGTTCGTGTGTATGTATGTGTGTGTCTATGTATGTGTGTGTATGTGTTTCTGTGTTTGTATGTGTGTGTATGTATGTGTGTTATGTGTCTGTCTGTGTGTCTGCATGTATGTGTGTGTGTATTGTGTATGTGTTTGTGTGTGTTTGTGTGTTTACGCTCGCATTACACAAATGTATAATGCGGGTCTAAGGCGTTCCTTACACAGCATTGCCGCTTTATTATTTCAGTCGTTTACTGCCGTATGCACCCTGAAAGTCGTGTGTGTCTGCAGCAAGCGCGTGTATGTGTACCTATGGACGCGCGCGCGTGTGTTGTGTAGGGGGAACGGTAGTGTAGTGCTTAGCGTGCTGCCTGTGTGTGTGTGTCTGTGTGTCTGTGTGTGTGTCTGTGTGTGTGTCTGTGTGTGTGCGTGTGTGGTGTGTGGGGAGCGGTAGTGTAGTGGTTAGCGTGCTGTCTGTGTGTGTGTTTCTGTCTGTGTGTGTCTGCGTGTGTCTGTGTGTGTGTCTGTGTGTGTGTCTGTGCGTGTGTGGTGTGTGAGGAGCGGTGGGTGTAGTGCTTAACGCTACGCTGCGCTACCAACCCGGCAAACCCAGTTCGATTCCCGCTCACGGCCACCACCGGTGACGATTATTTGAACCTCCCCTAGGTCGACTCTGCCTCAAACGAGTAACTTAACTACTGTAGCGTATTAACATCGCCACTGGGGAGACAAAGGCGGCCGGCCGTGGTAGATACAAGTCCCGGGCGAAGCCGGGTAGTACAGCTAGTGAACATATAAAAAGCCCTTATACAACCGTTATTTTACTCCAGTTATTATACTCAGGATATGCAACATGAAGTGCAATTAATACATCAACAAATGTTGAAAAATATACCTTTTTCCCCAACAAATGGCAAAGACCACGTGAAGACATCCATGAAATTGGGCAGCCAGTATGGGTGTGGGGAGCAGTTAAACTGCCGGATGTTCATCACGTTGTTTTCATATTTTAATACCGCCGCTGTGGATTTAGGACACGGAAACATTGCATGTTATGTTCAGAGTATCACAAACTCAGCCGATATTAAAATTAGCAACACATCAATTCCATTTACATTGTAGATGTATACCATCTTTCAGAATAATAAAATGAAACATTCTTAAATTATCTTTTTTATTAACTCCACAAATAGACCAGTCAAATTTACAAAAAAAACTGTCTTGGATGGTCTGCTGTTGTCTCTTAGGCTGTTGGTGCAACAATTATTGACAGGAAATTGTTTGCGGAAAAACATGTTCATGTAAATCAATTTCTATAATGACATTTTCTAAATTTCCCAATTTACATTGCCCTTTTTGTGTATTATAATCAGTTGTAAGTGCATTGTTCTCATTGGTGTACACAGAAAAGCTGAAAATATAACGTTGGGAAACATGGAAATATGCAATTTGCCATGCACAATAAATCACAAATTATATCAACAACAGCCAACCTGCTTCAGAACACTTGATTTATTTGAAACATTGAAGTGTGTTGTATTTTTCTGGAACACAATCCTATTCGAGGAATCCCATTCCATTGGAAATTCTAATCTATTGGGAATCCACCAACGAAAATTCTCTAATGGAGCCTGTGGTCTGAATACTGAATAGTCATGCCAGTCTCTTACAGCGTCTCTCTCATATCAGGTAGCAGGTATAATGAAATGGTAGAATGTTTTGTCCACACGAGATAATGACATTTGCCATTTTCATACCAAGCAGTGGGCATAACAGAAAAAATAATATTGGTATCTAAATATGTAAAATTTGAAATACTAATCGTGACAGTGTATATTTCTAATGCTATTTTTGTTTCTTTCTAAAACGAATGTTGCTACTATCCATTTCTGCCTGCTAGTAAAATTATGTCTGCGCACTGCTGCAGAATGCAGCGACTCATAACAAATGTGATAACTGTTTATATCCATCGCAGAACAGGCTGTGCTGGGTATTGAAAGGCTGACACTGATGTCATCCTGAAAGTATAACGCTGTTCAAAAGGCTTGCACAGTGCGAACGTGTATTGCATGAAAATAAAGCCATCACACAAGAACCTTCGCCGGATCAAACAGTAGCATGAAGCCATCTTGATGATTCCAAGATGTTAAAACCGTAATTGTGACAAGTTTTGTTTTTCAGTGACCCCATTGTAATTAAAATCTGTACAACTGTTGATGTAAGTTTAGTCTTTGCAAGTAAGTTTTATATACAGCTTATAGCATTAAAAACAACTAGTTCAATCCTAGAATTATACTGGATGTACTGCATCCAGCATATATATCTTGGCTCGTGCCAGAAAATAATGCTCTTAGTATAAAATTATGTGTGTATGCAAAATTTAGGGGGGAAACCCTACTTACCCTTGTTATTGTAAACATCTAAGTAGTTTGGTGCAGAGAAAATTGTAATAAGTGATGGAAATCCTGTTGTTTGGCTTTTCCTGTACATTCGATACCTGTTGATAAACATTTACCACGGTAATAAAAACACAATTACAATTTTTTTTTATGTTAGATGTGGAATACCAAATAATTACCTCCTACAATTATACATGAAGTTCACTGGTTATCTTAAATAAAAGGTTACTTCCCACTCAAAAGAGCATTCAAGCTGTGCTCATCTCCTGTTTTTAGCCCTAAGTCAGTGGTAAAATTTCCACATTGCTATCACAGGGACAAGTGACAAGAGCGATAATGGGTCAAGCCCCAACTAGAATTTGAATTCACAATTTTTTTTTATTGTGAGCCACGTGCTCGACAGCCAATCCACTATGACGGTACTCCTTAACCGAGTTCAGTATTATATAGACAATCAGTACCTGAAGAATGGTAATTGACCAAAATGCATACATGCAGATCATGGTTTCGAAGCCTAAGCTTCTACAAATTCCAATCCTTAAAAGCAAGGAGTATATTGAGCTCCTTATAAATACTGAAGTGCATTGTTGCCAAAGAATAGCACAAAAACTAACATCATTCAAACAAAAGAGCATTTTGGGGTCAAAAAGTACAAATTTGCTGATTTTTCTTAAAGTACTTGCCATACAGTTCAAGCACTCGGGAAATGGCTTCTCGCAGCAGTGTGTGAATAACATAACTACCCCTCTATCAGCTGCAAATACTATTACATACTACTATAATGAGCCAAGAATGTATGTGTCCCGTGCGTGACGTCACTCCACGAGGCCCATCCCCCCACGTGACGTCACTCTACATGAGCACCCCCCCTGCGTGACGTCACTCCACATGAGGCCCATCCCCTCATTATTATTCATGAGTGGGTGGATTTTTACACTCACGCAGAGGAAGGTCGAGCTGAATTAAATAATGTATTACGCAAAGTCGCTTCAAATGACGTTTCTTTACAGAAAGTGATGGTAAAAAATACATCTACGCAGCACACTGCTACATCCGTACGTGACGTCACTGCAAAAGAGGCCCTCCCACCCCTCTTCATTAATATTTATGCCCGCGTGGAAATTTACACCAACGCACAAGAAGGTCGCGCACTCCACATGCCGCACCCCTCCCCTCATTAATAATCATGAGCGGGTGACGTCACTCCACATGCCGCACCCCTCCCCAATAACCATTAGCGGGTGACGTCACCCCACATGGGGCAACCCCCCCCCCCCCTTATTAATAATCATGAGCTGAACAATTTTTCTATTTAATATTTCAGATTTACTGCAATATACACCCATCCTTGGACAGGCAAAAAAGCTAGTAATTTATAGTGCTGTAATATATCACAACTTACCCTGCATCTTGTGCTTCATGTGCTCTTATAACTGACAACAAGTTGTTGTTTTGCAGGAAATCGCAGACTGCCGGATAGCTGCAAGATATTAAAATGCACATTGAACATTACTTTTAAAGAAACCCATAGCATGATTCAACTTTATCACAAGCTATATTCTACACTTATAATAATGCTATCTTCCAAAATCAAATCTTTATATTTTTCCAAATGTAAGAAAACCACAGCGTTTAGATCTCAATTATCCATGGACAAATAATCTAGGTTGGTAAGTGTGCTTGCAAATAACTAAATTAAATATGTTATGCCTAGTGTATTAATTTTAACCTGAACAGAATTAAATAATTTGCAAGTAATGGTCAAGCGGCTGGTCTTTTTGGTGTCCATTGCAACAGTTTTTGTCAAACTATGCTAGAACATTGGAATGCAATAAATATATAAACTCTATCCATAAAATATGCACCCTTTAAACTTAGATAAATGATTCAAGATTTCACAAGCTGCTTGCACGAAACACCTCATTGATCAATACGCATTACGCTGAACGAGCTCTAAAACGATGCGACATTATGAAACACTTGCCCTGAGGATCGTACCTGTAGAAGTAGGAGCAGCCTCGCACGGTGTTGTGGCAGAAGTACTCCTGTGTCTTTTCATTGCCGAAGTCCTCGGATGGGTCTGACCACAGCAGGTCACACATTGGGCCAAATGCAGGCGGTTCCTTGAATCTATCCAACTGGGAAGGCAAAGCACAATCCAATTATATCAGAATATATTTTATAATGTATACGAGTAAACGAATATATGATGACACACTTGGATTGAACATCCTCAAAAAACCTATGTAAAAAACTATGGGATGGAACCAAGTGACTACATCTTTAATTTATTCCAAAGAACCTGTTGAAGTATAAAGGATCCAGTTACTATTTAAAAGTACACGAGTAAGCATTTGAAACATGCTACAATTAACATATTTAACATCGACAAGAAAAATGTAATCCCATTAAGACAGTATTGTTCATAACAAATTATGAACCGCAAACTAAAGCAGTAATTGCCAATTTGACTCATCATTGAGCCCATGAGGTGTAGCCAGTACGTGAAGCCACCGGCATAGCAATGCAAGCACTGGTTGGGCCTAAAACGTAGAATACATGCGTGAGCCTCATCCAAAAGTACATTTATGTTACGCAACCATGTAACAATATCCATTATGGAGGAACATTCTGAACAAATGTGTTGAGTGTTATTGACAAATGTGTTGATTTGTTTATTCTTTATGCTTGTGCCCCACTGCCAGTATCAGCAAATAGTTTTTGTTTTATAAATTGCAGCTTCCAATTGCCTAAACTTTAAACACCAAAAAATGTAACAGATAAACACAAAGTAGATTTTAAAAGCTACATATAACAAACCATTTTAATAGCTTCAAACAGCACTGAGAGTTTAAGTCATTACATAATTCATAAATACTCCTTTGACATGCTTCACCATCTTATTTTAAGGCTACAAACATAACATACAAAAGTTATATTTTTGCCATGTATTTGTTTTTATTCTTCTATCCTACCATTAATGGTTCAATAGAACAATGTGAAAACTACTATTGACCTTTGGATTCATATAGCGGGTGACCTTTAAATGTATGTATAATGCTTCCAATCCAAATCGATTTATAAACACGAGCAAATCGAAAACACTTAACATGCTATAATATACAGCACAAAACATAGTAATCCGGACTTACATTTTACATTTGACCTACTACCCTAGAGAAATAGGCCAATGACGTAGAGGTTCCAATATTTATTTACAAAGAAAAAATGTATAACTTGTACACAGTGAAATTTAGTTGTACCATCCTTGTTTATAATAAGAAGCTTTCTACATATGGTGAGGTGGTTTGAGGGTCATGGCATGTGTCTTGCATATCCCAGATTTATTGCCAACTCCAAACTTGCAGTTTATATATTGTGCAGGTTAAAACATAACCAGTTACTTAGCTACACTCTCCTCCTACCCTCCAAGGAATGATTGTGGAAGCTTAACTTTGTTAGAATATAGCACACAGTATCCTACTCTATAAATGGTCTTCTCCAGTGTCTGTAAATGGAGATGACAGGTTTCCCAGAGGACAGACAGACGTGCTTAGTGTAACTGTGTCTACCACGGGATTGGGTTTGTAACTGGCAAACTCTGAACTGTCAAGATGTATACTGCACTTGTGATAACCCTGCAAATCCTGCGATTAACCTCAATGTTACCCAGATTAGATAAAGGAGCTAGCACTTGCTTTTACAAGTAGCCACACAACAGGTGAAACTATTTTAAGGCTGTAGATTACTCCACCCAGTCGAGTAAAGAGAAATTACGTGTTCTAAATAAATTAAAATGTGAGCTAATTGGGAAGGAAAGGGTATATCTAATGATTCACATTATACAGAACAAACTAGAGAAAATTGCTAGATCCATTCTGCACCAATACACAAGAGATTGAAACGGTTTATGTTCATCACATCAAGGAAGCTGTACATTTCCTTACAAACAAACTATACATTTATTTGATGAAAAACAAAACAAAATGTTCAACAAGTCGTAACCTATTAAAAATGAACTTTTGATGCATCTTCAGCAAACATAAACCCTCGGCAGTATGTCTTGTCAGACTGTAAATATCAGTGCATGCATGTTAAAGTGGCACACACCATTGTAAAAAAAATACCATAAATTCCATGCCGAGGTCACACTTGAAAGCTTGTGTTAACATAAACTTGGTATTGGCACTTAAAGGGGGTTCACTACTTCAAAACCGCCAAAAAACACAGAAAGCAGGAAATATACCTTCCTGATATCTTCCAGGTTGTGTACTTCTGGAGAGAGGCCTCCATGCACACACAGGAACTGCTGGTTCATGAGCGCTGCTAGGGGGAGGCAGTCGAAGGCGTCCATGCAGGCATCATACACGGTCTCTGTGTATTTAATCTTGCCTGAACAGGGGACACACACATCAGTTACGAAACCTGTCCATGCAGTTGCATGGATAATGAGGCAACGTCTTTTGCAAACACACAATGTCAAGTACAAACAATATGCAATACTTTGATATAGTTCTAATTATAGCATACTAACAAATTGCTTCAAGTGCTGTTATAACCAAATACTTTCATTATTGCTGCATATATATTTATGGGCCCTTAAATGAAACATTACAGTTAATTGTATGGCATTAACATAGGCTACTTTTTATAATGTATTAGGAAAATTAAATTCTGAGGACAATGAAAAACGTGCTCAGACACACTAAACAAACACAAGCATGCATATAGCCACTGACAAAATGAAGTGTTTTCTGCACATGAAATATATAGTTTATATTTAAAGTAAGATATACTATATTTACATACAAATACAGAATGTATAATTATTTAAACTACCATTTTCCTCTAGAACATATTTTAACATTGATGACTCATGTAACCTGGATGTTTGTACGCTTACACTCCTGTTTGAAAGTGAAGTACTCCGTCAGGTGTCGGCATTCGTGATTTCCTCTTAACAGGAACAAGGTGGTGGGGTATAGAATCTTCAGGGCCCAGAGGTACAAGACGCACTGAACACAAAGCAAAACAACACACCAATGTCAGCACTCAAACTGTGACGACAAAAGCTGTTCTTATCAAGTGAATGGAGATTTAAATTAAGTTTTGTACCTCCGTAAAAAAAAAAATCTGATTTGAGTCATTGTCACCACAGGAGGCTACTTATTATGCACATTAGCATAATCCCACAGGGCTATGAGAACGTTTGCAGAGTAGGCTTTTGAGGCAGGCACCAAATGTTGCCCCTGCAACCTGGTATACCCCCCCCCCCACTCTCTAACCACAATCCCAGACTGCTCATTAGCGGAGCAAGATTTCAGCAAAGAAAAAACAATCATGAAATAATAATGCTCCTCCCCCGAGAACAAAAATGGAATCTGAAGGGGGAAAGTAAAAGGGAATGTCTGAAACTCAAATGCAATGGTGCCAATTTTTCCAAAAAAAGAGTTGAAAAAAAACACATGACATGGACATGAACTAAAATAACGCATATCCCTTGAAAAACATTTGAACAAGGAAACCTTGAAAAAAATCGCCTTAAATTTAAATTCCCGTCACAGGGATGGATGGGTGGGTGTCAAGTGGAAGGGGCATGGACTCGAATAACAAGTTTTTACGGAGGTACAAAACCTATTTTTTCTACGTTAATGACACCGTCCAAGAACCTTACTATGTACATTTGGAAATATATCACCGATAACAACACGGAATAGGGACAGCTGCGGACACAACTGCCCTCCCAAGGAGGCATCCTGCCAAGACAGGGTATAGAAATAACATCTCACAAATGTATGAGAATACTTGGTCTCAAACCGCACGTTGGAAGCCCTTGCCAAGGAGGCTGCCACTACCCTGTTTGGAATGTGTCATAATATTTTGAAGAGGGACTTCTATGCATTGGATAATGCAGTCTAAAATAAACTATTTTTTATTTTACTAGGTAAGGCCCACTGAGCGTTTTAGCTCCTTTGCAGACACGACCTGATCACCAATGATAGCCCAAGAAAATGACTTATCATATGGAAATTGATAGCAGCCAAATACTCTAAATGCATGTTGATTCTAAATGTGGAGGTAAAAAATGGAGGACCCAGATAGAAAAATCCACGTGACCACAGGGAGAACGTACCAACTCCAAATAAACAAGCGTCGGGGTTGGGATTTAACCCAGGGACGTGCGGTCAGGGGAGGCAAAGCTTCACCTGTCATACTCCAATGAAAATAGGTGTTACGAAAAAAAAAAGAATAATCAAATCAAATAAATATAAAGATTTTTCCACTGATCTGTGTTATAAATATCATTTCTGTACGATTACAATAATTTTTATAGTCAAAATCGCCAAATTTGTGGAGCTCGGCTGAAAATACAGGAAGATGACAAGGTGAGGCAGCGATGAGCTCAGCCTCCCCCCTCTGATTGCGCAACCCCTCACTAACTGGTGGAGCGCGGGCAATAAGCGCGTGCCTGTTGCTATCTCCGCATTTCACCAATGTAATGTTTGTAGACCCCTTCATTTCATGTCCTCGCCTTCCATATTCCAGGTAACTTATTTCACGTATGTGTATAAAGATATTTAGGCTTGCTGGTCTTGTCATGAAACTGCAATGAAAAAGCACCAGGGGAGGCAGCCATCACATCTGCCTCACTGAGGGGGACGTGTCAGACACGCCCCCCTCGACGAGGCCACGCCCCCCTCAGTGTGTGAATCTGGCTCTCACACTCGCCAGTGCCTCCCCAGCCATTGATCTCACCGCACGTCACTGATTGAACCCACCACCTCCTGTATACCAGGTGAGGCAGTTTACATCTCTGAGAGACTAAAATTAACGCTTTAAAGGCAGTGTTGACCCTCACGACCTGACTACACAACTATACAGCAGAAACAGCTGCCTAGAATTATGCCAACTGGTGGTTCTTTGAAGATAGAAGTAGAACTCTGGCCACATCAAGTGTGTGCAGAGCTCTCTGTCGTTTGAGAGATGCAGATCCTACTGTAGGTGGAATGCGGATACCCCCTTTGGCAAGAGCTATGGCGATAAGTGTAATACCACCGTGTCATGTTTGAAGCCTACAAAGGGATAGTGACCAAGTAATTGCCTGGGAGCTTTTTCGTTTAAATATGTTTGACATTAGATTTAAATAAGACGGAGCTTCATGTGGGTGCTTGAACAAGATTGGGATATCTAATATATTGACAAGTCGTGAATTAAATACATTCTAAATATGTATGGGAATGAGCAAAAGGATGACATTTAGCATAAATATAGTCAGGTCTATGCCAATAAATATGAAATGTGAATCCAACAGCAATAAATACTGAGGCAAAACATGTATAATACATTTAGCTTAAATGGTGACCTCTGGGTGTTGATAACCAGTCATTTAAAATAACACTGGTCACACTTTTTCTGGCATAAGGTATTCCAACGGTTTTAATGTAATTTTGGGGTGCTGATTCCAAATCTGGCATCAGTTTTTGTCTATCACATCAGGTTTTTGAGATATCAAATATTGCATTTTCAATCTACATAAAATGATATTATAAACACACTATCCTAAAAATACAGCACCATATTTTAACACTAAAGCAGTCACTGACTCGCAACAACTTGCAATCATAAGTGAGAGTTAATTTCGGGTAAAATCAATGAAAATGGGGTATGCCGATAACATAAAAATGATGTGATAGAGCAAATCTGAGATCAGATTTGGAATCAGCACCCTGAAATTAGTCTAAAACAGCTGCAAAAGTCAAGGCCAGAAAAAAATGTTTTTTTTGATGACCAGTGTTATAGATCATCCCCTATTAAGTGGTGCAGTAAATAAGCACGAGCCACCTTTAATTAATGCATAATTAGGGAGGCGTTGTAACTGCATATACATTGCAAATGTTTTTGTCCATTTTAGGTGACTGTTGAAAGTTAAACTGAGAAACAGTATACACGACTAAAAAGTGTGATTAAATGTGGCTATATGCCACTCAAATTGTGCTTGATAAATAACCAAAGATGTAGAATTATGCCATTAAACATCAAGGCATTGGAGAATTGAGCGTAGGTCCAAGAATCAAACTTCATTAATTCATAAATATACGGCTAGTGTCAAACAATAGAAAACACCCTGCCATAATTTTAGATTTTTATTAATTACTTTATTAAATACATATTTGCGTATAATCCACAAGTACAGACACATAAAATGGTCTTAATTATGTAGCACTTTAGTTATTTAAACAGTAACAATTTCAGTAACCTTTTCTATTTGTTTAGTATCTGCAACTCCATTTTAACTCTCTTCGCACAATGCGGTGATGTGTGTACTGAGGCTCTGAATGTATTAGGTAACCTACTGAGAGAAATTACATTACAGAATGCAGCAGTAAAGACTTAGTTTGGACTTAAGTGCGATTTATAAAGTAAAAACAATAATCATGTTCTTTGCTCGTATTTAAATGTCTCAAGTCACATTTTTTTATGTTATGAAATTCAAAGAAAAAAGTAGAGCAATCTTAATTGATTATTACCTTGGGTTTTTTTCAAGCGAAATAAAACTAATGGAATTTGAGTTGGTAAATTGTCAATGTGACCAAATTTCAACATTTCGATTTAAAGCTTTCGTGACTGCAGGGATTCATCTTTTTGGTTCTTTCGGTAAAGTCACGTAACTTTACCGAAAGACTTTACCGAAAGAACCAAGAAGACAAATTTCAACATGTTGTGCACTAAAGGAATCGAAGGTAAATAATTTATACCACAGCGTAGGTTGCTTTAGGATCACAAAACAACAGTCCACAGTACTTCAACTTTGTTTGCACATCTATGTGGTATTGTCTTTGCAGGACACTGTCAGCGCCAATTCTGAGCACTATACTGTGCAGCACACAGAGTATGACAACTTGTACAGCACAACCAAACACAATCCACCATGGACGAAAAGTAACAGATATTCACTTCAAAGCATTTACACAGTTTCTTGGAAACCAATTCTACTTTAATAGCAAATCTTGATGACAATTCCTTGGCCCTAAGCCCTGTGATGATGGGCATGATGGATTGTTAGCTGCTTTATTGTTGCTGCGCCTAATTGATCCAATTAGTCTTCTTTCCAACACATTACTCTAGAGCTATATTGCCCTGCTGGGAGTACCATGGCTTTAAGATAATCAATGGTTGAGATTAGCATGCAGCTAGTATAGTCCAAACTTATAAGCAACTAATTTGTTTAAAACAAATATGGAAAAGGGTATTTGTTTACGTATGCATTTGGTTAAAATATTTTTTTATGTATATTCTATTCAGGACCCTCATTGAAGTTATAATTTTTCTAACGAAGTGTGTTTCTGTGCATGATATATTCAATGACACAAGAAAGATATAAGGACCACGTAGCAATGCAAGAAAGTAACTTTCCAATATTTTGTTTGAAAATATGACACAAAGCTAATACCAGTCAGATAAGAGTGATAAAAATGTGACATCGGTGACCAATGCGTACAACACATTCGTGTTGGAGAAGCAAAATATTGAGACTGAAGGCCTAATCTGTTTCAACCTAAGTTGGCTACTGACTGAAAGAAGAGCCCTTCCCTTCAGGAACCATCCAATTATATAGATAAAACAATATTTGAAAAAATATCATGTAATTTTCATTAGGGCACGTCATTCTATATCAAAGGACAGAATATTAGTGGATGTTTATGTGCAGTGACCTTTCACCCTCTGATGTAGAAGGATCTGTAACCCTAGGAAGACGGCCAATCCAATTAAATAACATTGTGCAACATTTAACGATGGCGAGGTTTCCCTATCTAGTCCTTCCAAATGCACGTAACAGCGATTGATAGTCGTTGGATGATTAATGGAGAGCTGTGGTTGTGGTTGGTTTGTTCCTGCAGGGCAGTGCGATAAACTGTCACAAGAGATTAAAATAGGAAATGAGGTGGCGGTGCTTTTTACTTCGATTAAGCTAAGTGTTGCCGTGTGTGGATTATAAGTGTTATAAGTATTATTCATGGTTGCACAAACCCATCTTATGGCAGAGGCTCAGGTTACAATGCATGTCGCCCATGGCAACACAGCATGTCTCATTGTGCCATAGATTGTGGCATAGTCTGTGCCATGTTAAATGTTCAAAATGTGAGAAATTCTGTATAAATAAAATGCCTGAATTACCTGTTGATATCAATAGCTGCCTCAAGTGGTAATTCACTCAAACAAATGTATTCAGGACTTAATTAATCGATCAAGCAACTATTCAAAAATGAATCCCTAAAAATTGTCTTGCCAAGTGCCAATGAGTCACAACATTTACACATACCAATAAAGAGGACCTGTTTGACTGCAAGTGATGTACACTAAATCGCTGAAAATCTTCAGTGAGTGAATTTTGTTCTCCTTACTCAGTGCTGTCCTTGTGTGCATCTTTACAGACATGCATCTCACTCTAAGAGTACACTAATTTGTAATGGTGGCTCTTAAATGTACAGAAAAGTGCTTCCACAGGCCTTTCCTTATGAAATCACCAGTGGGTTAGGTGAAACAATTTGCCTGAGGTCACGATGCATTTCTTGTGTCTGAAACCACGAGAAATGATGGTGACTTCATTTTGACTTCCAAAGGAATATTACAAAGCTAGCAGTTGAAGCATTTATGACAGCTGGGAACATTACTGAGAGAGCTCGAATTATGAAAGTCAAGAAAGTTTTGTTGCAAAGTGAATTCATTTGACTCTAAGGACCCTTCCTATTGAAAAGTAAATGATATTAAAAAAAAAAATTTGCAACTTGCAGTGGAAAAACACTTTTGATGAAATTTTAAACTCATAAAAATCATGCCATATCTTAAAACACAATTAACAGACTAGAGCATGAATAATCCACTTTGAAAAATCCAACAATATTAGATGTCAATATAAAAAAAACATTTGAGCGACTGACAGTCCATCAGCAAATTCCATTGTTTCCATCAACCCATTGTTGATTATATTATCACTGTTATAGATTTCTGAGATTAGGAACAAGGTTTTAAGATGGAGCTAAAATGACTAAATATGCTTGCTTTACCATGTTAGTTTATTTTTTCTAGTTACATGTACATTTCAATATGCTACACAATCATGATAGTATGCAGCAATGTAGTAATCATAGTTTTAAAAAAAGTTTGGCACTTTTTAGTGGAAATTGGAAATTCAATATGCTTAACTTTTGTAGGTATGAGGATAGTTGTGGCGAGTAAATCATGTTACATCTTCAATGAGACACAAGCTATGAATTTATTTATTGAAGAGAAGGTTGAAAGGGATGGAGAATGGGTTCATGGGCAGGGACAGCACCATAAACTGTCAAACTCCACCTGTCAGCTAAATTAATATTCATACACGTGTGTGCCTACTCATGCCTATGAAGCAGAGCTTGAGACCGATGTAGGAGCATGCAAGCCACTGCCTACACATTCATTAATATACATGAAATGGGATTCATAACAAACATCTATACAACTTCCTTAAGTTTCGGTGGCAGCAACCAAGATTTGTGGGAGCCAAAAAAGGTTAAATTAGCTGTATAAACATTGTGCACCACCAGCCTGATCATCTGCCTTGTTAAAATCCTATATTGGTACATCTATTTATCTTTATTAAGGTATTACAGAATGACAATTTCCATGAGAGTGATAGTTAGAATACCCAAGCCTTCGATTGCTATTAACTGCTTTAAAAGCATGTGAGAAGTTGGTGTCCAGGTTCACAGACTGAACTAGTCTCCCACATCTGCTTGGTTCTTTCGGTAAAGTCACGTAGAAGGGAAATAATAAAACAATAAAAATAAAACATAATAAAATACACTTCTCACTATATAAAACATAATTTTATTGTGTTTAATTTTTATTGTTTTATTATTTCCCTTCTACATGACTTTACCGAAAGAACCAAGAAGATGAATCCCTGCAGTCACGAAAGCTTTAAATCGAAATTTAGTCTCCCACAGTGTGGATATTTAAGCTTATGTCACAAAACCACCACGGATGAATTTACCACAATTTTCATAGTTTGTAATTGCAGAAGTTGACATTTCTGAGTTTCATGCAAACGGATTTGTAAATTATCAGCAATATACCGTCGGTCAAGCTTTAATCAGGTAACTCATATTACTACAGATTTAAAATAAATAAATTAGTAAACTCACCTCTATGCTAAAATATCCTCTGTCGACATAGTCTCCCAGGAAGAGATAGCGTGTGTTGGCAGGCGAACCACCAACCTCAAACAGCTTCATCAGGTCAAAGAACTGACCGTGAATGTCTCCACACACTGGAACAAAAGCACAGCTAAAGTTAATACAAAACTTAAACTCGAATACACGTCATAAAAATGCAAAGTATGAAGTTACTTATGTCCAGGTACAGTGCCAATGAAAATTATACCGCTGGACACTTTGAAATTGTACGCATTACTCCTTGCTTAATTAGACAACGGCACGTGAATTATGTGCACTCCTATTTACATGCTCAGATTAAATTCCACAGTGTGGGACAAACATGGGGTCAACCAGATTTTATTTAGTCTGGCAAGCCTAATAGAATTAATGGGATATTCATGTGAAACGATCAACAATTAATTGCAATGTATTGCACAGGTACAACATTCCCCTCTAGGAAAACCCCAAGTAACTCATTTTTACAGCATGTGACCTTGTGAATATAGTTACAAAATTAAAAATGCAATCAAAATAGGATGGCTGCATGCTTTGGAGATAATGATTTGAAAAGTGCTTTAACCTCAGTGGTTCTGGGTTCAAGCATTGATGGTGGGTACAGAAAACAGTGTTGCCTTCTTAGTTTCATATACGATTCCCAATTATTGCAAGTTTGATGACCTGGGACTCGCTACTATACAAAAATGTATTAAAGTCTAATTTTCCAACCCATTTACTGATGTTGAAAAGGTCCAAGAAAGCATTTATAAGTGTTGTTTGTTTAGAGATAAAAAGAAAACATTAAACCAATGTAGCTTTAAAAGTTTCAAATACAGCAGGTCCTGGGATCTCTATGCCCAGCTCTAAGATGTGAACCTTGCCCTTTCAACAGCTGGTCTTATTGGGAGTTACACCAGGGGCTTCGCTCTGGAGCAACGCCAAAAAGTCTGAGAAACACGACCTCCGGGGGCCAATTGGGGATGATGAGCACTTCCGAGCGCTCCCTCACTGCTGATCATTTATAGAACCTTGGGAATCAAGGGGAAATAGGGGGGGGGAGTAGGTAACCGAGGCCGCCGGCCCAATTGCCCGATAGGTCATTGGTCACTCGGGCACCTTGCTGCCGGTATTTGGACGCGAACAACTTCAGCTTGGTATTTCCCCCCCCCCCCCCACCCCGGAGGAGAACCAATCCAACTCCAGCCTCCTGAATCTCCAAGGGATGCAGAGCCCAATCGCTGGGATCGAGCCTTTCCCGGCCCAGCCAGTCCACTGTCTGGTTGTCGATTCCAACCAAATGGCTTGCCAATAGCCTCATCTGGTTATTTTGTACCCAGGATAGTAAGAGTGTAAAACCTACTGTATCAACTTATTGAATCTTGTCGATCCCTGTCTGTTTACGATGGCGAATGCTTTGATGTTGTCAAGTGGATTATAATCTTTCCCGAACACTAGGCCCGTGAGCCGCTCAAGTGCCAGCCCAATGGCCCTGAGTTCAAGGAGATTTATGCTCTCCCATTCTTCTGCTCGGCACCACTGTCCTTGTAGGGTTTGCCTCTGGCAGCACGCTCGACAGCCCCATAGGCTGGCATCTGTCTCCAGTACAATCTGTTCCCAGAAGAATCTTAGGAGGGACCCCACTATCCAGCTGGGTCAAATTCAACCACCACTGGAGATCCCGTTCCGGCTCGTCCGGACAACAGAACCCATTGAAACATTTCCCCTCGTAAGGCCCCCCCCACCCCCCAGTTGTCTAACAGGCAGCACTGAAATGCCCGCATGTGTAACCTAGCTCAGTTTAACTCAGCTATTGCAGCCATGTGGCCTAGGATTACCCGGCATCTGCTTGCTTAGCCTCCCTTTTCCTGATGCCAGCAATGCTGCCTCGCTTCTGAGAAGGGACAAGGTTTCTGGCCGTTTAACACAAAGCCGTGCTCCTGGCGTACTCGCACCACCTCGGAGACACTTTACTAGTGCGTTCTCTGAGTCCGTCCGTATCAGTAGGTAATCTAGGTAAGGATACACATGGTTGTCTCTGGCTGTTAGGTGGGCAACTATTACTATTACAATATTTGTGAAGACCCTTGGGGAGGTCCATAGACCGGACAGTAAGACCTGGAATTCCCAGTGGTCTCCGAACATTAAACTAAACATTTTTATTCTAACGGGTAAGGCACACTGAGCTATATAGCGCTTTTTCAGACGCGACCTGGCCACAAATGATAGCTCAACAAAGCGGCTTATCACGTGGAAACTTATAGTAGCCAAATACTCAGGAACCTGTGGTCTTGCTTTCTTACTGGCCCACACCTCAGGGTGTCTAACCAAGAACAAGGGTCCAATGCTTGTAAGATTGCTAAGGGGGAGGGGGATAAGGAGGGGAGCCCCTATGCCTAAAGGTGTAAATCAAATGAAAGCATACGCAAAAATGAATGCATTTCCCGTGTTCCATTTTATTAATACTCTGACTTTCCTGTGATATTGAATATACAAGCAAAATTAAGGATTGTAAGTGATTGCAGGAAAGCAGCTGTTGAAAGCTTAGTTTAAGATATATCGTCAGCACAGATCGTATTAGTCATACAACATCTTTCTACAGTTTAGCAAGATGAGATAGATTGTAGCAGTTGAACCTAAAAAGCGATTAAGGCGAGGCACAAAAATGTCCTTCGCGGTTGGGTTGACTGCTAATGAGAATCTTGTGCTTGTGACATGTTCAGTCTCTAATTGGTGTTCACATGACATCCTCATCAATCTGCAAAGCTATAGAAGCAGCCTACAGGATTGCACATTGCTTTTATGGCATTCAGCTACAGTGCACAGCTCATGTGCACTGTAATTTAATCTCGGCTTCCAGAAATCGCAATCCGTTATCCAGCCGCTGGCAATGTTGCACTCAAAGAGGCCATGGGTTTTAACGCCTTTAAAATGTTGGGTCATGATTATAATCGTCCTTGAAGGCTAAACAGAGAACGACAAGACAGCATTTAGAGCATTAAGGAGTTAACTAATGCTTATAATAGATTGCCATCACAGGCAACATTGGTATTTATCAACATACGCGGCTTTCATCTTCATTTTCATCCCACATGTAACACGCATTGTAAAAAGCCTATGAGCAATGCTCACAATACATATAGAAAACTACATACAGTATTCAATCAAAATCTTTAAATGTGAAGCACAATGGTCAAATAAAACTTCAGAAAGGCTCCTTCATCTTCAACGGTTAAACTGAGCCAGCAAAGGGATTTGAAAATTGGAGTTGTGGTAATATGCATGTGCAAATGACGAATCTGGTGGTGGAACTCTGCTGCGAGGGAATTGCGAGGGAATAAAGGAGAGAGAGAGTTGCAATAGCCAGGGTGGGACATGACAAAAACATGAATGAAAGTCTCAGCACGAGAGGGGGTCAAAAAGTGACCTATGTGGGAGACGTTGCATAGGTACAGGTCCTGCAGAGTTGAGAGATGTGAAGAGAAAATGAAAGCTTAGGATCAAAGATAACACAAAGGTTTTAGACACGGTGAGTTTGATGTCCAAGCACAGCGGGAAAACAATCCATTCAACTCGACTACCTGCTCAAAACTCAACATTGTAAATGCTTATCTTAAAATACACAACATTTGTAGTAAAATATCCTTTTAAAATACAAATACCTATAACTTTTGGATGCCGAAGACTCAATGGGGGTGGACCCTCCTCGACCAGAGTCGATGGAGAGTAGATCAAAAATCAGAATAAGCAGCAAGCCAGCAGTTGAACAAAAAGCAGGAGATCTATGAAGCAGATGTAGTACACTTCTGGACATTGCTGCCGAGTCTCAAGGGACTTGTGTTTATCTCTTAAGAGAATGAAGATCTATATATATAAAAGGGAAATTTGTGAATGTGTCTGTTCGAAATGTTTAGCATACTTCCCGACATGCAACAAACTTGAAATTTGGCATGTGGGTAGCTTCCAGACGGTACACAATGCATAAAGTATAAAAATAGACTTTGTATTTTGGGCAGGGGGCGCAATAATGGATATGAGCAGTGACATCACATCTGTAATGTCACCCGCATGCGGCAGCCGTGTATTAATCCAAGACAAGAATCCAAGTTACAGACGAAGCCGGGTAGTAAAGTTAGTATAGTATAAAGGAATATTGGTTGTTTCGTGTTTTGCTTTATAATGGCTAAATTAAATATATTACTTAATTTTTTTACTATTTCAGATTTACCAAAATGTACACCTTTCTAAATTTATTGTCATATAATTTACATTATATATATGTAATTGTTTTGCAATCCTAACTCTTGAAGAGGTGGCAAGTGGATTACATCAATGTGCAACAGAATATATAACAATGAATATAGTTTAAAGTATGCCAGTCACAATGTTCAAAGTAATGAAAATGTATAAACATGTCACCCGACAAGTTCCAGCAGCATGCCCAAGTAAGGTATGGCTAATAGGCTACATATAAGCTGCAATGTTAAAGTGAGTTGACACATTACCTTACGAGTATATTTTCTCATTAAAATGTTTATAAACTTTACACTCACATTGTAAGCAAAGCATTACACTTGCGTCACTTGAGAGGATCAACGCAGTTCTTATTTTTAACAACGTTAATAAGAGTGATGGTTTGTCACAAATCTAATCTTCGCTCATTAAAACCTGCCCGATAAAAAGCCAAATCAATACGGTCAAATTCGCCTTTCAAGTGTCCTACGCTGTTACCTTTATCCTCTTACCTCCACGCTTCCTTGCATTCATATTAACCCATTTACCTTCAGGCACACTAATTCCCTTCCTGGCCATCGTTTTCATTCTCATCGTTTTCATCTCATGCATCAAGCTGACCTTTTTTTTGAGTCGGCATGCTCCCTTTGTTTCTCTACGAGACGCCAAGCTGCAACGTCCGACCACCACACATTAACGATTCCCTTTGCTTTGCGATGCCCTTGCAACTGAAGCCTCCATGTGCGGCACACAACAGGTGACAATGGATTTGATGGATCCTTTTAAGTTTAAAAGAGATTTTTATGGTTCTAATCAAGTTGTCAATTCCAGGCTGTTCCCATAACATTGTTACGGGGCAAAAAAGGTCAGCGCACATTTCCAGCGTGTCCATGTAAGGTATGGGTAAAAGACTACATAGAAGCTGAAATGGAAACGTCAGTAACTCCGTTATCTCTGTTGGTTTGAGGTTTATATTTGTGGAAATGTTGTGTTCTAGCGTCTGTCTGGAGCGTGTTGGTGACCACCGTGTTAATTATTGTCATTCAGTTTGCATTAACTAGTCCATGATGCTTATATTTTCAAAAAAGAAAAACCCTGAGTGAATGGTTTAACTGAAAAAAAATACGCACGGGTTTTTCATTTCTTACAAACAGCTGTGATCATAAACGTTAGAATTTACAGAAATATATACATCCATGCAATGAGAAAAATACAACAGGCATTTAGACTACATTTAGGTAATCATGCATTGCATAACTTACCAATAGTGAACATTTTCACCAAATGTGGATGCATACCAACATTTACAGCATGAAATATAATCACGTCGATAAATCCATTTGTAAACATTTACTAAACATGAAACACTGCTGGATGCGTCTGCGTGACAATAGTGACTTCATAATGGATGACAAACTTGTCAGGTCATTCATTTTGATGGTCACATGGCTTGCCTCAAGGGTTTGGGGGAGTAAATATAATTTAAAAATTCATGTAATCAAATATTTCAGTCAGATAAGTGTGTTGGTATCCAGTGAGCATGTAACAATTCACTGCCCCCCAGCAATTTAGGATTGTGATTTAAAATTTGATTTAGTCGTCAAATTTGTACTGCCTTGTTTGTGCCGTTTCTGATTTTTGTCTATATTGTTTGTAGTTTTGTGTCCACTATCAGCCGAAAAAATGTGTCTTAGTAGAGGGGCATAATTTGGTAAATTATGGTTGTATGTGTGGAACAAACGTTGCTTGAGGAGTGGTGTAAAATGATGCAATAATCCAAGCTCTAAAAAACAAAGGCCAACATTTTTAAAATATACAAATGAAAAAAAACTAAGATGAAAAGCTTCACTCTGAACAAAATATATATCAGAAGACAAATCAGGCAAGGAGATATATTTTTAACAAAGTTATTAAGAGGGACATTAGAAAATGTTGTCAGAAAATTGCATTGGGGAAATAACAGTAAAACATACACTATTAAATATTAATGTTATTCATATTTTCACAACGCATGGAAATGAATTCGACAATCGGTTTGAAAACTCAGGAGGGAGGACTACCAATATGGGCTCCAGATAAAACAAAACTGATTTTCCAAACAAATTCAGATGTTTGTTAGAGGAACACAGCAGGAATACATATCCGAGTAGGTTAATTGGGATCATAAATATGTAAAACAAAGGCAGGTAAGTAGAAAACTGAACTTAATATTGAAACACAACATAACAATGTAAAAAAAAAGGTTTCTATATGTGCATATAACTCTCAATGACATGCACTATTTTTAAATCCTTTATATTAAGTTCGCTTGCTTGCGCGCTTACGACCGTGCAAATCTTTCGGTCGTTTTTTAACTCACTTCCCGTGATCCAATCGAGCTGACATTTTCCACACAGACTCGTTGTGCGTGACAATGAATTTTCGTGAAAAAAGAAATTGCAAAATTTTACACTTTTTAGGATTTTTTAAATATTTAATTACCAATTGCTTAATGCTGCCAGGCAATCATCTGACCCATAGGTGGCAGCCATCTCAAGCCAGAGGACGAGAGGACTCTAGCCGCCACGCATATAAAGGATTTATAGTGAAAAACTTTGTTTTTACGAGTAAATTTTTTTTCTATTACATCTAAAAACTACGAGGAATAGAAAGAGGACCACAGAAATAATAGAACACATGCAAGTTAGAAATTAACTGTGAAGAAATGTGGGCTTGGTAAGGGCATGTCACTGGAAGTGATTATGGCAGCAGGTTGAGACTGGCGAGGAAACTGCAGCCACTGGAATAGGCACTCCAGAGAGGATGATCACCACAGAGAAGCGAGAAAATTTAGCTCGTGTGCAGGAAGCTTGATGAATAGTTGCATCCAGACTATGGGATGGGAATGACTTGGGGAGGTCTTTTTTCCAGCAGTAGAAGTTGACTGACGAGAATTTTACCACCTTAAGACAGTTTACGTGACTGATGCTTGACACTGTGGCCTTAAAGTTAACTTAATTAAATGTAAATTGAAAGCTATGATTATTCAGTTAACTCTTAACAATCCGTGGACGGATTACCCATGATTGTAAAATAAATTTAAATTGTGAATATAGGTATTCCACACTAATTGAGCCTGATGGTTCTATTTTTAGCTGCTACTAACGGACTCATTGATCGATTACTTCAACAAGCAAAAAAACACGTCTTTACAATTCTACATGAGAAAAAAAAACATTTTAGAGCCTATTTTGTATTGTCTAATCCGTATTTGGTAAATCTGGGACGACGCCACCCCCCAGCATTACTCCGCATAAAAAACACAACTCCTCAATTTGCAAAAGTATACAATTGTATGTTAGTGCAAAAACACGTCACACATTTTGAATAACTGCACCATCATACATTGACACAGTGATTTGTTTACATTAATTTTCAAGATGTATAATCCTCTAAGCTTAAAATACAAAGTAGAATGTTAGGCGTGAAATGTGCTAAGTATATTACATTAATTGTATTTTACGTCTAGAGACGGATTATGACACAAATGCCTGTGGCTACATCATGCAGGTTTATCCATTGAGGACTTCATGGCATGACAGAACTCCAAGCTGGGTCCCTGAGATCACAATCCATTGTGCTAGCTCCTTTGCATATACTACATATTACCCAACTAACGCCTACATCCATGTGTACAAAGATAAATAGACATTTCTATGACATCAGTGAAAATAACTAGTGCGGAAGTTCTGAGTGTGTGCTACATTGCCATCTTTCTAAAATAAACATGTTGACACAACCTAGCTTTATTGTGAATATTTTCACCCCAGGAAATTTAGTTAATTTCGGGATGTTTAATACAAATGTTGTAAGGACGTGCAAAGAGCAGGCAAAATAAATGTTGCTGGAGTAAACTAGTATTTGAGTAGTGCTATAATCCATCAAAAGAGGGCTGTGCAACAAAATCCATAGTTTTACTGGACAGTATTCCCCAATGCCTGTGGCTCCTCCGTTCCTTCACCAACCCACACAGACCAGCATGGTGGAAAAAAAACCACACCATGACCACGCGGGTGTGAGAAAGCTTTCATCTAGCAGTGGAATGACAAAAAACGGCTGTATATGTACTGGTATGGAATTACAAGTACATATATATTTAACAAACAGCTAAAGTTATTCTTTTTCAGGTTGCCGAGTAATAATGTCTATTTCTCAGGTGCTGTTTGAGCAACTATGTATGCCGATAAGATACTGCCAGTTGTATATTGACTAATAACACATTGTAAATTTGCAGGAAGGTCATTATACATCACACTTTTGGATTATGCAATATTTATTTTTAAACATGTGTTAAAAATATAAAACCTAAGGTTATGCTGCATGTAATACCCCAAAAGCTATTTTTTATTTAATTATAGAGAATTAATAATCAAGTCAACCACTTACTTAGGGTGCTGTGCCAAAAAAAAAGCCACAATCTTAGAATAAGCAGGAATGATTGGTAACAAAAACACTCATGCTGTTTCCCTCATCTGTAACTGTTCTCTCGTTGGATGACCTTGGTCTAGTCAGGATGACCGCAGAAGGAAAGAAGTGTCATCGTGAAATACTTGAGCTTGCATTTCCATTGGCAAGACTGGGCCACAAGCATATGGTAAACAACAACAGGTGTGAGGGCGAAAGTTGTTTGCTGCTTCATTCAGTGCTCTGAAATTTTGGGCGAGACAGTTGACTTGGTACAATGTCTTAGTATAACTTCCACCTACGTTCAACTTCACCGAGTACCCATTGCTGCAACTAAAACCTTGACAAGAATAACTATTGCTCCTCTGTTACCACTGTATTGTATCATAACACTCCTGGTGGCCATAACTCATCCACCCTCACTGTACTTCAGCTATAACTCACTCAACAAATTAATTATTTAATATGGCTCACAGCCAAAGAGGTGGTATTTATTACGTGTATTGCTTGGAGCAAGGACTTCACAACTGTCATGGTTTTTTTTATTCCATTCTCACCTCATAAAACAGAAAAACATTTCTTAGCAAAAGGCAAAAAAAACGGAACACACCTGTGACAGGAGCTTCAATGTCAATCATGGTTTTCTCTCTGCGTAGGATGGAAGCACCATCATTGATGATCCTCAGTGCCACATCCTCCTCCACACGGCCCTCTTTGACGAGATGATTTTTGAGGACATCCACACGCGGCTTACCGTCGCTGTCAAACACCTCCTTCATGGTGAGCCGGTGGCTCGGGGGGAATGGTACCGCTGAGAGGAAGAAAAAAACAAAAAATAAGCAATCATTAACATTCCTCCCCTCTTTGAAAAAAGCTGATATGTAATTCAGTAGCAAATTCTCTGCACTATCTTCTCAGCAGGAAATCCCTGAAATTGCATGAACAATAAAGTCAGCAAATATGATACAGAGTAATATAGCGGAACAATTTTATATTTATCATTATTTTTCAAAACTCTTACACGAGGGCATCAGTGTCGTTAAAAATTCCTTCATTATAAAATAAAAGACAGGATTGATTATTAATTTAATTTTCCAACACGTCAGGCTCCCTGATATCACCACGTGAACAGGTCTACGAGTCACACAATGGCAGACAATTATAGATTTTAAGTTATTGCAGAAAAATGACAGGTGTAGTTGGACAAGGTGATAAAGCTCCCCAATGCAATGACTAACGATGGTTTAGTCTCCTGATGCTTTATTTTTCCAATTCCAGTTGTGGCTAAAGAATCATGTCACATTGTACCAATTTTGTGAAACTATTTTAAAAATGAATTACAATTGCTAACATTGCGGAGCTCTGTCATCAAATGCAACCTCACCATCACCATCTTCACTACTGCACTGTTGACAAGTGCCAGAATAATGACTTACATAGACTTCTGATACTTGAAAATGAAACAATTTGGCTCACAATTGCTTTAAGAATGGAAACATAAGAGGAAACTAGAGAGTTGAAGTGTTATTCCTATAATTCATGTGTCTAATACAAAGGCGTGCTTAAATATAAGCCTAACTCCAGAATTACTTACAGAAATGATAACCACTATCTTCTCGTTATCAACCAGTTATAACCACTATCTTCTCTTTATCAACCAGTTTAAGTCATAACTGGCTATGTTTCCATTTTAGACCTGGCAGCCCTTTAATTGGTGGAAGTCCACCACCGGGGCCATCACTGCTACTACTACCATCACCACTAGCAGTGGCCCTCTACAAGTACCATCACCTCGAGCAGCAACCTCCACCGTCAACAGTGCGAGTGTGTAAAGCGAGGTGCAATGATTACTTGGCAGCCCTTTAATTGGTAGAAACCTGCCACCAGCGCCGTCGTTGCCCTCTACGAGTACCATCACTTACATATTCTTTGGTTCTATCGGTAAAATCACGTAGATAGAAAAACAAATAAACACGTTTCGATCGCAACACAAGCAGTCGTCATCGTCCTGATGACGACCTTAGCTGCCCCACCCATGTTGATGACACTTGGACTATGCCCATTTCAAACCTTTATAAACAGTTTGCCTTTAGAGGCTAACCCCCTTTTCCTGATGACGACCGGTTGTGTTGCCATCGAAACGTCGTAGTTTTTTATTTTCTTTGAATCTATTTACGTGACTTTACCAAAAAACCCAAAGAATATAACCACTATTTAGTGTTATTTGCATTTATCTGTTCATACAAAAGATGGCCATATAAATTAAGATAAGAGTAAACCCAAAATTAAACAAAAGGACTGTCCTTACCCTATTCACAAGGGTAAATGGTGGGTAAAGATAGGGGAAATTTGTTTTGTGAATGTTTCAATAATTTACGGGTTTGTAATTGTCATAGAGCTCCAAAAATGTGCATTGCCTAATAATAATTAACACAGTAAAAACATAAAAAGGCATTACATTAATATGCATCGACAGCATGAAAATGGTACATTTTATCCAAATTAATGTCAGTTACTGTTTTCCTATAACTATGCTACAGAACATTATAAAGTGAATACACTGCAAAATGAATGATTACAGCAAAGTTATGTTTCCACAATTTTATACCATTTTCAAGCAAAACTTTTCAGATTTTATGTAAACATCCTGAAAGAATAGAGCCTTGATGCTTATGTTGCTACCTTCCAAATAAAGTACTAGTGACGAATTGGCATGTTCTATTTACGTGACAACCCTTACTAGTTGGCTGTGTCGGGTGGTGGCGGGTTTTAACGACACATTTATATATTTACGCGATATAACCCAAAAACCTCTATTATGAAAGTACACAAAATGTACAACTTAACTGAACAATTTATTCAGGCCAATCAAGATAAACCTGCTTTAAGTCTTTCTAATCATTACACTATACACGGTTTTAACACATGCAGATTTACATAAAAGAATGAATCACTTAGAAAACGATGGCATTATATAATAGCCAATTACTCAAAGAAAACATTCTGCAATTCACTTATTTAATGGGTAAAATATATTTATTTACAACTTGCATCATTGAGTTTATTTCATAATTAGTAAAAAAAAATGCAATATATAAAAAAATTCTAAATAAGCAATGATTACTATTAGATATTTGTGGACCTTCTATCATGATATATGATTGTATTACCATATCATGGCAAACCAAAGTTGTGCAGACCGAGTTGAGACTAGCTCCACCCAATGTGAGATAATCTTGTCCAACCCCTGTTAGCAATGTCACTTCTGGATGCCATCAGTCCATCAGTCTCGGAAAGTCCAGCAATCCCAGTCAGTGACTTGTAAAAAAGAATTCACAACCAGCAACACCCACCATGACGCTAGCTGTCCAAAACTCAACTTCCCATATGGGAAAATAGGTGTTGACACTTATTTAGTACTCAGTTTTGCTCAAGCAAAAAAGCCACCAAGGTATCCATCTTCAGCCTTTGGACTCAAATAAGCATGCTCAGCTTCTGCAGGATAGCCTTAAAAACACCATTAATTTTGGGTAACAAAAGTACTTTCAGTAGAAGCCTGGCCCTGCCCTAGGCCGGAACAACTCAAACAGGGCCCCAATCTCCGAATCGCCTCATCAACCCCTCCTCCGGCACAACCCTTTGCAAGGATCACAGCAGCAAATTGGTAACTATCGGCAGAGTATGAAGCTCTAATTTGCACTGCATGCAGCACCCACGGATCCGCAATATACCTCTTTCAGTTAAGAAATGCTGATAATATCCCCCTCAAAAGCAATTTTGGGAACGACTGTGATGGGTGGAGAATCTTTGCGCCAGTAAGCTAAACTTCGATCCTCTCTGCAGTAAAATTAAACGCCTTGTATGATACGGACATAAAAAATGTCCAAATTCTTGGCTGCCAGTGTGAAAAACCTCTAGCCCTGAGTCCTTCAGAAATCTGACTGCCCGCATCGCATCCTCAATTGAGTATCTCCTATTTTTCTGTCCCGATTCCACATAACGCTGCTGCTGCAACACCCACTGAAGGCACTCGGCTTCCATATACAGTGATCTTAGTGAGCCGCGCCACAACTTGTCCATTGTCTTCACCTCCTTTGCAATTCTACTATCGCTATCTGTGATATTCGACGTGACTCGGGGCCACCGCTGGGGCGTAACCTACGCGAGGTCTGCCCGGAAAACACCTCGGCCAGCATCTGAGTCGACCGGTGGAACGTACGCCAACTTCTGAGAATGCCATTACTTTACTACCAGGTATACAATCTCCAAGACTAATTAAGGATTGATTCTCCGGCCCAACCTAACCTATTCAATGAAGATTACTTCTTTCCGTTACCCATGAAATGATAACGACAATGCTCGCACAACCACCAAGCAAGCGGCTGTGGTAAGCAGTCCCAACTCCACATCCACATGACTAAAAACCACCATTGTAAATGTAACCATCAATAACCATAAATTGTGGTTAACATTCACCGTTGCTCCTGGGGCTGCCCTACAAGGCGCCACCTAAACCATTCAAACAGCTGTAATATTAACGTAAATTCACAAACAGTGATTGTGCCACCGAGCCACAAAACAAACTAGCTAATGATCCAATTAATTAAAGAGGAAACGCAATGAATGTGAGCATGCAGCAATAGCATTGACACATGTCGCTGTTGGTCCGCAGCAAAGATGCAGCCGCCCTCGAGCTCGCACGAGTGTAGTTCCCCTCGCTGTCTTCACACCACGAGGCCACCTCGAAGGCAGTGAACCATTCCGACATGGATGCACAGCCTGCAACTGCTTACCGCATATACGGTACGTGTAGGACGCTGCCTGTGATCCCTGGGGCAGAATGTTATTTACTTTATTCTATTATTCACCTTCTTTGTATCGTGCAACTGAAAGATTGTTTTTTGACTCTCACAGAAATACACAAGTCCAGCTGGACTCACTGGAGATCACAGAGAGACTGTTGGTGTTCAAATCCATCTTTGCACGTTGCTGGGGGGCGCTTATATGAAGATGATGTGTACCACTTTAAGTTAGATTAAGCCACAAATACCTGTTATGTCATTCATATGTTGTTGGGTTTGTCACATGCCTGTGGTGATTATATAGGGTATTATATAAGCAAATTGCTTGGATATATACGAGAGACATGGCTGTTAATATTGCCCTTTCTTAATGTCTGCAGGTGGACAGAGCTCATTAAATGGAATGGTGAGTGATAACACGTAGACAAGTTTGAGAGTGCCAGTTCAAAGTGTAAATGAAAATAATAGATAAGCTTCCACTGATTGAAATTTTCGTTACATTTAAAATTTGTGATGCACGTGCCACTTGCATTTTCACCAATGTTAATGGTAACATAGGACATGCGATATGTAGACTGTAGAGGTCAGACATTGCATTCGAAGCACTGGCACAATGGAGAAATAGTCAATTCCCTCCCAGGCCATTTAAAACCACCAAGCATTACTCCTGGTGAATTGATCCAAAGCTCAGTGGATCAAGTGTCTGTTTTCCATTACAAAGCAGCAAAATGGGCCAGTGGCCAAAAGAAAAAAAACATTCTGGGTAGATGTGGTAAAATCATTCAGGAGAAATGACAAGAATTATGGATTATCAATTTTAAGACCCTACTTAAGGCCAGAGTTGGCTGTGGTCTGAGCATGTTGTCAAACTGACACCATTACACACAAGTTAGTTATTTGGTTTATTACAATTGCGTCTCATGACTGATCCAAGCACAATTTTACCAACCTGGTACCAACAACATTCTAGGAATATGAAAAAAGAAATGCTTTGATCAAAATGTGAGTT